GTACTCGTAAAGAAGATGCGTGCCGACGTCTCGTACCTGCTCGGACTTGGAGGAGGATTGAGAACGGCTCGAGATCGATTTGTGCTTCTATTCGATCTGAAGCCAAATCCAGACTCCGCGCTAAGTACGACAAACTTCGGAGTGCTACTCACAAAAATCCAGGTAACGTTGAAAGCAGCTTACCTTCCATCCACCGCTCTATCGAGTCTTCAACTCAAAGTGAAAGTTCAACCAAATTGGCTAGAGTCACAGTGATTGGCGATACTCGTATTTCTGATGACGCGCTTGGGTTTCTTAGTCTAGGCCCTTCATTTTCTATCGTCCAAAAAGTTGACGGGTCTGTTTTTCGGAAAGTTGTCGGTGGTTTGCACAGACTCCGAGACCAGTTGAGAATAAGGACTAGACTCAGTGACAATGACCGAAATCCACAGAATGCTCAAAATTCACAGTCACGACAAACGATTCCACCCATTCCTTTTCCAAGTTTGTTTTACAAAGAACCTCAGCCATCGGCTGAAGCTGATGTCAAGTTCAAAATTCTATCTGCTGGTGTGCTAGATGCTTATACTCGTCAAGCTAAGTACCCGCAACCGATCAACTTGACACCTTCGCAAAGGCTTGGTTACAGGGAATTACGTGATTTAGTCTCTAGTAAAGCTATACGAATCTCGGTTAGCGACAAAGGGGGAGAATTTGTGATTCTTCCACGAATCTTGGACCGGAAAATCACAGAACTCCACCTTAGCGATACAAACATTTATCGCCGCGTGACTGAGAAAGAGTTTCAAGCACAATACAAGCGACTAAACCATGTTTGGGTGGAACTAGGAAGAGCAGCTGGCTTTCCCGAGAGCTTTTTCAGCAGATTAAAACTGGAAACCCCGGAATGCCCGGTCTTTTATAGTCTTGTTAAAACCCATAAACTAGCCGCTACTGATGACACGCGCATTTTGACGGCAGAACAGTTGAAAATAAGACCGATCATAAGTTGTGTAGGAGGACCAACCGACCGAATTTCCTGGTTCTTGAACAAGATTGTTAATCAGCTTCTGGACAAAGTTCCGTCTCATTTAACCAACACGAATCATTTCTTGGAACGCCTTCGTAACACCACTTTGCAAACGCAATGTGTAGCAGAGTCTTTTGATGTCGTGTCTTTGTACACGAATGTTCAAAACGATGATGCTTTGCAGGCAGTTTCGGAAATGTTGGACAGCTTTGGTAAAAAGATCCAGACTTTCGGCTTGAGTAAAAAAAGATCAGTTATGCTCCTGATCAAAGAGTGTCTCTCTTGTAACATCTTTAGATGGTCAGGAACATACTATACTCAGCTGAGAGGCCTTGCAATGGGACAGAGACTAGCTCCAGTACTGGCTGTCTGCTTTATGAGCAGAATAGAAGAACCAGTGCTGTCACGTATGCCTCTTATGTACTGTCGTTACATCGATGACTGTTGCATCATAACATCAACACAATCCGAAATGGATGAGTGTTTCCGACTACTTAATCAACAGTCACAGCACATAAAGCTTACGCGGCAGCAACCGAGAAATGGTTGGCTCCCCTATCTAAACGTACAGATCAAACTGTTCAACGGCGCTGCGAGTGTAAAATGGTATCGTAAAGAGAGTTCCAAGAACATTCTGATCAATGCTCGTTCTGCACACCCGATCGCTGTTAAAAGAGCTGTTATTCGTAACATGCTCAAAACGGCAACGAACGTATGCACAGGAGAAGAAGAACGGAAGGAATCTCAAAGAAGGGCGCTAGAGATTGCTCGAATGAATGGTTACGCGTGTCAAAAAGGACACAGTGGACCATCCATTTCCACTCATAGCAATCAGCACCAACAGAAAATACCTCTTTGCCTTCCTTTCGTTTCTGACGAGACTAGTGCTGCAGTGCGACGATGCATTGACCGAGCGAACTTGAAAGACGATGTCATTTTAGTCGATATTCCTAGTGACAACATCAGAAAGCGGCTGGTTCGTAACAGACTATACGACAGCTACTGCAGAATCCAAGACTGTGTAGTTTGTCCATCCGGTAAAGTTGGTGACTGCGGTAAGACTGGTGTTATCTATGAGATTGAATGTATCGAGTGCAGCGCCACTTATATCGGAGAGACTGGGAGGCCACTTTGGGTAAGAATGAAAGAACATCTTGCCAGCAAGAGACGGGGAAGTCTTACCACACCGCTTGGCAAACACAGGGTTGAATTCCATTGTGGTAAAGACTTCGAAGTTAGATGTACTATACTGGCATACGAATACGATACTGCTAGCAGAAAAGCTCTCGAGGCATTCTGGATTTTTGCAAGAAATCCATGCATGAACAACCGAAATGAGTGCGTGTCAATCACAAATGACTTTATGCCTTTTCTGGAGTTGTGTGAGTTGAAGAATGCCACTGATTAATGTCAATATGGTATACACTGTATTCCATACTAGTGGCACTTGAGGACGGCCGCATTCAACATCTATCTGAGCGGCAGCGGCGGAGGAGGTTAGTTCGTCTTCCACGTACTTGCGTATTTTCGTTTGTGACATTCGGGGGTAAAGTCGAGGCTGGCTAGGGGGTGGAGGAGGTTTTTGGTGGGGTAGGGCATAATATCTAAATCTCTTACCACTTTAGGCCTCTGAAGAAGACGAACACGTCGAAACGTTAGGCCGCCACTACTAACAATAAATCTACTAACCTCGTGCTGGCATACTAACTACTCACCATGTTGTTAGAGCATTTTTACGAAGAGTTGAGAATATAGATGAATTTAGCTCAAGTCACGCTTTCACGCAATTTGGCATCATTTCAAAAGCAACTAATAGGAGTAGAACATATTTGAAAGACACATTCTGGGATAACAAGTCAATTTTGAAAAGCTGGTACAAATAACACACCCGGACACTGGCGTCACAGTCTCAAAATTATTGCGACACTCATGATTGCCTTTCGAAACCCGTGTGACTTTTACGAAAATATGCTTGGTCACTCTTTTGAAATTTGGCAGCGTTCTAAAACGCATGCCACTTGGCAGCAGTCCAATTCCAAAGATCAGTGTATTTCATCATAATTTTTACGTCTGCGGCCTCCTCGTTTGCCATGATCCAACTATCGGGCGGCTTAATGGGCAAACAACGAATTCGTTATATATTACGTAGTGATTGTTTAAAGAAGAGGCATGCGGATAGCACGGCCAGTGCGAAGCAGAGGTTTGCACTGGCTCTGCTCCGCATGCACAGTTTACCTACACGCTGATAGGGTGCTACGACAAAATTACTAACTCAAAACGTTGGCTGCACCTTGCTATATGAATTTCGTGACAGACAGACATACAGACAGACACACAAATAGACGGACGCTTAACGCTTTATTATTACAGACAGACACACAAATAGACAGACGCTTAGCGCTTTATTATAAGTCTTGATAATTTATTTTTAGATAAAGAAATTCTTTTTGCGATTTATGAGAGTTTGACAAACTCTTTCATGTTTGAGTGACTGTACTGAAAGACATTCATCATGGTTCAGAGAACAAGAACGCTTTAGACTATGATGATAGTCTTGGGTTCAATTCCTGTATGCGGCACCATTTGCAAGGGAGAAAAAATGCTATTCATCGAGCGTAAAGAATACCCGCGACCGAGAAACTTATTTTCCACTTTTCGCACAGATTTTCCTGCAAACAAATCCATTTAAACGCCTTCCAAAACGATGTCAAAAACGTGCATGAGGAGAGTAATTGGGGAATTCGTGACTAAGGTCAGGGAGAAGCTGAGGGTGTGCGAAAGACAGGTTGTGTAGTGGAGTGCCCCCACAATGGAAGGTACAAGTTGCAGCCACTCGGAGCAAAGAGCTCAAATGCAATTTAGATCCTAAAACTGAAAAGTGGGATTTTTAAGCTCAAAATTTGTTATACACTGAAGCCGCAACGAAAGCCCGAAATTTTCAGGGTAGAAAGTAGGAGGATAACTTCGTAACAGTGAACAAGCTATCATAGTTCCGAAAAAAATTTAGATGCGACCCATATACGAACCCCTTTTTCATCTCTGTTGCCATACATAGATTTAAAGAAAATCCACAGTTTACGACATAAGACCGGATATTCACAAATGTAGCAGAGCTTTCTCAAAGTTCAGCTGAATTGTATGGGACCGTGAAAAATATTACGAAAAGATTTACAAATTATTGATGGTCATCGTTGGTAGAGGTAAGGGCTTTTGTTGAATGTGTGTGACTCAGAGGCTTAAAAAGCAGAATTTCGAGGTCAATGGGTTCATTCAATGTCTTTGTCACAATTACATGCCTTCAATAGTGTCTGAGCTAGTAATGTTATTTTGGAATTTTCTTTCAGTCATGATTTTCTAAAGTGTTATTTTCAACAATAAGCCCCGCATAATTATTTGTTGTTCGATTTCCTTAAAAGCTGACGGTTTTTAACCAAACTAAGCCTTTTCAACCCCCCCCCCCCCCCGCTCCCGGTAGAAGTATAGGAGACGCGAGACTGCATTGACACATTGTCTAAACAAGCCCAATCGTGTATACTCTGCTGCGTGACGAAGGCGCAATACCTTTGGGCGAGCACGGCAGGGCGCAGGATTTACAGTGGTGAGGACACGACGCGCCGCGTTCACGCCCGCTCAACTAATACTACTTCTGCGCCTTTGTGATGCAGTAGCCTCTATATAGCAGGTTTATACTTGTTATTTATCTCGTCCACGTTTATTCACTCTTTGGAAACAAGGAAGAACAAACTCAGACTTGTTAAAACAATGTCCGCAATGCGGTTTCGCACCTCCTAGTCTTAGAATAGATGATAGTACTATCCAGTGGTATTCTACACCTCCGACTCGACCCTGACATGACCCGCTCCAGAATGAACTACTGGCGCACTGCCAAATGAAAGGCGCCTTTGAGTGCTCCAGTCCAAATTCATAGACCGAGCACAATGCGCACATTCTGCAAATGCACATTTTCAGTTTTGTTAAAAGTTCGTGCGAATGTCATCAGCAACATCTCGAATTGATGATTTCAGCTTTTCTACCCATGTATGGTTCATTCTGAATGTTTTGTTTTATATTTCTGAGTTTTTATTCATTTTTATTATCGTGGCATGCTCATCAGCTCAAACTGAGCAGTGGTTTTCGTTTTTGATAGGTGAACCATGCGTCTTGCCTTGCGTTTGCTGCGTCCAGCAGCAAATCAGAACATCAAAAATCCCAAACTATGGCAAGATCCAGTACTAGGTTATTTTGAAACTCATGGTGAGTTTCCGGTTTTTTTTAGGTGGAGTAGATCAAATTCTTCTTTGAAGGTAAGATGGAATTTCTTCCTGGACAGGAGTACAACCTTAGCGATGACGAAAAGAAAGCTGTGTTATGGAGATATCGTGTGAAGGAAATCTTGAAGAAAGAGTATCTTCGGCGCGAGTATGATCCACACAACTTCAAATATAAAGTTAGTTGTTTTCTTTGTCATTCCCAGAAAAGAAGATTATCTTTAGGAGGGTGTGGTTATGGACCCTGCCATGTTTCGATGGTATTCTGCTGACATGACACAGGCTGAGTTCTTCCGAGTTACGCCAAGATCGGTGTTCTTGTATGTGGGCAGTGTGCTATTGATATTCTATCTCTACGTTCGACTGGTCTACATCCCTATCGTAAGTTTCTTTTTTGTGGAAGGCCTTTTGTTACCATTGCAGTGATAAGTCTTCAGAGAATTGCGGTTTAGGATTAGAGAGCGATTACAGTGTTTGATAGATAATGACATATTTTTTATTGGAAAAGGGTCCATAATGCTATTTTTGCAGAAGTTTTGCTAGCAAAATGAATCGTACCCTTTGTTCCACAAAACCACTTTCTTCACTGTTTCTTTAAATCCCCGGAAGTCTAGGTATCTGGATTTTTTTGGAAAAGCGGGAGCGCATGTGATTTTTTTCATAACTAAGTTCAACTTTGAACCTCGCCTAGCTCCCATATGGTGCGGAGCAATCAGCTTCTCGAATACGGTAGTGGGCGAGAATTCACAGTCTACCACGCCACGAAATTGTCTTGTGAGCTAGATCATGTCTAGTTCGCCGAATCAGTATTCACATAAGAAGTCCGCGTATCTAAATTTGCTTAGACACTGTCTTTGACTTTACTGACTAGAAAAGCAACTTTGAATTTTGACTAGAACAGCAATTTTGAAATTCCTCATATTCAGTTACAAACGATACTGCACATTCTTACAGGACAAGTCTAACGAAGCTTGTCTCGATGGCCAGCTCCTTTGGTGGGATCGTCAACAAGGTCGTACCATTTCAACGGCAGGATCAGGAAAATTCGCACCCATGTTTGGAATCGATTTTTAGATCTATATGCATTTCATTTCTGTTAGGTTACATTTTCTCTGCTGTAGATATAAACTAGAGCTCTAATTTCATAGTAATTAGATATTTTAGAGGATCAGAGCCTTTTTCGATCATCTTAGTAGTAATTTTGAGCGTTGTGATAAAGTTGCAACCTAGGTTTCGTTTTGAGATGAGTGTTTTTCACTATCATGCTGTTCTCCTTCTTCCCCTCTTAATCTTAAATCTTTTTTTCTCGAGCACTAGGGGATGGCGGAGTTGAAGGCAGCCTTGAAAGAGGCGAAAAAGCTACTCAGTGCTGGTCAAAGTGACGATGCACTCGGGGCTCTGCAGGTGAGTCCATTTCTCTGTTTCGTTTCGTCAGGAATGTTGATTGTGTGTCATAACTGTATTGTGTATTTCAGGGGCTTCTAGATGATGAAGTTGAGGATTACATGCTATTTTCTTTCGCTGCTCTTGCGCATGCTAATCTCGGCGACGCTAAAGAAGCTAGGATTTTATACGACAAAGTACGATTTTGCGCACATTTTGAAATGCTCAAGTCATTTCCGCGGATTTCAGGCTATAAAATTAGACGCAAAGCTACCAGCTGCCTGGCAAGGACTGTACAAATTGTATGATGCGGGTAAATTGCCAGCGGATGACCGTGCTTTAGAAGTGTGTGACCATCTTGCTACATCAAGGTACTGTTAGCACAGTTTTCATCGTCTCAGTGCTTCTTTCGTGTCTTTTTTTTTTTTTGAACGAGAATTAAAACTGCTTCCAAGATCTTTCTACTTGCCTCGTGCATTTTGAGGTTTTTTGGAAAGTATTTTGAAGCTAGAAGCTTAACCCGTATCCGAATGCTATACAGTCACTGCTGAAATATTTCCAGCGACTCACAGGAGAAACGACTAATATATGAAGAATCTCGTCGAAAGTTCTTGTTTGAGTTGGCTCGATATGAGCAATTAGAGGTGGTGTTGACTTTTTTACCGACACGGTGATCTGGAATGCGTGCATATGTGTTCACTTTCAGAAAGATCTCGGAACCAACGAAACGCTCATTGGCAAAGTCATTGATAAGATGACCAGGAAGGATATTCTCTCAGCAATCGAAAGTGCTCTAGTAAGAATCTCTGCTTGAGATGTTTATTTTAATTGTCTTAAAACGACTTGTTAAAGCTTCGGAAAGCGTTCAATGAGCTGGACGGTTCGTTCAGAGCGAATGCGGATTGGAATTTGCAGTACTGCAAATTTCTTTACACAGTAAGTGTATACTTTGTATTTTCCGTTTTTCATCGAGTTCAGTGAAATTCAGAGCTTGTAGAGACAAGAACGACAATGGACTGAAGAAGTGCTCAAATTTTGTGCTTGCCATCCTTATGAAGAAATATCATGGATACGCGGTCGTCTTTTGGAGATCATAGCAGAAAGTAAGGGCATATTTTTGAATATTCTTTCTTCCTGATCGCTATCACCTTTTGTGCACAGTGCGGTAATTTACTGGTTGTGGGACTGGAAAGTTATGAAAATGTCTTCATTATATCTCCCGATCAAGAACCTCTGCGTGTTGTGCTGATGCAATTTTTTGATAATAGATTTTTGTAAATTTGCATGCGCTTGCCACTTTCCAGAATTCTTTTGTACCCAAATCATTCCTGATGACGTCTTCACTATTTACGCAAAATGCACTTCAAAGATGAACGAAATTGAAAAGAGCACCGATCAAGTGCTGCAGTCTCTCAGGTATTGCTAATATTACTAGCAAACAAACCGCGTAATATGGTTAGTTCTCAGTGGAGACGACATGGCTGCAACACTTGATGTTGTTGATGGGCTTCCGGAAAACGCGTTCACCTATCTGCCCCTTGCTATGATTGCCGTTCATTTACTTGCTGAGACGGAGAACTGGGAGAAAGTTGTTAGGGTTAGTTTTTCTCTATCCGCTTGTTTGATGGTGCTTGGGTGCAGAGGATTTTTACTAACTACTTCTCCTTTTTATGCGCAGTGTTTCGGTTTCTGGACAAATATGGACGTGTTTACAATACTCGCAAATTGTTTTTGTACTTTGAAAATAAGTTCAAAATGTCCAACTTTTGCAGTATTAATTGCTTTCCTGAAATAGTTTGGGGTCCTTCCCTGAAAGACAGACGTCATCGGTTTTGTTTGCATTTCTCGGCAGTGCTTGTTGCATCATTCTGTTGCGAAGTAACGCAATAAGGTTTTTCGTTGCTGTTGGGCTTTGCTTACAACAAGAACCAAATCCTTCGAGACATCTTTCCAATGAAAATTTCCAAATTATGTTATTCACTTTTGTTATCATCGTTTCCATGCTATTCGCTTCTGCTATCATTTTTTTTATCACACAACACATTTATTTAACATAGTGTCCATTCTGCGGCCTTTTTAGTCGTCTGAGTCATGAGCAAATAAAGGAAATTTTCAGTTTATGTTCAAGTCATCTCCAACCAGAGTATATTATATGAATTGATCGCGTCATCAAAAAGTTCTGTTTTTCGCATTTGTTTTTACTCGGAAATCTCTTCAGGTGGTTGACTGGATTATTGGACAAAATGTGACAACTGAGTGTGAAAATGTCGCGTCGTGGTTGAAGAAGCAAGCGCTTTTAGAGATGAATCAAGCGGATGAGGCTCTGAGGTATTGTTTTCAAAATGTTTTGTTGTTTGTGCTCATTTGCTTCTCTACTTGCTTTCTTTAGAGTAAAAGTCTCTGGAGAACATCCGCCTTCCATGTTTGCTATTGATTCTGCAAAGCTGTCAATGTTGAAAGGTGATGACGTGGATGACATCATACAGGAGTTGGGTGTAGATTCAGTTGATGCGAAGAGGATAAGGTATGATGCTCTACTTTTAGCTAGGATGCAAGACATTATTTTTAGAATTGTGAGAGCTTTACAAACTGGAGAGGCCGTTGAATCTCTAGCAGATTCTGAGTTTCTTATGAAAGACGATTCGTTGACATGGCGGGATTTGGCCTTGGTGGCTGAGCTGTACATCCTCTTGGGGAAGGATGCAACTGCTTTGTTAGTGAGGGTGGGTAGGAATCAGGAGTCATAAAGACACCCGTTAGTCTGTAAGAGATTATTTTCAATTTAGAATGGCTGAAGGCAAAAAAAGAGTCGTTTTCTTTCTCAGCATCCATGTTTTTATAGTAGAGATTAACAGAACTGACGTTGTCTTTTTGTACCAAATTGAGTGATCATGTTGATGTCGAAAAACTAAGCGCTTACAGGCAGCGAAGCTCAATCCTCGCTCCAGTCGCGTTTTCTTCCTCCTGGGCAAGTCACTGAGGCAAAAGAATCCGTCAAAAGCCCGTTCTTGCCTTGAGAGAGCTGTGAAGATTCGACCAAACAACCAGGAATATATCAAGGTGCTAGATGAGGTTTATCAGGATGCTGGTGAAACAGTGGAAACTCGCTTGGCGTTATTAAACCAGTTGAATGAGTACAAGAAACCAATGTGGCTGAGGAAAAGATTGGTGGAGTGAGTCGATTTAACCTTGAGTAGGTAGTGTAAATCTAGTACCGTAATCTGTTCAGATTAGCCAAAATCAAGCAGAATTGGGACACTGTCATTGATGAACTTCAGCAGATTGTCAGGTTTCATGAGAATGACTTCGCTAGTTGGGCTCTTTTGGCGGAAGCGTATTCACATAGAGGAAATTTGCAGGTGTTTCTGAGCATTGTGATTTTTCTTTATCTTATTGTGTTAATTTAGTCATCCGTCAACGCCTACGGCAAGGTATTAGAGCTCGATCCAAGTAGTGACTATGCTATATGCGTAAGTGCCCACCACTTTTTCAAAATTGCGTTTGATTTATTTGAACATTGTTTCAGCTAATACAAGTGCTAATGAGAATGCATAATCTCGAAAGCGCTGCTGAACAGTGTGAACGTCGGCGCTCATTGGGGATTGAAAATGATCATATAAGATATGCTGTTGATCTGCTTGATGCTCAGGTTTGCGCGTCTTGATTTTCGTACTTCCATTCCAATAGCTTTGCCGTTTGAGGTCCACTTACGTTTGTTCGATAAAGGGGAGGATGAGCAACGTTTCGACCACTTGAAAGCCGTGTTCAGACTTGCTGGAAATGTAGTAGCAGCGCGACCTCGTATCTCGTTGGCGTACAAATTGGCGGCTGATGCACTTTTGCGAGTGATCAAATATCGTGACAGTATAATGAAAAGCGTAGAGGTAATCAAATCATCTGATCTTAAAGGCAGTGTCCGGGCAAAAACTCGATTTTGAGATCTTGTGCCTATGCGGGCCTATTCGCCATGCTGAATCCGAAAATCCACATTGGAAAGCGCGAAAACGGCGAAAAAGAGCTCTAAAACAGGAGAGAAATCAGCAGGTGGGCGGGGCTTTCCTCAGTGCGATTTCACGCTCCCAGCTCCCGGAGCGATTTTCTCGATTCCGCTAGCCGTCCTAACATCGCTACCGGTCAAGTGCGAATGATTGACTTGAAACCGGAAGCGAGAAGGTCGCTCCGGAAGCCGGGAACGTGAATTCGCAGTGGGGAGGACCCCGCTCAACTGCTCATTTCCCTCCTGTGTTAGAGCCGTTTTTCGCCATTTTCGCGCTCTACAATGTGCATTTTCGGATTCAGCGTAGCGAATAGGCCCAAGTAAGCACAAAATCTCAAAATCGAGTTTTGCCCGGACACTGCCTTTAAGAGGAGTGACTGATTTTCTTAAATTAAGATACCTACAAGTTGGTCTGTTTCTGACCGTGTATCAGCAGTGCGGGCAGCAGTCAATTTTTATTCCGTTGCTTTGGACTTGAATAGGAAGAATGCTTGGGCTTGGTATGATTTGGCTGTGGCTTTGCTCCAACAAGCTCGTCTCGACAGCCCAGCTCAGCATGCGACAAAGTAAGTCGTTTTAAAATAGCATTAAGGCCTCGGGGAGAGTTCACGCGATTTCATCGCCGCGATTCCTCCAACAAAACAAACAGTTACGAGTTTATTGCATGGCGATCATCTTGCATTTCGGTTGTGAGAGTTTTCCGACACGACCAGTCGTGACCAACTGCTGCGACCGAAGCAATAAACTCGTAACTGTTTGTCTTGTGGAAGATCGCGACGATGGAATCCGTGAACTCTGCGCGAGGCCCAAGGTACTCATTCTGCATTTTGTGAACAGTCCCCGTTCCACTCTGCATTGTTCGGATTCCTTATATTCGCTGCTAGCAGTCGGAATGCTTTTTTTGGTTAGTATAAATCTAGTTTTTTCATTCTCAGTCGCCAAAACAGGCTTGCTTATGATAATGGCGAGATCTACGCTAGAACTCCTTGTTTATGTTCGTTGAAAGAGTAGAGTTTAGTGCATCCAGTTTTTTTTTTCGATGATTTTCATGCTATATATGTTTTAAAGGAATGCGAATCCAGTAAATGTCTTATGCTTTTCGTTCATCGTTGAGCAGGTACAACTAGGTGGTGTAAACCGCTGATTCTTTTTTTTAGAGCATCAGAGTGTTTGCGAAAGGGCATGACCTTGACCAAATGCACGCAGACAAAATCTACCTTTTGGACGCTTCTTGCTGAAGCGATGAGATTATCCTCCACTGCTAGTGATACGTCGCCAAATGCAGAGAATTCCACAGCTCTCCAGCAGCACTACCTTGTTCGAGCGTTGCAACTGAACAAAGCTAATGATGAAGCATGGCTTCGTCTGGCGCTTCTTTACTATACAAATGGGGCGGTAAGTGAAGTTCGTTCAGTGTAAGTAAGAACAAATAATGCTGTTACCCTAGATGGACTTAGCGCACATTGCTATCGAAGAGGCGCTCAAGCATAACCCACTTTTGGCTGAGGCTTGGTGCGCGTATGCGATGAAAGCTGATGCAGAAGGAATAAGTCACGAGGCGATTGATATGTTCCGTCACTCTGTGTCCATCAAACCGATGGTAAGTTTCAAGTCGTACATCATTATATCATTAGCTTTCATGAAAAAATCTTCCTTTGTTTCAGATCCCTGCAGTCATGAAGTACACCGCCATGTTGAGTAAAACGCTACGAACAAAGACTTTCGACTCTGCTACGGTGATGATAGACTTCTCAAAAGTGCTCAGGCTAAAAGGCAAGGCTATTTTCTACTGATTATGCTCTGCTTAGTTTGTAAGTCTAGTTCATGGCAGTGAGTAATGGGCGAATTTTGTATGCACTACCTTCTCGATCATTTTCGTGTTCTTTCCTATATTGCAGCAAATCTACCCGTAGTTATGGTTTATGCATGCCTCCCGCGTGGCCAGTTGTAGAGTGTATATTTCTCACAGCTTGATTTTTTTGTTTGTGTTTGTGATGTCCCATCATTTGAAATGCAATTTTCCCTATACACTTTGCTACATTGTTTGTATTGGAAAAAGTATTTGACTCAAAAGTTGTGTTTAGACAATCAAGACTGTGTAAGCAGAGATCAGCTTCTCCATATTGCCGTCCTGGCCGAGTTGTTTGGTTATTACGAGGATGCAGCCAATTCTCTCAAGGAAGGTAGAGAGAAAGGAATCCATCTGCAAAGGGCTCAGCTGTAAGTAATGATTTTTTCGAGGCATTCTACTACCAGTGTTTAAGTTTTTGTTTTATGTCTGTAGTCAGTTGAATGAAGTTCGGCGTTTCAGAAAAGCTGGCGAGAAAGTCGCTAATCCTGACAAGTCTCTCCAGCATCTGGCAAAGTTATGTGCGATGAATACCGAAGATTTGTTCGATCTTCTAAAGGAAAAACAACCATTATACAGAGACCTATTCGATCGACTTGCTGCTCCTGAAGCGAATGGCTTACAGGAGCTCTACCGTGCCTATTCGAAGTCCATATCTGTTCCCTTGGTGGTAGCGGCTGTGATTCGTTTTGGCTTGGTGAGTACCTCAATCATTTGTTGTATCTAGGTTAATTTGCATCATGATTTAGCCTTTATGTGACCAAGCTGTTAATGTGCTTCATGAAGTTTTACCTCGTCATGAACTCATTGACGTATTCCCAACAGTTATGCCAGAAGACATGGACAACGGGCTCATCTATGTAGAACAAGATGGTGAAGAGCCTTTTCGGTACAGTCACTATGTTGCAAAGGTGTGTCGCTTTCCTACAAAAGCATTTTGTTTCGGAAAGTGACATGTTCATTTTCAGCCTCTCTGTGAGATTCTAAAGAAACGACGTGAAGAATTAGAAGCTCAACAAAATGACACTAGTGCAGAGCCAGTGTCATAAAGCTTTACTGCCAGTATAATGCGGGTGCTTGTAGTCATATTTTGCTGCATAAAGTTTATCTGCACTTTTTTTCTGTCTTTTATGAGGTCGAAGGTCCCTTGGTACTAGGCTTTATGTCGTCCATTCACCTTTCGATTGTACATTCATCTAGTCACTTTGAACAGGCTTACTTTAGGGTATCACATAGCTGTAGCATGGCTAAAGAATTAGAGATTGAGAAGGAGATTGTAGAACAAGGCGATCTTGTGCGAAAGCTCAAAGGAGATGCGTCGGCAACAGAGGTATGTCTTGATTTGCACATTTGCTCATCATCGTTCTATTTATCATATTTTTAAATAGTATTCTATATACTTTGCTATTTTTTTGGAATTTCAGGACATGAAGAAAGAAGCTATAGACAAGCTTTTGCGACTTAAGCTAACCTATAAGGAGATAACTGGCAAAGATTACGCACCGCCAAATGCTAGGCAACAAAAAGTGGGTGCCAGCTCTGTAGATTTCATATATTATATTTTTATTATCAAGGAGAAAAAACCAATAGAGACCAAGCCCGCGGATAAGGATAAGAAGCCGGAGGCTAATGGAAAGAAACAAACTAAGCTGGGGATCGAAATATCGAAGGATGAAAACTACTCGGAATGGTACAGTCAGGTAAGCTCAGCATTGAAACTTCTCTGGCAGTATATTGGATGAGGGCGCCCACTTTTAATCCTTAGTTTATACCACAGTCCTTGCCATTTCAGGTAATCACTAAAGCCGAAATGATTGAATACTACGACGTGTCAGGATGTTACGTCCTGCGTCCATGGTCTTACGCTATTTGGGAAGGCATCCAGGCAAGCATTTTCCTTCAATGATTAATTTGAATCAGCATAGTGAGTGCCATGTAGGCGTATTTTGACGGTGGTATCAAGAAGCTCGGCGTCAAGAACTGCTATTTCCCTATGTTTGTAAGCAGTGCAGCATTGGAGAGGGAGAAAACCCATATTGCTGATTTTGCACCTGAGGTTTGTTATTTTTTGTTATTTAAACAAGGATTTTTTCTTTCTTATTAGTTGTGATGACTATTTGGCTCATAATCATCTCAGGTGGCTTGGGTAACCCGAGCTGGCTCTTCTGAGATGGCCGAACCCATTGCAATTCGTCCAACATCAGAGACTGTTATGTACCCTTCATACAAGAAATGGGTCAAATCGCACAGAGACTTGCCTATTAAACTGAATCAGTGGTGCAATGTTGTTGTAAGTCGCAGTTACACTCCTGTTTTGAATGTTAATGAGGGGATTTGTAACTTTAGAGATGGGAGTTCAAGCATCCTACTCCCTTTTTGAGAACCCGGGAGTTCCTTTGGCAAGAAGGTGCGTCTGATCCTATTTCCTTCATATTGACCGTTACTCCAGGGTTTTCAGAAAAGAGGTGAAGGTGATTTTAGGGCACACTGCTTTCGCTAACCAAGAAGATGCACTGAAAGAAGTGTACCAGATTCTTGATCTCTACGCTAACGTCTACACAGATCTCTTGGCAATCCCAGTGGTTAAAGGTAGAAAGAGTGAAAAGGTGAGATTGTTGAATTTTTGCGCCGTTCTATCACGTTGAATCAAAATTTAAAGGAAAAATTTGCTGGAGGAGACTTTACTACGACAGTCGAAGCATACGTACCTGTCAATGGACGTGGTATACAGGGCGCGACATCACATCACTTAGGGCAGAACTTCTCAAAAATGTTTGACATATCATTTGAGGATCCCAATACCGGAGGAAAAGTGAATCTTATTGAGTTCTCATCCATCTTTGCAAACATTGTAGCTAATAGGTGGATTCTAGTCATATGCATGGCAAAATTCTTGGGGACTGTCGACCCGTACCATTGGTGCTATGGTAATGATCCACGCTGATGACAATGGTCTTGTGCTACCACCTAGAGTAGCTTCCATACAGGTGATTTTATCCAAATCATGTCATCCATCAATTTCGATTGTTTTTCCTTTCCGCTATATTAGCCGGACAGACTTCACGCAATTTGATCGTCGCGACTCAATCGCCGACATTTTCATTTTCATTTCACATTCAAAAATTTCGGGCTGGAAAAGTATCACAACCGAATGCAAGTTCGGCATGGAATGATGTTGTAACAGTTGTCTCCTCGCGATTCAGTCGCGACGATCTCAAATCGCGTGAAGTCTGCCCGGGGCCTTAGACATCTCTGCCCATTATATCGAGTACCTTCTTCTAGGCCATAATTCTCGCTGTCGGTATAACTGCTCAAACATCTGATGAGCAACGTCAAAGCCTAATGGACAATGCCGCAGAGGTGGCGAAAGACCTGGTTGATGCCGATGTCAGAGCAGAAGCTGATCTCAGGTAGTTCTGTCAGTTTTTATCCGTGTCCAAAACGGAGATGTTTCAGAGATAACTACTCTCCTGGATGGAAGTTCAATCACTGGGAGCTGAAAGGCGTACCTATCCGGATCGAGGTAATTTTTCTCTCCAAGCATTATCTTATGAAAAGAATCAACTATGCCAAGATCTACAGATAGTCGAACATTAGTCATTATTTTACGATCTTACATTCTCATCTGCAGATCGGGCCTAAAGATGTGGCTGCAAACCAAGTAACAGCTGTGTTGCGATATAACGGCAAAAAATTGGCCATCAAACGAGCCGAGCTCGTGAGTGAGATCAAACGATTATTAGAGATGATCCATGAGGATATGTACAACAAGTGAGTGCCTGTCTACCTTTGATGTATTTTTATCCTTACTTTTAGTCGGCTTTGAATTTTCTTGTTCTTCACTAATTATTATGACCCTAATTCCTATAAATCCAGCTTGTTTCAGAGTTCTAACAGCGAGAAATGCTCACATGAAGGTCTCATATGATCTCGACGAAATGAAAAGTTTACTGGACGACAAATTCATCGTACTGTCGCCGTTCTGTGGTGAAATTGCCTGCGAGGACGAGATCAAGAAAGCGACCACCAGGGATGACGCCGAAGCTGGAGCTGCACAAATGGGAGCCAAAACACTCTGCATACCCTTGGAGCAGCCTAAAGAAACTCTACCGGAGAAATGCATATTCCCTGCTTGCAAGAACAAGGCTAAGTTTTTCGCACTGTTTGGGCGCAGTTATTGATTTTGAATGAGTATGCAACTTTGATCTGTTCTTGTTACTCGCTGTTATTATGTGCGATGATGTTGTCCAATAATTATACGTGCATAAGTTCCTATCACTACTTTCTGAAAGATTCTAAGTCGAAAGTCCATATTCTCAAAAGGGGGCGGTGTGATGGGTTTGGCAAAAATATGAGCTTTTGTATGCTAATTGACAAAATATTGGTATAGCGTGATATGGTGGTTGGTTTGTATTCCATGGTGGGTGCTCCTTAGCATTCCAGATAAACATCTCTGTTGATTAGTCGTTGTCAAATCATGGTGATACCAAGGCAAGCGCGTCGTCTTTGAAATCTCGACTGGAATTCATCACCGAAAAATAATACCGCAAACTATAGAATGTCCTTGAATTTCGTCTCCGTCGATCCAGAATTTTGCGGATTTTGTGGAGCTATCCTTCAAATGCCTCAAAATGCTCCATCTACTGTTGCTTGTCGCGTATGTGGTACACAATGGCATGTAAAAGGTCGGTTTTCCCCTCCAAGGCAGTCATTCTTGAATATCTTTCTGTTCAAGAAAAACGTGATCATCTCGTATGCCGAATAGAGAAAATTTACGAGAGGACAGTAGCTGATACGGAGGGCATGGAACAAGATGATGGAGCCGATGCTGTTGTCGACCATGTTTGTAGCAAGTAAGTGAGAATTGTGCTGAATGTTTGACTTGCAGATTGTAGAATTAATGTGCTTTGTGAATCGTGTATCGTAAGCCGCCTATAAAAGCGGTGGAGCGTAATCGCTTACTGATGTTTATGGAAGGTTATGCCTGCATGCATTCCATAAGTCATCGAAACTTTTGAAAGAAAGAAAACTAAGTAAAGAGAGTCATCCTAGGTGCGGTCACAACAAAGCGTCTTACTCCACCATGCAGACGAGATCAGCGGATGAAGGCCAGACAGTGTTATAAAACCAATACTTTGTCTTCACAGAAAAAAATTTTTCTACAATGCCTCACTTACCGCATCCCAAACTCCTCATTTCAGCGTTCTGCGTGTAGAACTGGTTTTTTGTCGGCAATTCTTTTCGCCAATAACTCACATGGCATGTCGTATCCATTCTCGTACTTCCAACGAGATGCCTCCATTTGCGCCACACTTACCTGAAATTGCAAGTTATGAGGCAAAATTTCCAGGTTGAGCTAGTAAGTTCAATACCTGATATTTGCAATCAGGGATCATTCCTTATAGCACAGCATCCAAACGTTTGGAGAAAGATTATAGGATGGATGTGACTGAGTCAGCTACGATTAAACTGTCCGGTTACAACTCTTTTGTAACAGCAATGACTGCTGTATCAACTCCCTAAAACCAATTTTGCTGGTTGGGTATTTTATAAACAATAGCATTTTCGACTATACAAGCATGTAGAAAGCGAAAAAGTATGAAACATACTTTTTCGCTTTCTACATGCTTGTATAGTCGAAAATGCTATTGTTTATAAAAACCCAACCAGCAAAATTGGTTTAGGGAGTTGATACAGCAGTCATTGCTGTTCAAAAGCGTGTACCGGACAGTTTAATCGTAGCTGACTCAGTCACATCCATCTATAATCTTTCTCCAACCGTTGGATGCTGTGCTATAGGAATGATCCCTGATTGCAAATATCAGGTATTGAACTTACTAGCTCACCTGGAAATTTTGCCTCATAACTTGCAATTTCAGGTACGTGTGGCGCAAATGGAGGCATCTCGTTGGAAGTACGAGAATGGATACGACATGCCATGTGAGTTATTGGCGAAAAGAATTGCCGACAAAAACCAGTTCTACACGCAGAACGCTGAAATGAGGAGTTTGGGATGCGGTAAGTGAGGCATTGTAGAAAAATTTTTTTCTGTGAAGCCAAAGTATTGGTTTTATAGCCATGATCATGATTTCGTTCGATGATGAGGATGGAGCAGTTGTGTTCAAAGTCGACCCAGCTGGATATTATCGTGGAATGAAGGCAGTATCAGTAGGTGTCAAACAAGTGAGTTGTTCTCGATTGTCAGCTAAGTCGAGATCATGTTTTTTACATGCATTTTTACGAAAGGCTTATGATTGGTATAGGCGTCCATGCGTATAGCGGGCGTGGCTCTGCAGACATTTGAACACGTTGAAAAACTTATAGAATCTCCACTTTAGAGCATTGGTTTTTGTAATCTCTAGCTATCAAAAACTGCCACGCACATACGTTGGCAAACGTCGGCAAAGCTCCGCCCGCTATACTGTGGAGAATGACGATAATACCATACAACCGCTTTCTTCATTTTCTGTAAATTACAATCCTTTCTTGGCCAAAAATTGTGAACTCGATTTCTAGGTCACAGCATCTTCGTTCCTTGAGAAGAAGATCAAGAAGAAGTCAGATCTGAACCATGATGAGACGATCCAATTAGCTATCGAAGCGCTACAAAGCAGCTTGGGTATTGAAACCCGTTCAAAAGATCTTGAAGTTGTCGTGGTCTCAAAGAAGGACAAGAAGTTTACGTGAGTTTCCATTGGTAGCCGTGTTCATGTTGTGCGAGATTAGTTTTGCAGAAAGCTGACGAACGATCAAGTTGACCATCATCTAAATGCGATTGCCAACCGTGATTGAAAACCATCGTTATATGTTTGAATTCATACGTGTTACATGAAGTTTATTTGTCCTAGCTCCAATGCGCATTAATTAATAATGTAACTTAATTTTATTGTTTTTATACCTCTGAAATGTTATGAAGATGATTGATAAACGAATCCGGTATTCGCTGAGTTTGTATAGAACGATTTTGTCGAACATTATCACTGTAAAATTGGAGTAATCATCTCCTTCATCGTACATTTCTGATCAAATCGACTCGGAAATTCCAGGCCTTTTTAAGATGTCAGATGATGACGACTTTGATGAGATCAAGCACGAGAAGTTGTTGGCAAGCGTGTTGGGCAACAAAGAGAAGGTGTGCAGCAATCATTCTAATCTCATTTGAATGTTCCTCAGCTCCAGTTCAGGTACAAATTCGTAAAACCGCACCGAAGATCAGCAGTGATGTCCTTATCAAATCTGTGAAACAATCTAAGTAGGTGTAATTGTTTTCCTTTTCCATTTTTTTATCCATCATTTAACATTTTTTTGGATTTGTTGTAAAAACAACGCTTCATTGGTTACATTATTTTTGTTCTTGAACGCATAAGTACAAATTTGCTTATTTTTATCTCAACTGTCTTGTGAGAAAATTTGTTAGAGACTTATTGTAGTGGAACGCGTTGAGTCGTTGACGACTTATTAGAAAAACACAAAAGTTCCCCCTCTGCCTATCGGCGTACATGCCGAGGGTTTACTAGGAATAGCTCTAGAACAACACACAAATATATCAAAGGTGCGGCGGGTACGCCGCAACCACAGAGACCATATCGACCTAGCCTATAGTGAGCGAGCAAGTTCCAATTTAAGGGACGGCTCTACAACACCTCCCTCCTAAGATGAACAACGATACATCTTACAATAAGGATCTACTTGTAGACGTTCTGGTGGGCGACAATGGCGACTTGGTCTGGTTGATGTCGGTGGCGTAGACGAGGTGGCTTGATGTTCAGCAGCATCCATACCATTGTTACGTCGGCCTTCGTCGGAGATGGACTGTGTTGAGTCATGATGTCGGTCCATACTTGCGGCGCGGCGCATCTGATTCGCATGACGTCTCCATAACTGTCCATCTTCCGTAAGCACGTCATAGAGCGCTTCTCCATAGCGTTTCTTCACTCGTGCTGGAATCCATTTTTCACATCCAGAGCGAAAATCACGTACCCACACGGCTTCTTCTGGCTGGTACGCTTTCTTTCGTGTTCCATGGTGGCGGTTAAACTGCTTCTCCATGGTTTCGTTGCCCATCTTTCCTTCTTCTTTGGAATCTTCATTCAACAGCGACAGCGGTGTCCTCATCTGACGTCCCAGCAGCAGTTCGGCAGGTGAACGTTGTCCTGGAGCAGTTGTACAAGGTGTTCGTCGATACGACTGCAGGAACTCGGCAAGCTTCTCTGTCGTTCCTCCCTCCTTAAATTTCTGGAAGGTTCTCTTGAAGATATCCACAAACCTTTCCGCTTGTCCATTTGATTGTGGATGGAATGGGGGCGAACGCATGTGCTGGATTCCTCGCTCTTTACAAAAGTCTTGAAACTCCTTTGCTGTGAACTGTGTTCCGTTGTCCGACACGATTACTCGCGGATTTCCGAAACGAGCGAATAGCAGTCTAAGTTCCTTCAAAGTTGCGGCCGTCGACGATGACGACATTTCCAGCACTTCTGGCCATTTCGAGTACGCATCGACTACGACAAGATACATCTTTCCATTTAGTGGTCCTGCATAGCCAATGTGGATTCGATTCCATGGCTTTTCTTCCATTTTCCATGAATGCAGAACAGTCTTCACTGGCATCTTGGCTGCTTCTTGACATTCCCTACAGAGGCGCACTGAGTCTTCGATCTCTCTGTTGATACCCATCCAGTATGCGAATCCTCTCGCGAGTATCTTCATCCTTGTCATTCCAGGGTGTCCCTCGTGTAAGTGCTTCAAAACCAGTTGTCGCAGCGAGGTTGGAATAACTATTCTGTGACCAAAGTACAAACATCCATTTTGCACCGATAAACTCTCGTTCAGTGCTCTCCAGTTTCCGATGTCTCCTTTTGGCTTGGAAGGCCACGCTCCTGACTGTAGCGTTTGTATAACCTGCATGATGTTTTCGTCCTTGCGGGACTCCTCTTCAATCTTACTCCTGGTCACTGGTAGCGCTCGTACAGTCTCAGCTTGAACGGCTTGCACATCTTCTTCTATCTTCGCGATTACGACGTCTTCGGTTTGAAATGGACGTGGAGGGATCAGTCGAGATAATGCATCCGCTTGCCCGAATTCGGTCGTCTTCTGGTACTCCAAATCGAAGTCGTATGCGAGAAGAATAAGTTTCCATCGTTGCAATCTGTTCGCTGTGTACACCGGTACCATCTTCTTCGGTCCAAAAATGTGCAGCAGCGGCTTGTGGTCGGTGAGCAGCCTGAATCGGCGTCCGTATATATATCGATGGAACTTACGCACCGCGAAAACCAGTGCAAGTCCTTCTTTTTCAATTTGTCCGTAATTTCTCTCGGCGGCTGTGAGGCTCCGGCTTGCATGGCAAATCGCCTTTTCCGATCCATCCGGCATCTTGTGTAAGATCACAGCTCCAATTCCGTAATCCGATGCGTCTGCAGCTACCACTATCTGCAAGCTAGGATCGAAATGTGTAAGAAGTAGGTCCGAGGCTAAAACTTCCTTAGCACGCTCGAATGCATTTTGGCATTCCTCTGTCCATTCGAACCTTGCGTCTTTTCTGAGCAACGCGTCCAGGGGTGCACGAAGTTGACGCATCTCGGCCACAAATAATCCATAGTAGTTGATCATGCCCAGGAATGAACGAACATCCGCTATGTTCTTCGGCGCTGGCATTTGCTGTATGACCTCAATCTTCTTTGGGTCCGGCCGGCGTCCATTTTTGTCGATGATGCATCCTAAGTAACAAATCTCTGGCATCAGAAAATGGCATTTTTCCAACCTGACGTGGAATCCATAGTCCTTGATTCTCTTAAACAAGGCTTCCAAGTTTTGGCGGTGTTCTTCACAACTCCTTCCCGTGATGATGATGTCATCAAGATAAGCGGCTACTCCATCAAGTCCGCTTATCATGGAGTCCATTACTTGTTGGAAAATTCCTGGCGCAGATTTCACCCCAAAGGGTAGGCGATTGTAGCGATACAATCCCTTGTGCGTATTGATGGTTAACATCTCCTTTGATGCTTCTTCGACTTCCACTTGTAAATACGCTTCGGCTAAGTCGAGCTGTGTGAAGAACTGGCCTCCATTTAGTTTTGCGAACACTTCCTCCGCTGTGGGCAATGGGTGCTGATGCAATTGCAATGCATCGTTCAATCCTGTCGAGAAGTCGGCACAAAGACGGATTTTCCCGTTCTTCTTCTTGACAGCAACCACCGGTGCGGCCCATTCTGAGTGTTCGACCGGAGAAATGACTCCTTCGGCTGCCAAGCGATCGATCTCGGCTTCCAATTCCGGTGCTGTCGCGTAAGGCACCGGTCGCTTCTTCTTGAAAACTGGAACAGCATCACTCTTCAAAGCTAGCCTTGCCTTGCTCTTCGTGCATTTCCCCAGATCGCTGTTGAAGACTTCTGCATATCGCTCCTTCAAATCGGCGACCACTTCGGCTCGAAATTTTTCTTCGTTAGTCACCTTCCTGCAGTGGTAGTTGTCCTTCAGCTTCTTATATGCCGGCAGCTGAATACACCACTCCAATCCAAGTAAGTTCGAGCCTTCGGTGACGTAGCATGTGCCGTTTCCATGAACCATCTTTCCTGTATGTCGATCTCTAACAGAGAAATCGGTTGAAAATTTACCATAGATCTGCATCGGCGTTCCGTCTGCAGTTTTGACTGGCATACTACATGTTTCCAGAGCAGGAGATCCTATCCTTTTCCATGCTCTACGCGATATCAGGGTTATGTCCGCGCCCGTATCCAGCTGGAGTTTGAGAGAGCATCCTTTGATTACGACGTCGAGATAAGTTCGCGCACTCTCGGCATCGAAAGCGATCACGTTCTTGCACTGCCTTTTGTGACCAAAGCGTTTTGCACTTATTCTCCGTCGCTTCTTCCGGCCAGTGCTGGCAGACTGTGGGCAGTCTCTTCTGAAATGTGGTCCTCCACATGAGAAACAGTTTACCTTCTTCTTCCATACAGCATGGATGTCGCGTGTGCCTTCCATGTCTGTGTTATCCATTTTCAAAGCAGTGAAGTTCTCACAATCCCTAAGCGAGGGATCTTGAAGACCTGCTACGAACTGCAGCGTCTTCATCGCCGTGTAGTCGACCTCCTTAAGCCGGGCGTCCTCGTCCATCCGCTTGATAGTATTGGCGTACTCCCGGAACGGTACGTACGCTGGCGTAAGCGGAGGGCACGTTATCCTTAGGCACTCATAACGTCTTCTGATGAGCGTCTTCTTGGAGGCGAACAGCTTCTGGAGATTCGCGACGGTAGTATCGAAGTCCAAGTCGCTTGGTTGCGCTGGCAGAACCTCATCGGCATACTTCCTGTATGCTTCTTCATCCAGCTTCATTAGGATTAAGTCGCGCTTCTTCTGATCCGAAAGCTGGGAGTCGCGTATAACCGGTCCGTACCTGCCATACCAGTACGCAAAGGTATTACCTGTTTCTTCGTCTGAGACGAACCTTTGCACGTCCTTACTCAGCTGATCGTACTGATCCTTGCTGGTGTCCTGGACGGCTCCCTGACTACTGACCAGGGTGGAGATCGGCGTCCTCATTTGCTCTTGCTGAGCTTGCAGCTGCATCTGTACTTGTTCCTGCTGGGCTTGTAGTCGAGCTTGCATTTGTTCCTGTTGAAGCTGCATATGCAGCTTCATATCCTCCTGTTGGAGCCGCATCTGGTCGACCATGACTGATAGGACCTTCTCTAAGGAGTCGTGACCATGCCGTTCTTCACTGGCTTTCGGCATGGTGGACCTCTCCTCAACGACTTCTTCTGTTGAATCGATAATCTTCTTAGCAGAGCTTACTTGTTTGGCTGTCCTCGACCTGTGACAGCTTCCTCCCCGATCCGGCTGCAGCAATTCTTCTTGTCCTTGATTGGTGGAGGCTTCTGGTCCTTGGTCCCTGCAGCTTCTTCTGGTCCTTGGTCGGTGGAGGCTTCTTCTTGTCCTTGATCCTGATCGCCAGTTGTAGTGGAACGCGTTGAGTCGTTGACGACTTATTAGAAAAACACAAAAGTTCCCCCTCTGCCTATCGGCGTACATGCCGAGGGTTCACTAGGAATAGCTCGAGAACAACACACAAATATATCAAAGGTGCGGCGGGTACGCCGCAACCACAGAGACCATATCGACCTAGCCTATAGTGAGCGAGCAAGTTCCAATTTAAGGGACGGCTCTACAACACTTATATTGTGTTGAAGATATCTCATCACAATTGAAACCGTCGCACTCAAATTTTAGGTTCGCTACCGCTTTAGCGAAGCAGAAGTTGGAAGAAGAGAAGAAAGAAGAAAATCGAGTTGGATCAAGTCAGACGGTAGCTGTACCTGTACATCGACAGGCAAGTGAACGGATCAAAGGAGCCGTGGGATTCATCGAGTTGAAGTGAGTCAGAATATTTTTCTGCGATTTCTCGGCGATCCGGCGATCTTGTTAATACTATCGTAATTCTTACCATCTACTATGAGTATGCCAGTTTTGTGTTTTCATAATACGTATCACACTATCTGATGAATGTACAAGAATTTCTATCGTTCAGGAAAGATCTCAAAGTCTGGAACGATGTAGTAAAATCTAACCGTCTGGCAGATCAACTTTCATTTCCTTTATATGAGGAAATGTTGTTATCAACTGAAAAAGCCGCTGATAGGGCTGAAGCTTTCAAGGTTTGTGTCTCTCTCCTTTGGAATCAAATATGTCATTTTGTTTTCAGCCCAAAACGGATTTTGAAAAGAAAATGATGGAGATGTGGAATGGATCTAAAAATAATATGACAAATGATACTGTTTATACAGAGGCAGAAATGGAGATTATCAAAGCCATGGATGTAAAGGAGGTAAGTGTATCGCTCTATAATCTGAAGAAAGTTGAAAGTCTCTTCGTTTCAGGCCAAAGAAAGGCTGAATCAGATGCAAAAGATGCGCGCACTAATCAGTTATAGAGAAGCAAAATACCGTTACGCTGCCAAAATCAAATCCAAAGGGTGAGGGGTTTTGTTTTATCAACAACGCGCAGGAATTTTTGCACAAATTGCTTCGAGAATTCATCGGTCATCGATGATCTGTATCTCCAGATACCATCGTATTTTGAAGCGCCAGAAGCGTAAGCAGCTGATCAAGGAGTTCGATGAGCTACTCGTTCGTGACCCAGAAGCAGCAAAGGAGAAGCTGATGGAGCTAGAAAATCAAAGAATCATAGTGAGTTTTATCTGGATAAAACCGTAACGGTAGCGATAGTGGCAAGCAATAAGTTCAAATTTTTGCCGGCACCTTGTTGCTGATCGAAAGTGTTTTACATTGTTGAAGAGAGTTAATAAAAGCCTTCTTTCCTTCGCGCTAAATCGCTTTTGATGAAAAAGTCTCAATTTTCCTCCTCTCTGTCACTTCCCTCATAACGTGTAGAAATTATTTCTAGGAACGCGGTTCGCTCAAGCATCGCGCTCGAACGAAGTTTCAACAAGATGTTGTAAAGTATGCTGGACGCGATGCTCGTGCTAAGCAAGTGTTGGAAGAACATCTGAGGTAGCGCATTCGTTGAAACCATGATTTTTAGAGAACGAAAACCACGATTTCAGATTGGGACGGGATCTCAAATCAAAGGTCTCCATGGAATCTGAAAGCGAAGATGAAGGAGAAGAAGAAGAGAAGAAGAAGATGAGCGTTTCTGACATGATCAAGGTATATTGTTGCATTATGTGGAATTTGAGACTTACTTCTTTATAAGTAAATATTTCTAGAGTGCCGCTGTAGCAGCAGCAAAAAGCGACAGCGCTTCGACCGGATATGAAAACGAAGAAAAGGCAGAGGAAGCGCGCATCGCTCTATATGAGTTGCGAGCCAAAAAACGTCGCGAGCTGGAGGCAGCAAGGACTCGAGCAGCTAAAAATGTGCGTCTTTAGCTACGGCAATTTGATCTCTTGATCTGATTTGGTCGCTTTCAATCTTTTTACTAGAACCAGATCACCCTGTTTTCTTATTTTAACTCTTCTAGGCATCTGATTCACAACCGACTTTCGAGCAAGAAAGCGACTGGACATTTGTTCCGCCTTCGGCTGATGCTGCTGATCGTGAAAGTGAGGAAAAATCAACTGCCACTGCAATGGGAAAGGAAAGCTCTAGAGCAGCAACAGAAGAAGAAAAGGATAGCTCAGGCGAAAGGAATGGTCTGTTCCATAAATTTTTGAATTTGAGATTGGACGACCAAAAATGGTCTGATATCCAACCAAACTGTGGTGAACATCTCAAACGTCTCTTTCATACTGTTTTGAGACACTTTTATGACAGAATTTACTAGCATGTAACGATAACCTAACCCCGACCGATTGATGATTTTGCACGCTTGCAATCTTTTCAGAAGAGAAAGCGGTGGCCAAAGATAATGATTTGCAAAAAGTCGACGCAGAACCTATAAATAGCTCCAGCTCTGAAGGTAAAAAAGGTAAGCGCATTTCGTATTACATTTCACCCGAGTTCGATGGTGATGAGGTCTCTCAGCGTTTTCCAAGCTGCTAGAATATTTTTTCTGTCAATCATTGAAAATTCAGTGAAGAAAGGGAAGAAGCGGAAGCAAGAGGAAACTATCCACAAGGATTGTACCACAAAAGACATTGACGAACTCTTTGATGCTGCAGAAGAGAAAGTCATGAATGACTTGAAGGAGGTACATAGTATTTTTGGAGCTTCATAGATCATCCGCAAAATATTCGACTTTTAAAGATAGCTAAGAAGATCCGCGATGAAGAAGAGGAAGCAGAAGCAAAGAAAACCAAAGGTAGACGAAAGAAAAAGAAGGCTTCGAAATCGACAGAAGAAGAAGAGAAGAAGGACGAAGCCGTTGACATCTCTTTTGATCCCAAAAACTTTCTGCAGGTACTGTGGAACATTAGTCTTTACTGTTGTTTTATGTCTTGTTTTAGGTTGAAACAACAAACCTTTCTAAGGTCTCGTCAGAGCTGGTCGACAAAATGAATGAGTTTGATGAAGGTTTGTTACCTTTTGACAAGTTGTTTTTTCGAAAAATTCAGAGTTCATAAATTCTTGAACTGTTCTCAAAATAAGAATTTCCGTAGGTATTAGATGTTTCCAAAGATCAGTTTTTCTTTCTGCAGATCAAGCACATGCGGTGGCCGAAGCATTCAAGGATGATGACGTTATCGGTGATTTTGAAGAAGAAAAAGAATTTGTGAGTAGAGCTAAACTTCTGGAAATTTCCTCAGTTTCATAAACATCTCAATGTTTAGATTGAAGAAGGTGAGCGACCAAAGGATGTTGATCTTACACTGCAAGGCTGGGGATGTTGGGTGGGACCTGGTATGACAGAAAGGAAACGTAGAAAGCAGTTCATCATCAAAGCGAAGCAAAAAAGACGAAAAGACAAAAATCGTCCGGGAGTGATCATCAAGGAAACGCAGGAAAATGTAAGTATTCTTACTTTATAGACATCTTTCACTTTCGTTTCAGTCCAACTCTTGATGCTCTCCAGAAAACTGAACCTGCCTCACACTCGCACTTGTTGAATTATTATCTAGAAAGGGGTGTGGTGCGGAAGGCGACAAAACCCAGCAGAGGCGAGGGAACGGTGGCCACGCCTCCCATTTGCTTGCGGTTTAGTGCTGGCCTCGAGTCAATTAGACAGATTGACGCTCTTGTGGCGCATAGGCTGGCACCTGAATGGTGGCGGTGCCCTTTTCGACTACTTACGACTACTCTGTTTTGTTCATAAGAGTTCGTTGTGTGAAATTGGTAAGTGTGACCAACCAGTGTATAAGGAAAGGTTACGTAACGCAAGTGTAGACTCGTAGGTTGTTTGCTGATAGCTAATTGAGTGTGAGATTCGATTTCGGCCATCATCTAAGTAACGCATATGATCAGTTCCCAGGTTCGTGTAGGTGTGTTGCAGATTTTGCCTGATAACAAGGATAAACTTGTTAAACCTCCATGTTATAGCATTGCTTTTCGTACTCTTTCGCTAGCAAAAACCGCCCCGCTGTGAGTTGGCAAGACTCCACCTCCACGCCTCTAAGAATCTGGAAGCCGATGATATTTCGATTAGCTTCTGCAGTGAATAAAAATAACGGAATTGCATCAGTTCTATGCAGTTGTGTAGCTATCATTCGGATAGAGATGAATCAAACACGATAAATGCTGCAAAGCAGTTTTTTTCGAGTCTCAAAGTAAGAAGAATCCTCATTTTCAGGCAAAATCTCAACATCAATTTGTATCCAGCCGGAGATCGAACTCAATATAGCCGCGATATCTTTCAGAATTTAGCCTTTGTCAATACTTCAAGTTTATCTTATTTTTTACGCTCACTTTTCTTCGTTTGACAGGGCAGAGAGAAAAACCACTTTATTCGCAACAAAATCGCACCAGATATAGGACAAAGAAAGGAAATGATGCTATCACTCAGCAATGTAGAGTATACTCAAAAACAAGAAATCCCTGTACAAAGTTTCCAAGTACTTTTTAAGTCTATCTGTTCCACATAGTCATTATCGACAACGGTATCTACAAGGGACCATTACGTATACAGAAATACTGCTTACAAGTGAATGAAGTCATGTTAAGTCCAACCATTTCTTCAAGAAAAGACAAGAACATAGGACCGTTAGGATAGCTAAAATAAAGAAAAAGCCATATGAATACACAAAAGTTAAACTTGCAGAATTTGGCACTGATAACCCGAGTGTAAGTAGCAGAGTTTACAGAATGCTCACGTCAATGGCCCTTGAGCTCGCCTCTGTTCGAATGCACTTAGGCGTGAGATCCATCCTTCAAAAGAAACGATGAGCGAAGTTCAAGCAGAAGTAGTGAGTGAGAGCTTTTACCTCATAAGTCCATAGCTATGGCACACGAAGTTGAAAGCGATCTTTCTGCGAATATCTCAACTAAAATGGAATGATTAAGTCTCGCAAACATTTTGATGATAACAAAAAGGCTAGCCATGAATAGGGGGAGGACATTCATAAGGTGATATCTATATAAGAAAATGATGAAATGGAAAGTAGAAAAGCACAGAACACAAGAAAGGTCATACCTCTGATGAGTCAGGTGGCGATTCCTCTTGCTCGCTTATATGTGCAACTACATGAAGGAACTCCCGCATCAATAATACATCTCATACCCCTATAAGCAAATATGTTTACACAAAAGGTGAAAAATATAGAACCGTAAAGGATAGACAAGAACAGAGACAAAAATGAATCACAGAAGAACCGAAACATGTAGAAAGCGCGCAGACGCGCTCCAGTTCAAAGATTGGAAGGACGAGAGTTGACGACAACTCGCACAGGGCGTGGCCACTAGTCGTGACTGTTCCAGGGCATTTGTCGCCTTCCGCGTGTTCCCCCTAGAAAGTGTTCTTTTTTTTTTTGTTCTATAACTGATTGTGCAATATTTCGTCAATTAGAGAAAGTGACTGTTTCGAAAATCGATGAAGAATATGTGTTTCTCGAATGTTTTTTGCAGACCATAGGCAAACTGCAGCCGAACAATCTACCCTTCCCCTACACAAGTGTTGTTGATTTCGAAGCGGTTGTTTCGCAACCGATCGGCAAGGAATGGAATCCTGTCAGTGTTAGTATGGATCTCTGCAAACCAGCTGTGGTTACTCAGGTAAGGAATGCTTACAACTCCTCTTCGCAACTCCTTAATATCTTTTCTTATTCCGTTAATTCTATGAATGGTTTAGCTTGCATTTGACTGTAGTCGTGCTAAAAGAGCCACCATCGGAATTCATTACTTGTTTGATTTTGAGCAAATTTTTTTGCAAATGTCCAATCTTTCAGGGTGGCCGATCGATACAACCGATAAAAAAGGATGAGGTTTTAGCTGGAAAGCTCGCGTTAGATGAAGAATAGATAATTGTTATTGTTGCTTGTTGTTGATTGTTGATGTGATTGTTGTTATCAAGCTGCAAAATATAAATAGAGAATTATCTGGCGCCGTGTTTTATTAGCAAGGTTTATATCCTTGTCATCTATCGATGTCTTAGTGTTATTGATTTTTTCCAAATCTTTTTTTTTCCTCTACTAATCCATGACAGACAAAAATGGCAGACGATGATGAGTATCAAGAGATGGAAAATGAAGATTTTGCTGACGATGATGTAGATGATGTAGATTTGGAACAAGGGGAGGATGAACAGGATGACCATCGCATCGATATTATCAGCGTACGTTTTTTTTCACTCAAAACATTTAAGGTATCATTAAGATAGACGTGTTCAGGCAGAGAAAGGCACGGCATCAACAGATCGCGTGACGACACCATTCATGACAAAGTATGAGCGTGCAAGGGTTCTCGGAACGCGAGCGTTACAAATTGCAATGGGAGCACCGGTCATGGTGGAACTGGAAGGAGGTGGGTGCATGGATCCTTTACAAAAAAATAAAAATGTGCATCTTGCTAACAAAGGAGCTTGGGCTTTCAAAAAAACGGAAATCTGGGGAGACTGTTGCATTAGTTCTTGAACTTCAAACTTTCTTTTTTTTGAAATATATAACGGAAGTTAAAATAGTGAAGAAAAAAATAAAAGAGTAAAGCCAATGCAAAAATCAATGGCTAAAGTTTTTCAGAAACTGACCCTTTGGAGATCGCTCGCAAGGAACTCAAACATCGCCGAATTCCAATCATCGTTCGTCGTTATCTACCCGATGGCTCATTTGAAGATTGGTCCGTTGATCAACTTCATGTCACGGACTGGTAACTACAAGTATCCTGTCTGTTTGTTGCTTGTTATTGTTACACAGCCCGATTGATCTTCAAGATCTTCATGGTGTATTAACCTTGTATATGTACATTTTAGATAAATCTGTCTAGTTGTAAGTCCAGGAACTCACTTGTAGGGGTGCTCTAAAACCCTGCCATTTTATTTTCAGTGAAAGCACCATTCTACACATTATATCTCTACAACTTTATCTCCTCTCCTAAACAATCATAATTATACAGACGCAATCAATGTTTCCTTGAGCTTTTTGACTCGTGAAGCAATCGATAGATCTACGTACTTGTCGCCTATGTTTACTATCAGTCCACCCAAGATTGAAGGCTTCACTGTATAGGAGACATTCAGTTTTTGTCCTGACTTGGCCATCTGAAAAAAAATCGACTGTAGAAGACTTCAAAGGAAATTTGACACAACGAACCTTATGCAAAGCATCGTTAAGGGCGGATTCGTGTTGCTTAGTGAGTGGTTCAGCTGATATGACCTAAAGCGTCCGAGTGAGTTCCATGAGATCAAAAGTGGATTTTGAAAGCGCGAGCATCAATTTAAGAAATCATTGCGAAACTAATTCAGTATAGAACGGCTAAAGAATGTGAACATACCTGAACGAAAAGCTCGCCTCGGTGAGCGCGCATGATGTGATCAAATGAGTCGAATACTGCTTCCAGCTTCGTTAAACGACCATTCTCTGCTAGCACTCCTGAACAAGAATTTGGAGTAAAAAATTATCTCGACGAAAAGAACGCACTTTTATTGCAAAAGCAAAAATTGTTTGTATCAAGGGAACTTAGGATGAGTCCCTTAATTTTTGTCTAGATTATGAACTTGAGTGAAGAAGAAGCTGAACGAAAGAAAGGAGGGCGTCAGCGGTTTAAATATAAAAAAATGAAGGAATATCATAACTTAGGAACAAAGTAGCATATCAACTTAGCAACGAGCAATATTGGGGTTGAACTGTAGGGTCACGCTGAATTCTTTGCTCAAGAGTAATGAAAAAAATAAAAAATATATCCAACCCTAGAAAACGAGCTGCATCAAGGCACTAGCATTGACCCACCTAAAAAGTTGATAGACTCCTTGGAAAGTCCAAGCTTTTGTGCAACAGATAGCACTTGCTCCTTCTTCTTTACTCCCCTGAGGGTAGGATCGAGGACGAACTCCTAAACAGGGTCAGCCTAGAAAGCTGGCAAAATATGGAAAAGCACTTGAAGAGTGTACCTGGAACTTCTTATCTTGTTTATACACGTCCCTGAGTTTTTGGAGATCCTTGTCGACTTTATCGAGACTCTTCTTTTTGTGTGCGGCGGAGTAAAGAGCTGCTGCATAGCGTCCTTCTACGCCATGAACCTACAATTATTTCATTGGTTAAAGTAGTCGGATTGTCAATTAGTTTATTTGATGTTCTAACTTCGTTTCAACTTCATAGTTGGAACACTGTAAGTCGACCGTACGAGAAGGGGGGGGACCACAAAAACTTAATGACTGTGGTCATCTGTATGTCATGGATGATCTGTTTTTAATACAGTGCTGGCCATAGCTATAAAGCCACCCTAAAAATGACTGTAATTTGCTCTCTCTTGCTCAAAATTGTCTAAAAAACCACTATTCTGTGTGCAAACTAGCGTCATATCATTGACCAGAACGGCTCCCGATTTCATTGATTTTGGCCGGAGAAGAAAATTTGAAAAAAGGGGTTCCCAGGGCTGGTCACAGCTATAAAGCCACCTCTCATTTCCAATCAATACTACGTTTTTTGAGGCTGAAATTTTTTGTACATATACAATATCAAAATATAAAACATTTACCACAATTGGAAGCAGTCGCCTTTTCAAAAAGGAGATTCATCCTGCATTTTCTGCTCCAAAATGTATAAAAAGTTATAATATTTGGAAAAACTGCCTTTTCACCGAATTCTCAAGCATTTTTTTGAATCGAATGAAGGTCCTAGGCTTCGCCGAGCCTTTGCAATGAATATGTGAAAAGCACAGGAGTCAACATGGCGTAGTCGCTGGTATTGGTAAACGAGCTCCAACCTCATCTCCAGGTAGACGAGTTTTCGAGCCGCAAAAATTGAGTTCTAATGCCCGAAAAGCTCTGTCACATGCTCAGCACGTCTCCTATAAAACGATAGACTCGTGCGCATAGCTTGAACGTCATCGCAACTCTCAGGACTTTGGTTCCGCCTTGAACGCCTTTTTTCTAAAAATGAGTGGTGCACTCTGCCTGGTCGTGACACACTCTGACCTCTCAATCGAGCGGAAAACCGCTCAAAACTTCAAAATTCTAGTATCCTGACAGTTTTGTGAAATTTGACTTGAAAAGGAGTTCAAAGCAGTAAAATTTGAGGTCATGCGAGATACACTGCGCACAACCGAACTGCAGACAAGGCGTTCTAAGTTCAATGCTGCAAATACGTCTTTCTAAAAAGCCTGACAGCTTCTGCATGAGTACGTCACCATGTAAACAAGGTGTCAACTTCCAACCGAAAATTTTCGCGCGTCAGAAATCGAGATTTGCGTTTCAAAAGTGCATTTACACCTAGGTAAGATTGAGCTTCGTATATCATTACCAGCGACTACGCCATGTTGACTCCTGCGCTTTTCACAATATTCATTGCAAAAGCTCGGCGAAGCCTAGGACTTTTATTCGATTTAAAGAAATGCTTGAGAATTCGGTGAAAAGGCAGTTTTTACAAATATTATAACTTTTTATACATTTCGGAGCAGAAAATGCAGGATGAATCTCCTTTTCGAAAAGGCGACTGCTTCCAGTTGTGGTAAATGTTTTATATTTTGATCTTGTATATGTACAAAAAATTTCAGCCTAAAAAAACGTAGTATTGATTGGAAATGAGAGGTGGCTTTATAGCTGTGACCAGCCCTGGGAACCCCTTTTTTCAAATATTCAGTTTTTCTCCGGCCAAAATCAACGAAATCGGGAGCCGTTCTGGTCAATGATATGACGCTAGTTTGCACACAGAATAGCGGTTTTTTAGACAATTTTGAGCAAGAGAGAGCAAATTACAGTGATTTTTAGGGTGGCTGCTTTATAGCTATGGCCAGCACTGTATTGACGAGAGCTCCTCGAAAAAATCTGTAAAAGCTTTCAAGAAGCTCGAATAACTTGTCTCATGATCCAGTAGAAAGAAAACAAATGTGGATCATTTTGCCTATGCTCCAGCACAGTGTATGCAAAGAAAGCTCTTCTAATTCCAAAAGAGTCACTTAGTATATGAGGAAAGGAGTTTTGGAATCAGCATTTTAGACGTTTTCACTGGTATGATCCCATTAACGTTCAGGACATCAAGGACCATTTCTCAATTCGTCTCTACGGCAAAGTGAAGGAAATAGGTGCTATAGGCGAACTGAAGCTAAACGCACATGTATGGTTGAACAAAGGGAAAAATCCATGTACATCCAGAAGAGCTACCAATCTTGCGTGGCAGCTCAACAGAATTAGAATAGTCAGGAAGAAAGGCGCAAATTTCTTGAATAAAAAGAATCTAAAATTATGCGTAGCCCCATGTGGAGTTTTGGACATCGGATTGTAGGACTACTTGATGTCAGAAACACCGGAACGACTTTCCTCGAGAATTGAAAAATGGAGTATGGATAAAAAAGGTCAAAAATATCAAAACCAGACTTACCGGGATCGGGACCTTAACAAGTTCCGAGAGGACCGCGGCGCTTAATGAAAACGACCTCTTCAGGATCTGCGCCATCCTAAAAAAAATAACTAATCCACCACATCAAATAATGAGCTTTTGCAGCAGTTTTAACGATTGATGAGAACTCTCAACAGCCTTATTTTGCAGAAAATAAGACGACAAATACCTAGCTTACTGTAACTTCTCAGTCACGAAAGAAATACAAAGAAACACCATAAAGAATTGCAACTACACTTCCAAAAAAGAACTTCAAATAAAAAATAACAAGCGTTGATAATAAACAGAATTTCCGTATACAAATATGATAGTTTTAATGGTACATCCCAGTACATTAGAACGATATTTTTGTTAGAACAGAATTTACCGGCTCTCACATGTGCTTAGCTACAGTAATCTTGCACCGCCGAAGAGTTGACTTTTGGAAAGAATCCAAAAGGTCTCGACACGAAGAGTGCGCGTCGACTCTGATTCGCGATGATACGCAGCGAAAACTGAAAAAGTGATTTTCGTATATATTGTAAAACTCCGAAATTCTTCTATTTAAAAATGTGAGTTCCCCTTTCGGTAAATCTAGAAGAAAATAGGACAAATCTAGCTTTTTTCCAACAGATTTTTGTGTCGTGGTGCTTACTGTTTGTAAACTAGAACTTCTGAGCTGTCATTTCGACTCGCCAGCTGATTTTCATTGAGATCTGTGCTGTGTTTAGTGCGTCGTAGCACTCAAGAACTTCATTTCTCTGTCCTGTAGAAAATCCAGAGATCAGTTTCGAGTACTGGTCTTTGAACAGCTCGTTTCGTAATGTGTACTCGTGTTTATCACGCGGTTGTGCAATATTTCGTCTGTATTGACGTTGCATGTTTTGCCGCTAGTCGTTCAGTCTTATTCGTTTCTGCCGCACGAACAGGTGGCTATCAATTTTGCTCTCGTTTCCACTAATCTTTTGAGCGCTTAACTTAAATTCTAAGATTTCCTTTTTTTTAGCGAAAAGAAGCTCGACTAGGACAAATCATGCCTTTGGCTGTTGATCTGTTGCACCCTGATCCAGAGACTGAGCGCCAGCGCCACAAGCTCAAGCGGCTTGTTCAGCATCCCAACAGTTATTTTATGGACGTTAAATGTCCGGGATGTTTCAAGGTTCGTTTTTCATCTGTTCTTTTTCTTGTCTCTTTCCTTCTCTTTACAAATTGGATTGGAACCGGTTTTTTCTGGTTAAATGTGTTGTTAGAATTGCCTCCGTTTCATATTTTACATTTGATAAGTTCCATTCTAAAATTGGGAGTCGTGAGCGGTTAAGAAACTTGGAAGTCACAAGCATGCGGGAGCAGAGTTCAAATTGAATGGTTTTTGCTTGATACAGTCAGTTTTTTTCCCGCCATGGCTAATTTTGGGAGACGTTCAAGAGGCGCGCTTTTCCCCGGCTGTCACCAACTCAGAACTCCAGTTTGGTGCTGTGCGAGTCTTTAAAAAGTACCAGATAAAATGCATTGGCTAACTACTGTTATGGTTACCAGCTGCTGAGTTTGATGACTTTTGCTGAAAAATGGACTGAAATATTTACGAATTTGTTCTAAACTGCATTTTCATGGGTTTTTGAACTTCAAAATTGCTGTTTTTAATTGATTCCAAGTTAGCAAGATTGAGCAACTCATGCGACTACCTCATATATCTCATTTTAAAATCTAAATACTTCTAGAATGTTACAAAACACTTACTATGTACTATTTGGTGTCCATCTGGCAATAAAAATCGCGCCTCTTGACATACACCCGCTAATTTTGACATCTCGAATTGGTTTCTCCGTGCCATCTCGCTCACATATTGCCACTATCGATGGCTTCCTGCTTTTTTATTGCGGAAGCCATCGATAGTGCAGCTTTCCGAGATTCTTTATCCTAAAGATTGTTGAGATCACCAACTGTAAATGTGCACGTAGTCAAGATCAGAACATCTCACTACTATGCAAAGGTTTAAACTGCAGATTTCGCATCGTATAGGTGCCGTCTGCGTGATCGGAATCGACTTTTCATAGGGGCCTTCGAAGTGGAAGATTGGTAGAAGTGAAACATTGCCTAACTAAAAATTTGCATGCGGTTATATGGCTTGCTAGTTATTGCATTATGAATGGACTAAGAACATCGTACGATTCAGTAGCTGGATCAATATGGAATTTTTCAATGACCAAATTCTTTTATTTTTGACTAGTGAACCAGTAATCTAAAGGTGCTAATCGGAAGAGCGTTTCGGGACCCGCCGCGTTCTCGCTATTGGAAGATTTTTGAATTGAGCTAACGATTCGTTATATATTAGATACACAAATCATTCAAATAACCTCGTAGTTCAGCACCTGAAACCAGCGTAAATCCCATTGTAATATCATTGTGCTTTATCGCCTTCTTGTTAATCAAGTCACTTCCTTCTAATGTACATTCGTCGGTATCCAGATTTTATGTTTATATCCCATGATTGTCTTCACACGGTACAGTGAGCACATCTCAAAATCATTATTATTATAATTATAAAATCTTTATCAAAATCATTTGCATCAAAAAACCGGTGACATTTCTGTGTGAGGCAAAGAGGCGTCCCATTAGCTCCGCATTATAAGCTTTTTAAAACTTGCGAAAAATTGTCCCAGTCAGTGATCACTGTTCTTTACTACTACGGCCGAAGATCGCGTAGCTGAATAAACGATCTGTGTTATGGTTATACTCAGTTATTTACTGTAAATAGTTCCCAGATTAGTCTGTATTCTACTAATGGATGATGTAGTCGGGTAGACGACCTATAGTTGTGCTCAGCTTCAGCTATATATAGCTCTAGCATAGACAACCTCTGAATGACCTCGATGTTTACGTTTAGTGCAGTCTGCGACATTCTAAGATTTCTGCATAAACGATTTTTGACGATTTTTCTATTGTAATCCCGGTGCTGTAAAATCGCTTTTTCAATTTTGAAAGCAAGATTTGAGAGCTACAATTTACAAGCCATAATTGTACAATCATCTTTTCACAAAAAGAAATGGGGTTTTTGGAGGAATATGCAGCTATGACGGTTTTTTGAGCTAGTTACTTTAATCGGTCTGATTCAATGTAGTATGCCCATGTTTTCGACATTAGCGCTGAGTAATGGCCAAGAACTTTCGTAGCCAGTTGCTTACAACTGTCATATAGTGTTCTTTAGCATGTTTTAGGCTAATTAGATGCATTAGCAAAACATTCTTTTCAAGCCAAAATAGTACCTGTCCAATTAGCTGGAGCATTAGATTGTCAAGTAGGTGGTACGCATTCTTTTATAAATTTTTTTCAGATTACTACTGTCTTTTCCCATGCCACTACCGTGGTAGTCTGTGTTGGATGTAATACTGTTCTCTGCACACCAACCGGAGGAAAAGCCCGATTGACGGAAGGTTGCTCATTCCGTAAGAAGCAACATTAAATGTAGTGTTGTTGTGTTACATAAATTGTTTTTGTTTGATGAAGGGTTTATTGGATTAAATACATTATGTTGTTGTTTCCTCCAATATATCCATCTCGCGACGACGTTCTCGTTTCGCTTCGCGACGAGGACTGTATAAATGCTGGCGTTCCTCGCTTTTCGCACGTTTGCTTTTACGTTTACGCTGATGCGAAACAGATTTGCGTGATGGTTCACGAGAATGGTACTTGTGTGACTCCAACATATCCAAATCAGGTGGTTTAGGATGGACATAACGATCGTTGAGGAGGATGAAAGCTCTGAAGTAATAATTCAGTTGACTAAGTTCAAAAATGCAATTCTCCTTAAACCTGTAAGTCTGAAGTGCTATAATCAATGCATTTTTGCATGTGAAAAAGATCATGGTATATGTGACGAGTCCATATTGTAACATCAAATAGAGACGAACCTAAATATCATGTTCGAATGCAATTAAACTGATTCAAAAGTGCAAAAATTTTTTGATATTTTCAAACTACCTACCATGAGGAATGGAATGTCTTGCAAAGCGTTAGCCAGTACGATTGCCCATATGTCGACATCATAGATGATCTATAAAGAAGCAAGCTTACTTCGAGAGAGCAAACTCCCGTCTTTGTTTTCTTTTTCAAAATAGCATAGCACATTTCGGTAACGAAGAAATTTGACTGTGTGAGCTTAATCTTTATAAGATCTTAATCTTTTCAATGATTCTGTAGTCATTTGCAATGGAAATAGATGTTCTGCCAAGCCCAGATTGGTACGGTGGAATCTTTATTGACCTAACATTTCGACAAGGTCGTCTTCTTCGGAGGTCTGAAAGATGGTTGCAGTCCTGACCTGTAAAACTACGCCGCCAAACGCCATCTCCGTACTTATCTATTCTAGACCTCGTCTTATGCACAACGTACAGAGAGGCACGCTGGCAGAAGGAACCAACCGTTGATCCACCGTGATAAGAATGTTAGTGGTCCGCAGGAAGCAGCGGACGATAGCCGCAGAGATGTTGCGGACGGACGACACTGAGTGTCACTCGGTGTACCTCGTCTCTATATAAGGCAGCTACTGTTCACATAGTGATAGAAAAGGCAGAAGATCATTCGTCATTGACAGGCATTCATTCTTGTTGTTCATGCTTGGGCTCTTTAAAGAGATCCACAAAGCTTCCAGTATCTTTCGTGCAGAAATTTCTGTCTCGTACGCCAAGATAAAACATTTGACCTCAAACTCAGCTCCGCCATGTGCTTCCAATGTATACTCAAACAAAAGACGAGGGAAATTGGTATCACCGTTGGGAAAGCATAGATTTGAAGCACATGGCGGAGCTGAGTTTGAGGTCAAATGTTTTATCTTGGCGTACGAGACAGAAATTTCTGCACGAAAGATACTGGAAGCTTTGTGGATCTCTTTAAAGAGCCCAAGCATGAATAACAAGAATGAATGCCTGTCAATGACGAATGATCTTCTGCCTTTTCTATCACTATGTGAACAGTAGCTGCCTTATATATAGACGAGACACACCGAGTGACACTCAGTGTCGTCCGTCCGCAACATCTCTGCGGCTATCGTCCGCTGCTTCCTGCGGACCACTAACATTCTTATCACGGTGGATCAAAGGTTGGTTCCTTCTGCCAGCGTGCCTCTCTGTACGTTGTGCATAAGACGAGGTCTAGACTCGATAAGTACGGAGATGGCGTTTGGCGGCGTAGTTTTACAGGTCAGGACTGCAATCATCTTTCAGACCTCCGGAGAAGACGACCTTGTCGAAACGAGGTCAATAAGGATTCCACCATACCAATCTGGGCTTGGCAGAACATCTATTTTCATTGCAAATTACGACATAAGATGCCCAGATTCAGAGAAGAGAGAACCTGGAGATTCTTTAGTTGTCAGGCCAGATTCTTATAAAGTTCCTAAAAATCATTTGAGGGAGTGTGCGAGATGTGGATATATGGGGATCTCGGGTGAAAAGCAATTTTCGGTCTGCAGATAAGACACCGCCCAAGCGGCAGCTCAGATAATGCACTCGCTGTCACACCAGAATTCATCGGTTTTGCGTGGGTCCTTACACGAGAGCATGCAAGCGCGGTGTGGGTCGTTATACGATACTGGGGTCCAGTTTAGAGGCGAGTTTCTCAGCCGTGAGTAAATCATTTCATCTGCCGCTTGGGCACTGTCTTAGTCAGGCCCTCAAAATCCTTCCCACGTAATATCCCCCATCCGCTCAGATTTGCCTGGACGCTGCATTTTATAATCATGAAGAGATAATGAATGATACATCGGCCTTCGTACCTCCCAGAAATTAGGCGGTCTTGTTGGTAGTATCAGCTCTTCATAAGTTTTTGTGATAGCAACCCTCATCTTTCGAGCTCGACTGACTGTGAGCACGAATGGGAATTGTAAAAGACTAAGCTGAAAGGAAGATGTTGGCAACAGCTGTTACGGGAAGGCACGGAATAGCAAACCGTCCAGGCAGCTAGCACGATTTGTTGGACTCCGACATTGTTATAAACAGGCTTCTCCTTGAAGACATCGAAAAACTCGACGATATCGGAGGAGATCGCCTGGAAAACAGCATTTGAGGTTATAAAAGGTAATGTGAATTACTCTAGGGCTTACCAGATAGGCAAGTAAGATTTGTGACAATTGCTCGCGACTGATATCTCCTTTTGGAAGGAGCCATCTTCCGATAATAAGCACTACTAATAGGAGCTGTTCGAGAAGTTGAAGACGAAGCTCTTCCTCAGCTCCACCTAAAAATAAATGCGCATTGAGAAAAAGGGATTCACTTTTTTTTCAGAAGCGCTCACTCAAAGAATACCACATTTAGATATACAGTGCTAGGTTCGTGAACTCGAAGACCCAAAGAAAGAAACGACAGAGAAAAAATGAAAGAGAGACAGTCAAAGAATACTGCTACAAGGTTTCAAGAATTTGTGTCAGAAAAGAGAACTTTTCGAAAATGATGAAATTTTTCCTAGATATCTAAAAAAAGCCTACCAATGCGGATTTTGCTCTCCCCATGCAATTCGAACTCTCTTCTCCACTCACACATCTTCGTTTCGAGTAGCCATATTGGCGGTGCTGTAGCTACGATGTAGAGCAAAAGAGAGGTGCAAAACCTGAGAAGAGACTTTAAAAATTAGATACAAGAGTCTGGAAGAATACAAATTAGTTTTGAAAATAAGAAAAATTGGCGGAATGCATACCATTTTCGTTCATCGCCAGCACGCATGATAATTGTATAGGATCCCTCAAAGACGATGAGTAGTGAAAGCAACGCAAAACCCCAGACTCCATCTCTGAAAAAACTGAAGTTATCCCAGTGTTATCCTCGCATATGGAAGATATTAGAGTGAAATCTGTTTGTTATGCAGATTTTCTCAAATAATAGTTAAAACCATAGCGGCATTAGCTGTTTTTATGTGTCAATCATAGCAAGCATGGTTGTTTTCCACATCTTCTATGTTCTTGAACAACATGCGCTTGTCCAAGTCACGGAAGTGTCTTGTTATCGAATATCAGTCAGCCTTGCAAAAAATATTCTTTTGGAGAAAAGAATGATTAGCTTCAGATTTCAAAGGGAAGGAAGGTGGAGACAATAGTATTAATTGATTCGATTACCATAAGAAATCTTTTTCATAAAAACGTGAGAAACAAGAGATTTCATGCTTGTTAGGAGATAGCGAAATAAGCGAGCTTATACATGGGTTTTGAATTCCCCTACAATTGAGCCCCTAATTGGGGTGGAAAAAAACGGCCTGCGAAGTATTAATGTTGACAAATTGTCGGGATTCCATAATTTTGAAATGATTTTTAACGAGACGGGTTTTGATATCAGAAAAGAATGTCGTACAAGGATTGAAAAACCATCAGAAATTCAGAATTTACTAAAAAAAAGGTTTTCATGGTATTACTTCGACGGAAAGTCGCGACGAAATAGTCGCCCTCCCATAATTTCGTTAAAAGTTTTTTTTATTCATTTTTGGTTCAAGTTTCATCAATCCGGCTTGTTATTTTTTCAGAAACGATTAAAAGTGTAAAAAAGTCGAGTTTTACTGAGTTATGATTACGCGACGCTTTTGCCACGGTCTTTTCGTCGCGGCGATTCAATGAAAACCCAGTGAATAGATGTAAATTTTGTACATTTAGTGTTTCTTGAATCCTTCTAAAATCGTCTTTTCCAGTTATCAAAACGCGATCACGTGAAAATTACTTTGTACAAAGTTATGAAGTCCCGACAGTTTCGTCAAGATTAACACGTCGCTGGGCGACTTCCCACCGTTAGGCCCCGGGCAGACTTCACGCGATTTGATCGTCGCGACTGAAACGCGACGAGACAACTGTTACAACATCATTCCATGCCGATCAACTTGCATTCGGTTGTGATACTTTTCCAGACCGAAATTTTTGAATGTGAAATGAAAATGAATGGAAATCTTGGCGATTAGATCGCGACGATTAAGTCGCGTGAAGTCTGACCGGGGCCTTAGGCCCCGTGAAGTCTGTCCGTGATCCCGGACAGAGTTCACGCGATTTGATCGTCGCGACTAAATCGCGACGAGACAACTGTTACAACATCATTCCAGCCGATCAACTTGCATTTCGGTTGTGATACTTTTCCAGCCCGAAATTTTTGAATGTGAAACGAAAATGAATGGAAATCTCGGCGACTGAATCGCGACGATCAAATCGCGTGAAGTTTGTCCGGGGCCCTTAGGGGCGGGCTCAATTATACTTACTCGTGGTCTCTATTTTTCGGATCGTCTTTGAATTTGTACTCCGAGGATTTACTCAAACATACAGAGCAATAACCGCATATTAACCGTATATTATTTATATCGACAATGGTGTGGTGGAAGTAATGTAAATATCAAGCTCACGAATTCCTAGTTTATTTTTTCTTTCAAGGCATTTTAGTTTTTTGAATACAGACCAAAGTCAGCTTCGAATTTCGGCTGGGTTCACCAATTAGGTATAGATTTGCGTAAAGTATAGTATTTTATTTGTGGATGTTTGATTTTGTTCGTACTCTTGGTTTTTTCGGATGTTTTAGAGAAAGACTCGGCACTTGCTCGCACCAGGGGAATTTCAAAAACGAAGTCTCCTTTGATCTTGGAAATTTCGTACGAAGTCCTCTTGACCCTAAACCCGAAACGTCGACTAAAAAATGTCGCAAGTGTGTCTTTTTGGCCACAAAAACGACATCCCCTTTGCTTTTCGTCCCAAAAACGATATTCAGCTTGACCCGGTGCCAGCTGTGCCGGGCCCTGTTTTAGAGGATTCTTGTTTGATGGCTCTAAGGTTTTATTGTATAAAGAGAAGTTTGTGGATGGAAAAGATCTGATGTCATTATTAGTTTGGTATTATAGAACGAAATTGATCAATTTGGATGTAGCAAGATTGTTTGACTCACCTTCCTTCTATCGTCACTGTCTGCCAAATCGTAGTCAATGAGTGGATGATGAAGAAAGCTCGAGCTAAAATAGCCCTGAAATGATAAAATCAATCTATTGAGATCCAGAGAGGATGTTAGAAAACCCATTTTAATTCTCTTCGTAATCAATCACTTTCTACAAACTCTTCCTCAGCACTTGCAACAAAAAATTTGAAATATGTGTAGCAAAGTGCAAAGTCACTATTCAGATAGCTTGCGATTCGAGAGATAAGTGCGGAACTCTCCCACAGGAATTTTCACTCATGTACTACAAGTCAGCCTGCCATAAAATTTAACTTCACTCATACTGACATTAATGTTGTAGTTCTTGGCGCAACATACACATACACAAGGGGATTACTAAGAGTGAATAAAGAATTCAGCTATAATAATATACAAAGGGCCCTTTTGCACCGTTTGCGTAATATTCGCATCAGGACGCGTGTCGACCAACCAGAGCTGCGCCGCTATAACATACGCTCGAAAGGGCCGTGTCCCAGAATACCCTCTTACCTTCCAACAGAAATCAATACTTGGGTCCCATCCACATCCACTGGTGCTTTAACCGTTACCAGTCGTTGTTCTTCTGGATCTCCTGTCGTACGTCTACGGCGACCTTCTGGGGTGGTCGCAGAGGCGGAAGCCGCCATGCGAAGTTCCGGATACAGTAGCGTTTTGCTGAAGAGACGAGATTATACGTAAACTTTGACTACAAGCCATTGGGTACAAATGTCATTTGCAACACAAGCTCCTTATGGGGAAATATGAAACAGAAAGTTTAGAGGCTACTGCCGGACGAAAGCGAATGCAGTGCAAGCTGAGAGGGCGCGAATGCGGCACGCGCGTATGATCATCGTTGTAAGACCTGCGGCTAATACGCTCTACTTCTAATAAAACAGCATTCGTGCCCCTGAAGTTCAACGCCTTCGTTCGGCAGTAGTTTTTGAGCAGAGTTCCCTATAGTTAAAAATGATACGGATGTCCATTTACGGTATTAATATCCCTAAAATTTCAACAAACAACCCAGAAATTCAAAATTCAACATTTGCAAAATCTTTGATTTTTTTTGCTAATTTAATAATTGTTTCTTTGTTTTCGCTGTTACTTATTATGTTTTAAGTGTTTTCGTTGATTGCTAATGTGGCGCCTTGTGCATGTCAAATGGATAAAATAATAAATGAATAAACCTTGTGCGGCGGTTAGCGAACACCGAAATTTCGTAACTTTCAGTTCTCCATTCAAAATACATTGAGGTTATGAACAAAAATTGCCATTCATGCATTTTCTAAATGTTTTGTGCGTTTGCAGCAACTGATACTGTTCAATTTGTGCGCAATCAGTAATAAAAATTGCTTGGGCCATAATGGATTTGGATAGAACGACAAAACTTCACTCTCTTGTAGATAATTCCTACAAAAGCAAAGTGGCCTTTGCACAACTTATTTGGAAGTATGGGATAACCAAATTTCCACATCTTTTTTTTATGAAAAGGCAACAAATCTGTTGCAAGAAAGCGAAGGATTGACAAGCAAGCGGGTGCACTCGCATCGACTCCAAAAATGGAGACGATGAACAGCTATCGTAGAATTCAAATTTCGCCAAATCTCTAGGGAAGAAAAAGATGAGCTTGGCTCTGAGAATTGCAGGCACTAACAGTAACCCAAAAGTCGGCACGACAGCGTAAAATACTAGCATTTGAGCGGAGTAAGACGAGAACCAAAGTTTTCGAACTGGAATCCTTGGAATTTGAAAATGGGGATATCTATAGGGCGTGGTTTTGGGAGTACAATTGTGTGTATTAGTGCATTTTGAGGACGGAAAATGTTAGAATATGTAGCATATCTGTCAAAATCTTTGAAAGTGTACAAAATTGGTAAAGAAAATAATGATTTATGTCGTTTGCCTACTGTCCGACAAAAATTGAAAATGCAAAAAAAAATTTTCTTGGAAAAGTAGGAAGGTGAAAGTGCATTTTTCTTTATTCGTATTCAATGTAAAACTTTGCAATATTTTCGTCCACTTAGTTTTTCGGATTTGGAACTTTTCGTTATCGCCTCTGACATCCACTAGACGGTTAATTGTGATTTCTCGTCTCAAATGCATTCCCTCTGAGGGAGATGAAATGGAGGGGCAAAAATTGAATGGCATTGTCTCAAAACTTCAACTTTAGCTGACACCAACCATTTTTCATAAATCAGACGGATCAAAGTCCCCTCAGAAGTAAGACATAAGTGCAAAATTTGTAGCTTAACACGATTTTCCAGCAGAATCTTGCTATGTCCTCATTCATTTCTATGAGAGAAGGCAGAAAAATTTTCATTTCTTTGTATGCGAAATTCAAAGCCCCTCAAGATCTTGATGATTTGTGAATCAACGAATTAAACTGTTGTTTGTTGGAGAAATCACATCGAATTTTTGGATGTGCTTCCCGCCCCGCAATGTTTACTCTTGATTTTTTTCTGCAAGTGCTTGTTTCGTTCGTGTGATATTTTTTTGAAGCTCTGCTTCACTTTTCAAAATACAAATATAAATTGAACGCGATTATCTTGTTATGGAAGGGTATTCGAGTCAGAAAACACTATTCCAAAGTGGAACCATAAAATTTCTGCGGAGTTTTATTACCCTTCTCTGGTGATGTTGCGCTCAGACAAGCAATACATTTCCATCGAAACATTTTCAGAAGCAATGACTTCTGGGAAAAGAAGAGATACTTGGATGAAAAACGGTTTTCAATATAACAATAAAGTGGTTTTTGATCTGACAACTGTATCATTTGGTGTCAAAACTCTGGATTCAGTATTTTGCTTCAGAAATTGGTAAAGAAAATACAGGATAGCGCAAGAAAAAACTTTTTGCCAAAGCTTTAAAGTTTTTTTTTTCAAAATTAGAATGTGTCACTAGTTAACAAAAAATCGATGCACATTTATGTGACATGCAAAAGTAGTCGAAAAAGTGTCGAACAAAAAATCCGATTTACCTTTTCCGGAAATCTCATATTTCAAACAAATTTCAAAAAGTCTTGTCAATTACAGTTGTAAGAAACTTTCTATAAAACCGCGAAATTATGGCTTTCATGTGAAGCGCTGGCACTTGCAGTTGTTCCCGGCTCTGATTTGTCACTAAAATTAACTCTTGAAAAACCAAATGAAAAATTTCGATTAAGGCACTGGCGAATTTGGAAATCTGCTGCAATCCAGGAAAGAGGTAAACTCTGGTAGAATAGTATAGATTACACAATCTATACAAAATGTGTTCTTTTTCTCACAAAATTGTAAGCGGATGCATAATAACAATGAAGCTTTTCCATTGCTTTGAAAAATAATGCTAAGAATAAGAAAATGAGTCTTATAGGGTCTCAATCCCTTTACAGTACACATTCATAGCGAGATGAAAAATGAACTTACCTAAATTTAAAGACGTGTAAAAATTCGAAGAAGAAGACATGTTGTAAGGTGTGAAAGTGAACTTACCAGCGGACCTAGCCGCTAAGTTCCATTCTGCAGCCAGCCGCTCCCTCACTGAGCAGATGCAAAATTGTCGTGAGATGTTTCATCCATCATGAGCTCGGCTAAGTATCCCTCGGACGCCCATTTTTAGAGCTCACAAAGCCAACTAGCCTGTGATATATCGACTAACTGACAAACATCGTTAACAAGTGCGAAAGGCTTCAAAATGTGCACCATTTCTCTTTTCGGCATTTATGGATAAGAGTTATTCTTTGACCGCGGAAGTCAAAAAGTTGAGAAGCAGTGATGAAGGAAAAGAGGAGGTCTGGTCTACAGGGTGGGGCAAAAGTCTGGGAGCCTAGTACTTTTTCAGGTTAAATCAGAAGGAAAGTGCCTAGGAATAAAAAATTCGGTGCACACGTAAATCGAACTTTTACAAATACAGCGCTGCTCTCAAATTCTATGATTGCCTCTTCTGACTTTAAAGCAGCCGTTCGAAATCTTGGCGAGTCCGCCTGTCGTGGCACGCAGACAGTCATGATGAAATTCGTCCCACGCCTTTATGATGACTGCTTTTTTCATCAGGCAAATGCACGGTGTGATAGAGCAAGCTTTTGGCTACAATGTACTGCGGAGAAATTTTTTGCAGTGCTTAGGAAAATTTAGAATTTTAATTGAAGGCAATTGTACTCGTATACTGTAAATCTGGATGCGATTGTACGAGCGGGAGCAAAGAACCCATCTGAAAAGTATGCAAATTGCTTGATCGATCGAACTCAAGTATATGCTTGCATAGAAGACTCATGAAAAGAATAGCCTAGAATATTCATTGCCTGCTGGGCTCCTATAGGTTTCAAATTTATTTTAAAGAAAAATGGCCACTGGCACGCAGGTAATATTTGCAAATTATTATTTTGCATTTTCGAAAGAATAAGTTTCTGGCAAATGCAACTATTACAGTGTGATAGCGCAAAGTCTCGTCTACATTGTGTGCATCGAAGTGCTCTAGAATACCCACTGTATTTTTAGCTACGAAACAAGTTGTGAAGACCAAAAATTTCGATTTTCTCGCTTTGCAAAGCACTTGTCTGATAAATCCAACTCCTACACTGCAAATTAGGCTCCCAGACTTTTGCCCCACCATGTATAATCTTAAAAAGCGGGCACGGTGGAAGGTGTTAAAGACAAAATCATAGTGTACTGGGAGAAAAGATTTCTTCAAACAAATTCACTCTATAAGCGAAGATGGAAAAGGGTAAGTAAAATATGGATATTTTCTTCATGCCCATTTTCTAACATTTCAACCTGTTCGATAAAATAACGTTCATCCGAAATTGCCTAGGAGATTTCGCAATCCTCCATTTTTGATAGAAGTAAATTTAACTTCCTATAGCAGACTTCTTGGACTCGGCTCCCTATAAGTTCTACAAACTGCACATCCATCAATGATATTCAACTTTTTTTCATGGAACTGAGCATAATTTTTTTTGCAAGTCCTCCATGGAAACCAACTCCTTTTAGAAAACTTCAACATTCTATGGGAAGTGTAGCTTTTGCAATACACTCTACCACATGGCTAAATCTCCTCCTAATAAGTTTAGAACAAATAAAACTGGTAAAAAATCAAATTTGCAATGTTATCAATACAGAGTGTCTCAAGTAAATTGAACAAACATTGATAACTTTTTTATATGAAAAGCTCCCACTTCCTTCAAACTCTATATTGCAGAGCTGGCTTCAACCTAACTTTCAGCGTGAAGAAAACCAGCTGTCGCTTTTTATTACTGTAGGATTACGATAGGGACTTTCAATCAACAACATCATTGTGGATTAGCGTTTCAAACAAAAAATACAAAAAATCTGGGAAGCTGATAGCGTAGTCCATCACGCTGATTCTCATTATCCAACCTTCTACTTTTGTACAGCTTTCAAATGCTGTCACAATTTTAGGGAACATGGTTGAAACAAGTATTGAGTTCATTTGGCATAACCTTGTAAGAAGCAGAAAAGAACAAATCACATTTATTATCAGCGGCTCTGATTAGCCTACTATAAGTGCTCTTAAGTTGCTTGATTTGCTTTTTGAACCAAAATAAGTTTTCATTGGCTGAAAACCCTTCAAAATTTATACCGTAATCCTACATTAATGGAGAGCGTTTAGTGATTCGTTAGGCCCCGGACAGACTTCACGCGATTTGATCGTCGCGACTCATTTGCCGACATTTCCATTCATTTTCATTTCACATTCAAAAATTTCGGGCTGGAAAAGTATTACAACCGAAATGCAAGTTGATCGGCATGGAATGATGTTGTAATACTTGTCTCGTCGCGATTCAATCGCGACGATCAAATCGCGTGAAGTCTGTCCGGGGCCTTACGTGATAGTGTAAATGTAAGTTGATGCAGGTATACAGTAAGGTGTTTGAAGGAAGGCGAAAGTTACTCGTAAAAGAGTTAGTACAAAACGTTCGATACACAATTGTAGGGCACCCTGTATTTTTGTTTATTTACCTGATCTTTTTCATTATCTGATCTTATTCAGTTCCGCTTCATACAAGTGTCATAATCCATTAGGATAACAATTTGTCCTCTACTGAAGCATTTGTTTGCCTATGGATCTGAACGACTGCGATGAGACTTGAGCTCCGCTCCATGCTGGGCTTTCATCTGCCTGTCGGAGTGCGCGATGTGCAACGATTATGCCATTGCCTTGGGGAATTGTTAGACCAATTCTATGACTAACTTTTTTGACATATGAGCGAGCTTTTGGAGCCGGGGCTAGTAGTGACCTATCGTCTAAAATAGGGAAATACCTCAACTATTTTTATTTTGTGGTAATTTTTAGGAAGTGCTAAGGATAAATCCAGTGGAGCGTTGCATCTTGCCCTAACTTCACACTTTCCAGCAATTGAGAAGCCCAAAATAGCATTTCTCTCAGTTTTGTAAATCAGGCACGTATTGATTGCATTTCGCAGCTTTTGGTAAAGACACTCATATCAAACTATCGTAAAATACCCCCCCCCCCCCTTCCTTATGTTCAGAATTTCTGCTCATCCTTCTCGTGGGCCGTTTTGAACCATTTTTTGGTCTTAGAATTTCAAAGCAAGCTGCTCGTTCTTTTCTAATGAAAAGAATGTTTGTGAAAGAATAGGGGAATTGTTTGAACTATGATTATCTTCAACTATTGATGACTATTAACTATTTATTTGCAGCATTTTCTGTGTGACAAAATGTTAATTATTATTTCTAGGCGACTAATGTGAGGTGCAAACATTTCTATGGCTGGCTCACATGAGGTTGATTAGCACTATCTTCTTCATTTTCATATGCAACATCTGTACAGAGGTCAGCTCTCAACTTTTCAAATTCACTTCAAATAAAAAAAATACAGACCAAAAGAAGAACTAGAAAACCTAAGTTGGTAACGAAGAAGCCTGTAGTTGTAGAACTCGAAGAATGGGAGAAAATCACTGTACACATGGTGCCACCGTCAAACTGGGAAACGCTCGAGATTCCGCAGCGGATAAAAAGTTACATGGAGCATACATGGTCGCAGAGCTCCTACACGGATAAATGCAGCGAGGACAATCCTCTGCATGTAAAAATTGAATTCTAGAAGTTAAAACAGCTTTTAAAATACTTAAATCTACCTTTTTCACTCGTGAGAATCGCTAAGGCAAGGTGGTACTTTCAGATTGTTCCCGTGTATTTTTGGCCCGGTGACAAGGTTGACCTACCATGTCTCATGTGCGAGCTGGCATTCGTCTTCAACGGTAAAATGAAGATGTGGGGAAAGGCAACGAATATCTTGAAGTTCCTTGAAAATCCTAAGGCAAGCGAATCATGGGAAACGGCTTCAAGTGGCAACAACTTTCCCAAGTTTAGTTATTATCCAGATAAACTGGTGATAACCCCGTTGTGATACTGGTGAGAAAGCCCTAATTGAGCGTTTGCCCAAAAGACAGTTTGTTTGATTCTTTCTAGACCGAGATATGCAAATCTAATCTTCACCCAGACCGTAGGCCTTCCTGATCAGTGACCAATTGGCGCGCTCGACTACGGTGCGCTGATTGGTTCGTTGCTGAACATTACTGTGCACGCGAGATTTATATTTCGCAACGACAAACTAACCATGTGCTGCCACCTGGATTCGCCAGACTGGAGCTCCATTCATATTTCTTGTAAACCGTAATAAAATTACATTTGTTAAAAGGAAATGAATCATCAATTTTTGATGTGTCCCCATCTATTTTGGGCAAAAAACACTTGCGAAAGTTACCTGGAAAAATCTTGGGAAGTGAATAATTTTTAAAAAGGTTTTCACAAGTATCGAATATTCATTTTCAGCGAACAGCTCGATATAATTCGAAATACTGGTCTCTGGTAGCAAACCTAGACAGGTCCTACCGTATGTCCAATACGTGAACTACTTTTTCACGAACTGTTAATTTAGAAGTGCTCAAAATGCAAGTTCTGACATAATAGACTACATGCCAGAAGTGTTAAATGCAAATAAGGAGAAGATCAATTACAAGAAACTACCGCCCTTCTACCTACAAAGAAATGGAAAATTAAGTATTTATCGTGTAAGAAGAAGCCCTTTATTGAGCCTTTTCCTGAGTTTCGAATACCGTAATCTACCGTATTTTCAGGCAAGTCCAGCGTCACAAGGAGTTTATTTCTGTTACGATAGCCAATCACGATCGCATACGTCGATTTTCTATGTGGTTATGGCAATGACACCACCGGTGCGAATGTCTGAGATGGGCGACGTGTTGGGTGGGTCGACAATAAAAATACGTAATTTTACAGAAAAGAATATCAAACCCTTTCCGTGACACCCATCAATCTTCACATCAAAATTCTTTATTGATTAGCAACAATAAGGAATAAACTAGACCCCTGCAAGGAAAGATGCACTGATAGTTCAGTGCCGAGCAATGAAGTTTATACTCGAGTTACTCGTAATGTGTGCAATTACACACTTTAACCTTCACCAATAGATAATGACGCTTTGTCATAATAATTATATTAATCACTTCTCTTATCTTGAAAAGATGAGCTACCGCAAAACAATTCATAGAACACAGGCAAAATTGGACCACCCCCCCCCCCCTTATAGGTGTAAGTTTGTGCAATTGCACTCAAACACACCTGCTACTATGCAATAACTGTTTTTTACTTCGCTTTGAGCGCCTAATTAGCAAATTCTTAACTTTTGAAGCATTTGACTAAACTGATTTGCAGTTTTTTTTTCAGCGGATGGTTGCAAGGGAGAAGTTGACCACAAGCTAATCCGCGCGAATTTTAACTGGCGATACCATTTTGTCCCACAAGTGCGTCACGAAGCTCCAAAGCAGTGCAAACATAAGAAGACAAGACAGAAGACAGACTTCTGCAAAGAGGCTTATGTGAGCCGATTCGAAATTTTTTCTCTTCTATACCCCTTCAGCTTTATGATCTCTAAGAGTCAGTCCAAATGTATTAGGTCGTGTAATAAGTTCTGTCCCATTTTTAAATTTTAGTTTTTTCTCGACATCATTGACTATATCTTAGATAAAGTTATATGCTTTCAAAAGCTCTAAGTCTGCTCTGCAGGATCATATGCATCAATCTGCAACTAAGCGGGAAACTGGAAAAGATTTTTCTTATTGAAACAAAAAATCCAAAGAGCCGAAAAATCAGTTTTCGACACCCTTTTTCCTCCAAATTTTTCTCCCTTTTTATTGATAAAACTTCTTAAACAAGCTTAACGACAAGCAAAACAATCTATTAGAATTTTACTTTTATTCTGTCACTGCTTGCGCTGTTCCCTTCCTTCCACCGACTATTTGATGATATTTTTTCAAAAGTCGGCAAAGCGAGATTTTGTCATGGCGATGTTCGCCGTCTTGCGTACCCAAGCTGTGTGGCTCCCAAAATTCAATTTTGAGTAGTTAGCCTACGATTTTGATAATTTAAAGCCAGAAACTATCCTTTCTGTCCATTCTAGTAATCCGCCTACCGTCCTCTTTCAGGAAGCCTTCAGATGAAGCCCAACGTCAAAGTTGAAAAGGCTTAGAAAGAAGACTTTTTTAAAGTTTACAAAAATGATTTTCGAAAAGTTTAAGTACTCCTGAAGCGCTAAAGAAGTTATAGCATCCTTTGCTTACGTGTAGCAAATTCTTCGAGCTTATTCGTAAGCATTCTGACTAATTTGGAGGGTGACGTAACATATTTGTCGAAATGGATTTTTTCCCTGTTTGATTTTCCAAATTTGACGCTGTATAACTTTTTCAAGTCATCTGTTGTAGAAAGGCGAAACGGAATTTCTAGTAGAGAAGGCTTAGAGCTTTCAAATGCATATAAACAGTTTGCAGAACATCGCGCAAAATATTGAGAAAAAATCGAAAGAAAAACTGGGACAGAACTTATTACACAACCTAATAAAAGACTGAGGGTAAATTTTTGTTAATTTCTCGATACAATTTTCAGTACATCCGCTATACGCCGGAGAAAGATTGCACATTAGAATACTGCAGGTAAATATATCTGATAACCAATTACATAAAACATGAAATTTTTCCATTTTTGAAGAAAAGAATTCATAGTTGATCGCTTTGACATGAACGTAGCAGTGGAACTTCGATGGGAACCATGGACAAAGTGTGAAGGAAACATGGCACTTCAAAAACGTGAAGGTAGAAATTTGCTAGCATTTTTCTATCATAACCGAAAAGAGGGAAAACTTCTTTAACTCTCGCAAAAACTAGATTGCTTCTCAAATCTCTGGAGTTCCAGGAAGTTTGACATGCGATTCCTGCAGATTTCTGAACACTTTTTAGAGTTTTCACGAGTGCGAAAGTATAAAATTTCTTACTGCTTACTGCTTACTTGGTGCTTACTGACAGAATGGGAATCATGTCATTTTTAATGAGATTGATACTGCTTTGTTTCCAGCACACTGCTATCTGGTACGTAAAACTGGCTATGAAATCCCGATTGCTAATGATGAACGAGTGCCGGAAACATTAAAATGGATGTCAGAACTGAACGTTCTATTCGATCGCGAACCTTTCACGTCGAAAGGGATAAGACTGTACAGGTACAGATGAATCATTTGTGACTCATGGTGTGTGCTGCACACTATGCGTTACATCTCACGACTCCTATCTTTCTAAGCCGCCATTTTTTGGTATTTTTCGTCCTTGTTCTCTGTTTTCATAGGTACATACGTCTAAACAAACATCAAAAGTTTAGTCCGCAAATTTTCATAGGTCACAAACGTCTCCTTGTACAAAAGTGTTTGTTTCTACTACAGTTCCCTTCTCGCTTCATTATTTCTCGACGAAGAAGTGATGAATAAATGTCATTACGAGGAGAAACGCTTAAAGGTTCGAAACATCATCAGATTCCTGCAAAAAAAATCACAGCTGTTTTCTAGACAGATCAAATATGGAGGGAAATTCTGAGCATCATGGGCGCAAAATACGCAGATGGCGCTAAAATTTTGCAGCTAGACGAAAATGGAGGGCTCCTGAATGATCCGGAGTCTTTACGCCTAACAAATGCTTTTCAAGCTTGTATGGTGTAAGATACGCAACATATTCCAAGAAGTTGTTTTTTTTTTCACAAAAAAGCATTTTTTTGAACATTCAAATGCAAAATTTGTCTCTCTTGACAAAAAGTCTTTTCAGCTATGAATACAACAAAGAACGTGATTTCGAGCATGTGGTTGGTACCTATATGACAGAAACACGCCCATGTGGTTAAATAGAGACTCCATCCATGAATGGTTCCTCAGTATTAAAAGGATTTTGATACGTAGTTTCAAAGAAAATTTGCAAGATTGTTAACATAATACCCATGATATTTCCTTTAATATTCGTTGTGGTTGATAAATCTTTGAAGTACTCGTTACGAAATGATAGTTGTTGAGTTTTGATTACAATTTGACTATGATACTAATTTTTTTGACTTTTCCCTTTGATTTTCTCAACCTCTTTTTCTATACTCAGTGATATTATATGATGCCTTCAGGACCCCAATACAAGAAGCCTTTTCTGTCATAATCAGTTTAATGCAAGAAGAAGGCAGAAATATGAAATTTGTAGGAAAATTCTGTGAAAAAATTGAAATTTTCCTGCTGTTTTTTACAATAAGGCTGCCTAACTACTACTAAAAAAACTCATGAATGACAGCACTTACGTAATTTGATCCCAGATGCTAGCCTAAACCATGACCGATGATGTTATGACAGCTGCTATCTTGCATATATCTCACTTTCGAAACCGGTTACTAGTTGCTTTGCTGGATTTGATAGCATTTACACGCAGCGGATACAAGTTCTGAAAGAACAACACAGCTGCTTTTGCAGAAGAACTCATGAAATATGTTTAATCCAGATAAGTGTTATCATCAATGACTACCTGTAATGAAACTCTAGAAAGATAAGTATGACAACGTAATTGCATAGCTGTGCAGTGTTCGCATTCACATAACAAAAGCAACTGCAATTTTTTATAAAATTTTATTAGCATAACACCACTGTTGATTTTTGAACTTGCAATTTCACGTTTTGAATACTCAGCATTCCTAATTTATAAAAAGAAATGAAACAAAGGGCCTTTTACAAACAATCAAAGGCTAATGCCGTACGAACCAGCAGTAGCCTTTACAGTGCACAGTCGTGTATTTGCGCAAAAAGCACCAAATCCAGGTCTATAACCTCAAGAACAAAGAAATTAGGTACTAACTTATTCAAAGCGTAATTATCCCAGGAAATCTCTATCAAAAATACTGTACTAATGATCATCATAAATACGTGTTCTCTGCGCCAAGACTAATTCACAAAAAGCGAAGCATTCTAATGGGACTATTAATAAGCGACGTCTTAACTGAGCTAGCATTCATGAAAAAAAAACAAAAACACAAATCAACAGTAAACAATAATCAAAAAATAAAAAAGGATCCCATAGAACGTATTGGCTCAATCATTTGTTTATAGTCTCAGGTAATTGGAAAGAAGAAAACGAATAAGTAAACACAACCTGAGAGGAAAATGAATACAGACAAGGCTTTTTAGCTAAAATAATCGAAATCGTAGACTCTCAGTATAGGACTGCGAACATTTTTGAATAGCAAATAGTCTTCTAACTGAAGCTCCACAGTCACAGTGTCTTCCTGATTCGATCAGAGATCTTATCGACAAATACCACTAATATCTAGTTAATTCGCTTTGTAACTGTGTCCAGATCTAGAAGTTTACGAGTCTAAAGGCCATTAGAGGAGGGCGGGCGTCACAGCTAGTAAACTCTCTGGTAAACATCCATAAAAACCAGCTTTGATCCGCTATATAAGTAACAGGAAGAGACCCGAGGATATCACATCGTTTCCATTTCTTCTTCTTCTTCTTTTTCCTCATTTCATGAAAAATCTTCCAAAAGTGTACAGAATCTCCAGAACTAATTTTTGCCATTTAACTTGTGAACCAGTTATTTAAAGGTGCTAGACTGCATTCGCGCGCTTCGGGACCGCACCGCGATTTCCCGCTATTTGCTGTTTTTCGAGTTGGCGTTGCGATTCTTTATATATTAGATAGTAAGAAAAAGGTTTTACATACTACTGCTTAGGTTATTTGCAATTTCGAGGCATTTTTCCACCCCTCACTTCTTATTTTTCTCCGCCAGAAAGCTTCACCTTATTTTTCTCCGCCAGAAAGCTTCACTTCTTGCTTCAGAAAATTTGTTTAAGAAGAACTCTGCTGTATTTTACAATGATGACAAGTTGTTAGTGAAAATCTTTTTGCCTATTTTCAGATAATTTTAAAAATCCAGATAATCCAAAAATGAAGAAATTTTAGATAATGCATAACAATAGGTGATGGTGAAAAATTACCATTTTTTATTATTTTTGTTTCCTAACAATGTATGTAACGAAAAATGCTGCCCCTTTTATACGGAACGTCTTGAGCGTATTGAATGAAAATGATTATGTAATGGATATCTCTATAACAAGAATCTCAGGTCTAGAGAAAGCTAGAGAAGCTAGAGTTTATTTTTTACTAATGCTTCATCCCGATTTTTTTCTTTCCAGCACCAGAAATGATGACATTATCTTTTACGAGTGTTTTCAGAAGAAAAAGCCAAAAAACTAAAAACAACAAAGCAACTTTTTTGCTTCACTAAAAAGCAAAAACTGCCCACTTTCGTACTTTTGCCTAAACAGCGCTCTGAATTTGGCACATTTGTGCTGTACAATTGCGTACACTTTAAACTTTGCCGCAATCTGACACAAAAACAACACAAAACCGGCGTAGAGAACTGGTTTAACTCGGGCACGTTGACCGTAGGGTTGATTTCTACATTCCTCTAAACATGTGTCATCTTACCTGGTCGCGTTTGGTACGTACTTTTTTATGGTAAATGATCGGAAATTGATTTAATTGGTTCCAGATGAGCGCAGTTACATACTACAGCATCTTGGGGACGTTCATTTGCACGGCGATTCTGCTCGGTACGACATTCATCATCGTTCTCGACATTATCGATGAGATTGGCGAATTTCAATCAGATGTTGAAAAGGATCTCGATCAGTTCAAGGTTTTTTCCTAAGATTATTGATTGATTAGAAGGAAAAAGAATTTGCTACAGAGCTACGCTGATGATGCATGGACAACGATGATGAGCGCTAAGCTAGCGCAACCTCAAAGATCGGTCTTCTTCGACACTGTCGTTCGTGTCAGGAAACAAGCAGGTTACGTGGTTGCAGGTGGTGGAGATAGTTTTGGTGGTTGTCAATGTGCGGCTCAATCAACAGGTTGCCCACGTGGTCCTCCAGGTAACTGCACAGCTTAAATGGTCCCAAAAATAAGCGAGATGAAAAATTCCTCCTATTTTAGGACCACCCGGACAAGCAGGAGCACCAGGACTTGATGGTGAACCAGGTATACCTGGACATTCCGGAAATGTCGGACAGGGAGCACCACATCCAACTGGAGGAGCATGCATTCAATGCCCAGCAGGACCACCCGGACCTCCTGGACCTAGTGGTGCACCCGGTCCTGCAGGACCTCCCGGAAATTCAGGAAGTGACGGGCAAGGAAGTAGTGCAGGTGGGTACAATGGTGTACGAAAGGTGGAGCTGAGGTATTTTATTAATTTTTAGGCGCCCCCGGACCTGCTGGAGCTCCTGGCGCACCCGGAGCTAATGGAAATCCAGGAAGACCTGGACAAGATGGAGCTCCCGGATCACCAGGTAAGAAAGACCTACCAGATTGTTCAGTATAACGGAAAGCCCCCGATGTTTCAGGAACCCGCTCATTCTCAGCACCTGGCCCAGCTGGACCACCAGGACCACCAGGAGCACCAGGAAATCCCGGCCAAGACGGAGGACATGGAGGCGTTGGAGCACCCGGACCAGCAGGACCACCGGGACCAGTCGGACAACCTGGAGCACCGGGAGTACCTGGAGGTGTGGGACAAGCTGGAGCGAATGGTTCACCAGGACATGATGCAGCATATTGTCCATGTCCGCCCAGAACTGCCGGATTTAGCGGTGTTGGAGCAGGTGCAAGCAGCGGGCTCACCGGTTCTGGAGGAGGTTCTGGAGGAGGCCAAAATGGATTTGAGATTACTACTACACTCCAAGGTGGAGGTGGTGGCAACTTCGCCGGAGGTGCTGGTGGCAGCACTCATGGTAATAATGGACCATATAAGAAACGTGTTCTTGTGTACTAAATGATTGTTTGAGTAGATAAATCTCATTTCAAATACATGTTGACGACCATACTTCAATCCAGATCTTTCAAAAATTCTTTGAAAAATCCAACGAAAAAATTTTGCGCAATGACCGAAAAGTACTGAGGAACCTTTAAAATCTAATAGATTCCGCATAATTTTTCAACTATGACTTTTTACCGTTATAAGTCACAGACTTCTTATATTCTAAGTAGTTTTTGGAGTCCTTTCGATAAAGCAAGGCAAGCTCTATAAAGACCCCTAAACACATACATAAAGTTTGACCCACGTAAAATTTGAAGCCAAGATATTCCGAATGCTTGAGAAATCTGAAAAATTGTACCTTAAAAAATTTCTGTGGATTTCTCACTTGTTCAAGCATATACTCTTCAGATTAGACATATATAAATACGGTTACTGTATTTTTTCGGTGGGTAGAAATCATGAAAAAATGCGCTAAATTTTCAAACTTTGCCTGTATCGGTCATGTGTTCCTCGCAAATATGTCAGCAGTACAGCCGTAAATTCCCTTATTTCTTGGAAAATGTCATTTTTAGTAATTGAAAATTATGAGACAACCCAATAAGTGAAAGAGTCCCACAATACCGTACAGACCCTATAAATTTTGAAGTTTCAAAGCCTTCTGAAATGAATCTTATTCAACATGCATATTGATTATCTCGCTCGACAAACAACGAAAAATCTCGTCATATATACGAATTTTTTCGCATCCGATTTGCACTGTAACAAGTCTGTGACTGAATAGAATCAGGAACACATTCGCCACATTTCTGCTCTCAAACGACATTGTTAACATTCATGAACTCTCCACGCATCGTGATGTGACAACATGTCGTTGTATTCATTTACCGGTAGGAAAGGACTAATAAATTATTATTGATTTGTGATAAAAGTTCCATATTTGTAGTTTGTGTTTCATGAAAGTTCTCATAAGTGAAAAGAAATTGAAAGGCGCGAAATTGCTTTATCGTCACTTAAAATTGTTCTGAGGACACTTCACTTATCCTCTGCTTTGATATTAAGAGCTCTAGAAAAGGTTTGGCAATCAAAATAAATGTTCTTCAGTGTTTCATTTCCTACATTCCACATCACGTACTGCGAGAAACACAGATATTTCCTTTGGTAGAAGGTCCGCCACGAGGGGGCTTTGGCAAATTTTTCGAAACAAAGCCCGTTGACTTTGTAAAAAATACGACATTCTATAATACTAGGCTGTTGCATAAGTTCTGTCCGATTTGAATTTTTGAGTTTAAAATGTCATAACTTCTTTCAGAGTCAACTTTTTTCCAAGGTCTTAGTTTCTATGTGTTGAGCAGTCCCTTGGCTAAAAATTGCATATTGAGATCTGCGCAAATCTTTGTTAAGGAAGAACCAAGAATGCAAAAACTTCGCAGCGTTTTTCTTCGAATCTGTCTTTTTTGACATGGTAACGCTCCCTTATGAAAATTGATAGGCATCTTTTCTAATAATGGATGGATAGAGAAATTTTCGTAGATTATTATGCAACATAAAAGAGCCCATAGGGTTTGCGCTGCCGAGAGATTTTCTTGACCGAACAAAAAATTAGCCACTCTTTGACCTCGCTTCAGCACATGTGTGCATGCCTATTTATGAACTACGAACGTTTTACAACTGACGTGAGCGCCGAAAAGGAATTGGTGGATGGGCCCTGTTAGCTCTTGCTTTGCCCTAGCACCTCCAACTTTGAGCTTGTCGATTTCTTCTATTCGCAGAAAGTTATTGCTTGTAAAACATCTATACCAAAGATTTATGTTCGACGATAAATTTCACTAGCAAGAGGTATTCTTCATGGGACCGAACTTCTGCATATACTAGCATTCCACACCCTTATTCCGAAGCCAATGAAAGAACCTGACTTGAAGGGCGCATTGTGGAGATATCCTCGCAAGGACATATTTCTAGGGATAGAACGTACCTCGGCCACTTAGAGATTTTAGGCCTGTGATCTCCGTACACTAAGAATTTTATTGAATTCTGGTATGCTTTAGAAAGCGCAAGGAAAGCACTTTTCAATGATACCAACCGTATCGAATTAGAGATGAAATTCTCTTAGAACAGCTGCTTCAAACATGAGGCAAAAAAATCGGACAGAACTTATGCAACAGCCGGCCAATAATGTAACAAACATATATAACAAAGAAGAATAAAAAGAATAGAAAAGCAACATCAAATGAACGTTGAGGGTACTAATGATGTTCGAATTCTCCAAATTAGCAGCATGCCTTGTCCGGAGCGCATCACGGTGCTCTTTGAGCAGAATTGCCGCCACCATTTAAAATTTTTGGAGGCTTGGCTAGGCTGAGAGGAGGGGGTTTGGCTTAAAAAATAGGTTTGTAGATTGGATTTTAGTAGATGGAAGTTATGTAAAAAGCACGAAAAAACTATGTGAAGAGAGGAAAATTCTTGACTTTGTCTTCGAACCACCTCAGGCAACTCTCCAGGTGGCCAAAAGCCACCTGACTCAGTGTCAGAAAAAATTTTGCCGCGCCTTCAGTTCACAAAACTTTTTTTTACAATTTTTCATTCATAGTTTCAACCCTTTATACCGCATTTCCCATAGGTGTCATATTTCCTCTCCGCTTTGAACCAGTCTTCTGCTTATTTCGGGGCACATTTTCGGGTTTGTATCTGTATGACTCATGTGACCAATGACGATGGGATAGGCTCTATTTGTAAGGGAGGAAATTGCAAAAGATTCCTTGATTTGATGGGCGTGAAACTGGCCATTCCGTCGAAGTTTTTTACTCGATTTTGCCTTACACGACTAGAAGTTTTTTGAAGATTCTCAGCACTCTCGGAACTCTGTTTTGCACAAAGCCATTGGCGATTTTTCACATACATCGTACTGAACTGATACATGTATTTCTTCTCCGCCTTTGCTTTTTGCCCCCAAAACCATATTCAGCCACAGGTGGCCCTGTAAGCCACCTGTAGCTGCTTTGTTGAACTATCTTCGTGAATGCGTTGAACAGGGACAGAACTTGGAAAGTTGCAATGATAAAAAGGAAAAGAATCCTTGTAGCTTATATGATAAATTATGCCTTTTTTCGTGAAATTCTCGTTACAAAAGGGTATAAAATGACTCATTTGCAAGCACAAGATTTGGAGTATACGCGCAAGGGGAATTACAACAAGGTATGAAATTATATAAATTCATGAGAATCAAGAGCGTGGCTGAAATCTCTCCAAACTAAGGTGGCAATTGCTACCCGCTTAATGTCCTTTGTGTAACAAAGCTTTTAGTTCACATTTTCTATGATTTCTGCATAAATCTGACTAAATGAAGGAGGAAAGCGCGCTCCAATTCAACGACTGACGCAGCTGGCGCGAACAGAGGAATTTGTAAATTCTGTAAGTGGCGGAAGCAAATTTGTTCTTCAGCGCCCATTATTCGATTTTTGCTTAGCTTCGCCTATTCTTGTTGAAGATGAATAACTAGGTTAGCACAATCCTAACACGACGGCTACCGCGGCAGAGTCAACTAAACTGAATGGGATACTTTATCGTGGAGCAAAATAAGCTGTATAAGGTGATCACCAAAAACTTATATAGTAATCTACGCAAGGTTAGCAGCCAAAACCTACATTAAGTGCCCTAAAAATTGGATGACCCCTCAGAAAGATCCTACATGACCTTTCTCAAACGCTTATCTCGAAGAATATCAAATTCGCAGAAAAGACTACTTCTTCACGTAATTGGTATTTTCCTTTCTCAATCCTGAGCCGCAGAAAAAAAACTCAGCAAGTCATCTGTAAATGCTACAGTCTGCCTACTATGTTCTAGCCTATGGGGGCTGCCATTTTTAGCAGAAATCTAATTTAGTGTCATCGAATTTCTTGCTCAAATGCATGTGTATCATAATTTTTGCGAATTCTAGGAGTCATGAGAAGCTCGCTTTGCTCTACTAGATCCTGCTACCCTGCTATTTTTTTCCTTGTGCACCCTGCTGGGATTGTGTCAGTTTATTTCGAGCATAGTCTCGAAGCCTTCGAGCCTTCATATTTCAAGTTTGGTAAGGTTACGACGATTAATTCTATGGGTGTATGTTCTGTTAGATTGCGTGTTTCATCTCGATATCAAACTTGAGGAACTTTCATGGCCCGATGAAAATAGAAGAAAAAATCAAATTTTTTTAGAACTTTTTCTCAAGATTCTCATATTCAGAACGTTGAAGTTTGTATATTTTCGATGCATACCTGCCACACACAGAATATTTAGGTTTTGAATTTTCCAAAATTTTTCCGAAAGTTTGGTAAAAATCTTGCATTTTCCATAAAGACTCCAAAAACAGAAAGATGGGAATAAAGTCTTGCAAGGAAAAAGAAATAAATGGAGGTTAATTCACCATCACGGAATTGCCTTTATATCCAGCGTAACTCAGATTTGTGAAGGTGAAAAATAATGTCAATGGACAGTTCTCTGTCATTCTTATATGTGCCAACTATCAGACTTATTATAATATTTATTTATTTTATCCATTGAAACGCGCTTGAGTAACATGCGAGGTAGAAAATAACAAAGTGTGACCTGAGTGATACAACCCTGCTGTAAACAATCCGGTAGAGTAAGACAGGAACTACGGACAAATAGTAACAAAAAAGAAAACAACAACAAAAATCAATAAACAGCCAAAAAACTGAATCTTGCCGACTTTGCTGAAGTTTAGAGTTTATTGGAGGAAGACGAAGAAAGTTTAACAAAACTCATATTACGACTCGATGACTTTGATTTTGGAACAGAACAAGGATGGTTTTGTCCTGCGCGGCTTAATCTTCACAGAATTTTTTGGTCCAGAAAGGAGTGGAAATCCATAGTCCTATTGTGAAAGAAGTCAGTCACACAAGGGATTTCGTATCATTGCAAGTGATGCGTTAAAACAATGCATGAACTGTCCGACAAAGCAAGCCATATGCCTTTCTCGTAATGTGTTTCGCGATCAATTATAGAGATAATCTTATTGAAATGATGTAGAAACTCGATCTGCGGTTCCAAGAGGCTAATGTGCTGGTTAGTATATAAGTCAGTTGTAAGTACCTCTAACTCACATCTTCTTCTTCAAAGGTAAATAACAAAAAATATTTTTATAGTCTTATTGCTGCTCTAAAACTACAGATGGGTTCCGTGCATCAATACGCCATCGGCTGTACTTTAGCTGGCACTATAGTGGCACTTTGCGTCACTTATATTATCATCCTTAATGTCATAAACGATATTAACGAATTCCAGGACGAAATCGAAAAGGATCTGAATGAGTTTAAGGTTGTTTTGTTATTCAAAAAAAATGCAAATTTTGTCGTGATCACTTTTCTATCTGACAGTACTTCACCGACGACGCCTGGAACACGATAATGAGCGCCCAGCCACCGAGAGAAAAACGAGCCGCCTCAAAATCAAGAAGAGGCTCAAGAGGATCACACTCGAAAAGAGCTTCCTATGCAGAAGGACCTTGGAGCGAAAGTAGTACGGCATCAGCTGGAGTCAGTGGCCCTAGTCATACGGAATCTGTTGGCGATACAGGCACTAGTGCAGGTAGCGGATGTCAGTGTGCTGCCCAGGCTACCGGATGCCCACCTGGGCCACCAGGTATGCTAGCAGATAGAAAGAGAAGCTATTTACGAAGGTACACTTTTCTAGGACCACCCGGACAACCTGGACTACCTGGAGAGGATGGCGCACCGGGAAATGCTGGAGGCAGTGGCTCAGCTGGGCAGGCGGCGGAAATGCCAAGCTCAAAGGGATGCATCACCTGCCCAGCAGGTCCGCCCGGTCCTCCAGGACCAGATGGACCACCGGGACCAGTTGGACCAAGTGGAAATCCTGGAATGGACGGACAAGGAGGAGGAGGAGGTAGATTTTACAAGACTCCTATGCTTGATTCTTGAAAATCTACTTTCTAGGTGCGCCCGGACCAGCTGGGGCTCCTGGAGCGCCTGGAATGGACGGTAAACCTGGAATGCCTGGAATGGATGGAGCACCTGGAAACCCAGGTATTTGCCTTCAATGTAGATTATAATAGAACGCTACAAGACCCATTCCAGGAACTCGTTCCACAAGTATGCCCGGACCCGCAGGGCCACCGGGACCACCAGGAGCACCCGGTATGCCTGGTAATGATGGTGGTCAGACAGGCCCTGGGGCGCCCGGACCTGCAGGACCGCCCGGTCCACCCGGACAACCAGGAGCACCAGGAATGGCTGGAGATGCGGGACAGGCTGGAGCCAGCGGGGAACCAGGACGTGATGGAGCATATTGCCCTTGTCCTCCGAGAACCGGTTCTGGATTCGGAGGAGCTGTTGATGCAGGTCCTCCAAGTCAAGGTCCTCCGGAGACTGGCTCCGGATCTGGCGCAGCTGCTGCAGGTGGCAGGAGCCCTGCGAGACCTGCCCCTGATAGGGGAGCTGTTAATGCAGGTAGCCAGAGCCACAGTTCAAGTTATGCAACTGGTCCTGTATACAAGAGAAGGATGCGCTTATGAAAGATGTTCTTGTATACGCATTAAAGATTTCTAAAGCAAATTATATCACGTGTACATGCGAAAAAATTCAACAAAGTTTCGAAAACCTTCTTCATTGTCGATTTATCATAGATAGAGTAGTCAAGTGATTGACTTAAGACACCATCGCCATAAAACTCCCTTATCATTGAAATGCAAAGTAGATAATTGAGTGGATGAAGAAACCTAAGCACTATTTTTTGAGATATCCAAATCATTCTCTCAAGTGATTTAAGTGTGATCATCCACACGGTAGAATCAATTAAAATCATCAAGACCTTATAATAACGGGCTAAGGGTTGTTTACGTGTTTTTGTGTGTGTGTCTGTGTGTCCGTCTGTTACGAAATTCGTAGAGCGTGTTCCAGCCAGTGTTCTAAGCCCAAATTTTGCATAGCGCATGCTCCCTTCATGATCTAACATGCAAAAGCACGAGTAGATACGTTGAGTGGATCTCTCAGAAATTGCGCGCCAAACGGAGCCACCTGGCTTCTGTCCCCAAAATTGGGTCCGTATCACCACTTTTTGCGAAGTCGTGGGTGTGTTTGGTTTGCAAATGTGCAAACGATAGACTTTAGCCCAAAAAGTGGTCAAAAGTTTACTACATAACGAAAACGGCGCCAAAAAGAATTGGTTGTGTAAATGGTCAATTTGCCGAGGTTCTAGCTAAGCGTTTGAGAAGATTTTCGCACAAAGATGTAGCTCACGGTTATCATTACCTTCATGGCGACTACCAAGTAATGACAAATCCAAAAACCTATTCAAATTTGCGTTTGTTTTCCTGCGAAAAGTTTCATCCACGCGAAATCACCGATCTCACGTGAAAAAGCTTTCTAAATGAGAGGTTGTTTACATTTAATTCGTGGTAGTCGGTATGGCGCGGTGAGTTCCATTGCCACGATTTTACGAGAATGAGTAAGGCACATAGATAGTAGAGCCAGTGCGAGCCTCTGTGCTGGTGAAGGTATAACGAAATCTACAATCAAAGCTCTTTCCAAATTAACCCAGGAAATTGGAAGGTCAAATTCGCACCTAGAATGAGCTTCAAACACTCAGTTGGCTTACCTCTGAACTTGGAGCTCCCTTTAATACTGAAAAGTAACTTGGGCTCAAATCAGCATCCAATGAGGAAGATTGGCTACTAAAAATTTCATATTAGCTGTTTCCTGCAGTTTGGTTCGGATCAAAACGACTAAATACTCAGCTAGCTTCGTTTACCATGTGTGTTTGCGTGGGGACAAATATGCGCAAAAGCTTATCTTCCACTTGCTTAAAGGCAGTGCGTCGGCAGAATGAGACCCGTGGCAAAAGAAGGTCACAGGGTAGGAGCTCCCGTAATGGAACCTATGGGCCAAGGTTCGGTCTTTCTCTGCCACTTCTAACCCCCGAAATTTCAAAGCGAAAGCAGCGCTCATCTCCTGTCCTCTCCGAACCCGCCCACCCCATGGACGAGTGACTTCCACGGTCAGAGCGCCAGCCGCAAAGCTATAAGCATGAGGTCCCGCAACGACTCTGTGTCTTCGCCGTGACGGGCTCCGCGTTCACTCGTCCATGTGGTGAGCGGGTTCGGAGAGGACAGGAGATGAGCCCTTCTTTCGCTTTGAAATTTCGGGGGTTAGAAGTGGCAGAGAAAAATCGAACTTTGGCCCATAGGTTCCATTATGGGGGCTCCTACCCTGTGGCCTTGTTTTGCCACGGGTCTCATTCTGCCGACGCACTGCCTTTAAGCAGAGCTTAATCGGGTTCTAGGGGGGGGGGGAGGGAGGAGGAGGGTTGGGGGTTTGGCTTAAACCCGATGATTATGGTATGGGCTTGTACCTGATCTTCTTGAAAGCTTTTAGCACATTGTATTCACCCCAGCAAAACTTATTCGTACACCGAGCAGAATGTGTGATAATCCCTTGCTATAGTCAGCAGTAAACAATCAGGGTCCTGAAAAGATTACCGCTGAGAAACTGAGGAATCTCCTCAAGTCTTTATACCTCATTTGCCCTTACTTTAGCTCTATTAGCGTCGGATGTATCACAACAAAATATGATTGCTTTGATATTACACAAACACTGATTTGCTTTTCATTCATAATATTGTAGTTCTCGGTGGAAAAAACGTGCCGACAACAAGCTTTTTTAGGAGTCAGGGGGGGGGGGTAGTCATTATTCGATAAGCATTTCAATCCTTCACAAGGAAGAAGTTTTTATATGGATTCATCTAGTTTTATTAAAAATCCTTTTCTGTTGAGATATCTACTATTAGTCGATGCTTTCCGTTAAGCAAGTGAAAGTATTCACTACCAACTTTTGACGATTATGCACCAAGATGTTCACCATAGCCACCGGGAACACTTTTTTTTCTACGAAAACTTCATGTTATAAATTCAAATAAAAAGCTTCAACAGCAAGGCCTTTGTTTCGGCCTTTCTTGAACGCTGCTGATAAGTTCTGAATTTGTGATAAATGAGCTTATAGCAGCAACAAAAGTCTGAAAAAATCCTTTGAGCAGTAATTTCAGACTATTTGGAAAGATCACAAAGGTCTTAGTGCGCTTCATGCTTATCACCAAGATCGTACAGAGACCCGCCCAAGGGCGCTGCGAAGACCGGATTTGTGGTTCCATACAGTAGAACAATGGAGAAGTTAGTATATAAGCAAAGCGCAAAAAGCAATACAATCATCACCTTTGAACTAATACCGTTCAAACTCCCATCCCTTTCTTAACTCTTAGTATTAACGCGAAAAAATTGTTTCAGATGGGTACCACTCTCCAATACGCCGTTGGGGGTACCTTCGCCACCACTGCAGTGGTCATTTGTATCACCTACGTCGCCATCTTCAATGTCATCAATGACATCAACGACTTCCAAGATGAAATCGAAAAAGATCTGGATCAGTTTAAGGTTGTTAAATAATTACAATGAGAAATCACTTTACGATTATTCCCCTCACATAGAACTTCGCCGACGATGCTTGGAAGACAATAATGGCTGCACAACCACCAAGACAGAAGCGAGCCTCACAAGCCTCACAATCAAAGAAAAGAGCTGCATACTCAGAAGGTGCAGGTGCAGTTGGTGCTGGCGGAGGAAGCTGGGGAGGAAGCAGTGGTGGCAGTAGTGGATGGAGCGGAGTAAGCGGTGGCGGCGGTGGCGGTGGTGGTGGTTGTCAGTGTGCTGCACAGGCCAGCGGATGTCCACGTGGACCCCCAGGTTGGAAAGAAAATCAAATCTCAGTGCCGTGCATTAAATCACCTCTTTTAGGACCACCTGGACTGCCTGGACATCCCGGAGAAGAAGGCATGCCAGGAATGCCCGGAGGAGCAGGACAAAGCGGACATGCAGCGTCTATGGGGCATGCTATGGGATGCATCAGCTGCCCTGCCGGCCCACCAGGTCCACCTGGCCCAGATGGTGCTCCGGGACCAGCTGGACCAAGTGGTAATCCAGGAATGGCCGGAAATGGAGGAGGAGGAGGTACATATCACAAATGTCATCACGAACGTTTTTGAGCAACGCTTTTCTAGGTGCCCCTGGACCAGCTGGAGCTCCTGGTGCGCCCGGAGCAAATGGAAATCCTGGAGCCCCTGGAATGGATGGAGCGCCTGGATCGCCAGGTAATCTCACCTAAGCATTGGCAAAAAAGGCATTCTGATACACATGTTTAAGGAACTCGTTCAATGAGCATGCCCGGTCCTATGGGTCCACCTGGACCACCAGGAGCACCCGGCATGCCAGGTATGGATGGCGGTCACACAGGAGGCGGAGCACCTGGACCTGCAGGAGCGCCGGGACCAGCAGGACAACCTGGAGCACCAGGAGCTCCTGGAGGTGTGGGACAAGCTGGAATTAGTGGTGCACCAGGAGGTGATGGAGCATACTGTCCATGTCCCGCCAGAACTGGTTCTGGATTTGGCGGTGCTGTTGGGGCAGGTGGAGGCAACGGATTCACCGGCAATTCCGGTGGAGGCGGAAGCAACGGATTCAGTGTAACCACTCAATTTGGCAGCACTGGTGGAGGTGGAAACAGCGGATTTGGCGGAGCCTCTCAGTTCAGCGGACCCGTCGGTGGTGGTGGCGGCGGCATGCACGGCATGAACAGTGCTCCATACAAAAAACGCGTTCGCGTGTAATAATGTGCATATGTTCGATAAAGATTATGATGCTATTTTGTTACTTCTGATCATGTCGAGCTTTTCAAGCTTGGCTTACATGAGACTAGTCGAAAGACGATCTGTATGTGCGTTTAGATAGCATAAGCTTGATTCTGTTCTCGAAAAGACAAGCATTATTTGGCATTTTGAGTCGGTGCTGGAGCGGCAAAGCATCTCTTTTTTCGCGGTAGACGACTCGTCCCATGCTAGGATTGCTTAGTGGTTGTGAGAAAGGAGTAGTTTGAATCGATAAGCTAAAGTCTTCTAAGCTTCTCATCATTTAAAACTGCACCTGTAATTTGTTCCGATTACTAGAAGGCGGCAGAGGATGGAAGCAGGGGTTGCCACAGGGATAATTAAGAACGCTGTTGTGAAGATTTCAAGATCCAGAGAAACCTGGTTAGTATATCTGTGAAAACAAATCACATAACTCTGTTGGATATATACTGGTGTCCCAAAACTCTTTCATTTTTTTTTACCGCAAAGTCATATCCGTTTGAATAACTTTCTCTAAAGCAAAGCAAGCTATACAAGAGGTTATTAATTTTTTAGCAGCTTCAATCCACCTCATTGAAACCAAAATCTAAAAAGTTCTGGATACTCAAAAATTGAGAAAAAACAGACCTTTTGTTTAATAATATCCTACGGAAATCTCTCTTGCTTACGCATAATCTCATTTGCTCACTCTACAGACATTCATATATAGCGTTGATGCATTTTTTCCTTGGCTAGAAACCAAAAAACGATCAATGCTTTTATGATAATGATGAGCTGTCCCCGCATAATTTGCTGTAAACTACAGATTTCTATACTGCCTTAGATTTATATTTTTATACCTCTAGTTCCCGAGAAGTATTGTTTTAGGGTGAGATACTCAATTGAGGAGTGCTAAACACAATATTTCTCGGAAACTAAAGCTTGTAAAGAGCTGAAATTTATTATTGTACTTCGGAACGCTTGTAGCACACAGTAACGTACATTGGATAAAAATGACTGAAGTGACTTCCTTGACTTAAACACACAAGAAAATTTTGTGTTGTAGTCAAGGAATTACAGTAACGGTATGTATGTATGAATGATGTAGAATCTATAACGCGTGAGGGAGTAAGAAACCCGTAGGATCCCATTAGACAGTGATATGAAATTTTTTCCAATATCAGGGGATTCCCAACCTTTAGGACTTTTGTTGCGAACTGCAAATGGATCAAAGCTGGACAACTATGACAACCTGATAATTGAAAAATATGAAAGGCAAGTTTGGAATCAGCAATGAAAAGCATACTTTCCAACATCTTCCAAGCAGATAAACAGTTCTGCACAAGAAATTTAAGAGGAAATGAAGTCTTCAGTCAAAGTCTTCAGTCAATACTAAAAATTACAATGGCAAATCAAAGTTCCAAAACAATGATCCAGTGACTCAATGAATTAGAACTGTGTTCAGGAGCTAAACGTACTGCACCCAATTCTGAGGAATATGAACTTTGCAAGAAAAACCTGACTTCTCGAAAAATTGAAACGAAAACCTTAGACGGAGCAAACAGAACATTTATCTATTTTTTACTAGTTCTACGATTCTAAATTCTGATTTATCCTTACCGCCACTAAATGCGTCTTTCAATGCTAATTTCAGATCCGTCTTTCATATCTTCGGAGAAATTTTTTATGTGGAGTTATAAGAATCTCTTTCTTCAAGCATAACTTTACTAAGATTCTTTGAATCATTGCCAAATCTTCTACGCAGTGCATACATGGACAGCCTTTAGTTTCCCCTGCAACACCTCTATGACAGGCACCCTATGACGCTAGTGAGTAATCTGGGAATTATCTTTAGGCTGTGTTTTTGGTTTTTTAGAGACCACCTTTTTTTGTATGCGTGAATAACAGGGTAGTCAGATCGGAAATTATGCTATGAAGGAAACAAGTAGGGGGGCATTCCCTCAATTTTTCAGCGGTAATCATCTCAGGACCCTTATTGTTTACTGATTTCATAGCAAGGCTTTCTCCCTTGCTCTCTGCTCGATGCACGGATGGGTTTTTTCCATGAAATGAGTGACGGGACGTACTGTAAAGCTTGTTGAAAAGTCCGGGCACAAGCCCATACCATAATCATCGAGTTCACCTTCCAAAAACTATTCCTAATTGAGCATGGTATAAGAAAGTGGAAGATGATCAGCTTTTGCGCATAATTATCCACACGAACATGGACCTGGTAATCAAATTTAGCTGAATGTTTAGTCTGTTTGATTCGAACCAAACTGCAGGAAATAGCAAATGTCGAATCTTTAAATAGCCATTTTTGGTACTATTCCAGTATACCGACCCCAAAAATTAAAAATCTCGGATTTCGCTCAAACTCGGTATAGGGGGGTTATTCGATCCGCTGATGCCGAATATCATATCGATACCGTGCGATAATGCCATTTTCCGGGGGTTACGGTGAATATACGGTAGGTGTCAGAATCACAAATTTCTCTGAAACTCGGTGCAGGGGGTTATCTGACATGCTGAACACGAATACGATATTCATTCGTTACGGTAGCTCCGCATTCCTGGGTTACGGTGGATATACGTTAGCGGGTCTGAATCACAAAATTTGGGTGTAGGGCGATTCGGAGGACCGTAATGCTTTCACGCAGGACACCGCCGCGCGCGCACACCCTTCGGCGGTTTTTGCCTAAGCAAACAGGGAAGGAAATTTGCGACGTGCGTGATTCTCGATTTACCGGTAATATTGGTAATGTATACCCAACGTAACTTTGGAATGAGGCATTATCGTAACTAACAAACATCATAATCGGGATCAGCATGTCAAGTAACCCCCCCCCCTACCCCCCTCATTATTTGGTGAACATTTCAAGATACTACTTCACAAGAGACAAGTCGGCCTTTGCTCTGGCCTTTCTTGAACGCTGCTGATAAGTTCTGAATTTGTGATAAATGAGCTTATAGCAGCGACAAAAGTCTGAAAAAATCCTTTGAGCAGTAATTTCTTACTTTTTAGAACCACCATAAATGTCTTGGTGCGCTTCATGCTTATCACCAAGATCGTATAGTGACCCGCCCAAGGGCGCTGCGAAGACCGGATTCGTGGTTCCATACAAGTAGAACAATGGAAAAGTTAGTATATAAGCAAAGTGCGGAAGGCAGTACAATCATCACCTTCGAAGTAATGCATTTTAAATCCCATCCATTTCCTAACATCTTAGTATTAACGCGAAAAAATTGTTTTAGATGGGTATCACTCTCCAATACGCCGTTGGGGGTACCTTCGCCACCACTGCAGTGGTCATTTGTATCACCTACGTCGCCATCTTCAATGTCATCAATGACATCAACGACTTCCAAGATGAAATCGAAAAAGATCTGGATCAGTTTAAGGTTGTTTAATAATTACAGTGAGTAATTACTTTACGATTATTTTCCTCACATAGAACTTCGCCGACGATGCTTGGAAGACAATAATGGCTGCACAACCACCAAGACAGAAGCGAGCCTCACAAGCCTCACAATCAAAGAAAAGAGCTGCATACTCAGAAGGTGCAGGTGCAGTTGGTGCTGGCGGAGGAAGCTGGGGAGGAAGCAGTGGTGGCAGTAGTGGATGGAGCGGAGTAAGCGGTGGCGGCGGTGGCGGTGGTGGTGGTTGTCAGTGTGCTGCCCAGGCCAGCGGATGTCCACGTGGACCCCCAGGTTGGAAAGAAAATCAAATCTCAGTGCCGTGCATTAAATCACCTTTTAGGACCACCTGGACTGCCTGGACACCCTGGAGAAGATGGCATGCCAGGAATGCCCGGAGGAGCAGGACAAAGTGGACATGCAGCGTCTATGGGGCATGCCATGGGATGCATTAGCTGTCCAGCCGGCCCACCAGGTCTACCTGGCCCAGATGGTGCTCCGGGACCAGCTGGACCAAGTGGTAATCCGGGAATGGCCGGAAATGGAGGAGGAGGAGGTACATTACAAACGTCACCATAAGCGTTCTTAAGCAAGCTTTCCTAGGTGCTCCTGGACCAGCTGGAGCTCCCGGCGCGCCCGGAGCAAATGGAAATCCTGGAGCCCCTGGAATGGATGGAGCGCCTGGAGCACCAGGTAATCTCACCTTAGCATTCACAAAGAAGGCATTCTGATACACATGTTTAAGGAACTCGTTCAATGAGCATGCCCGGTCCTATGGGTCCACCTGGACCACCAGGAGCACCCGGCATGCCAGGTACGGATGGCGGTCACACAGGAGGTGGAGCACCTGGACCTGCAGGAGCGCCGGGACCAGCAGGACAACCTGGAGCACCAGGAGCTCCTGGAGGTGTGGGACAAGCTGGAATTAGTGGTGCACCAGGAGGTGATGGAGCATACTGTCCATGCCCCGCAAGAACCGGTTCTGGCTTTGGCGGTGTTGGGGCAGGTGGAGGCAGCGGGTTTACCGGCAGTAGCGGTGGAGGCAGAGGCAACGGATTTAGTGTAACCACTCAGTTCAGCGGACCTGTCGGTGGTGGTGGTGGCGGCATGCACGGCATGAACAGTGCTCCATACAAAAAACGCGTTCGCGTGTAATGATGTGCATATGTTCGATAAACATTATGAAGCTATTTTGTTGCTTCTGATCATGACGAGCTTTTCGTGCTTGGCTTACATGAGACTTTAGTCAAAAGACGATCTGTGTGAGCGTTTAGATAGCATGCGCTTGATTCTGCTCTCGAAAAGGTAAGAAGCATTATCTAGCATTTTTAGCCGGTGCTGGAGCAGCAAAGCATTTCTTTTTTCACGGTAGACGACTCGTCCAATGCTAGGATTGCTTAGTGCTTGTAAGAGAGGAGTAGCTTGAATTGATGAACTTCTAAAGTTTTCTAAGCTTCTCAATCTTCTAAGAACTGCACCTGTAATTTGCTTTGACTAGTAGAGGCGGCTGAGGAAGGAAGCAGGGGGTGCCACAGGGACAATTAAGGGTGCTGTTGAGATTTCAAGGATTCAGAGAAACTTGGCAAGTATATCCGTGTGAAAACAAATCACATGAATCTGTTCGATATATGCTGGGCTTTCCCGGAACCTTTTCGTTTATGAATCTTTACCGCGAAATCGTATCCGTTTAGATAAAAAAAGCAAAGCAAAGCAAGCTCTACAAGATGGGGTATCTATATTTTTCACCAGTTGATCCACTTGAAGTTTGAAACCAAGACCTAAAAGGTTCTGGATGCCCAAAAATTGGAAAAAATCATGTCGTCCAATAGTATCTTACAGAAATCTCACTCGCTCACGCATATACACTCTTAGTTCAAATAAACCATTGATGCAGTTTTTTTGGCTAGAAAAAAAAAACGAATTCTCAACGCTCTTACCAAAGTGATGTACTGCTCCCAATAAGTTGTAGTAAACTACAAAGTTCTAGAAGTACTGCCGTAGATTTTTAGCTCAGTTCTCGAGAAATATTGTTTTTAGCGTAAGATACGCGAGTGAGGAGTGCTGAACTCAATAATTCTCGGAAACTAGAGCTTGCAGGGAGCCAAAAATTTACGGTTGTATTTCGGAACACTTGTAATACACAGTAACTTACGTGGGAACTGCACAGCATCTTTGGTATTAGGATGTCAAGAAAATAATGTCGTTTTTTCCGGGTTTTGATATTACTTGGGAAGTAGAGCATATTCGAGGCCAAAATTTTATGCTTACAGTCATGAAGCTTTGTAGTATACAAAGGCATATGTGGGAGGAGCCCAGTACTAATGGGGCGGAGTCTGCTATTTTCCATTTTTCATTTTCTTGGTTTCTAAGCATGGAAAAAATATAGCAAGTGTACCTATGGATAAGTGCATGTGTCTTTTACATGCAGGAGCAAGTGAGGAGTTTGCAGGATTTTCTAGGGCAAAAATCCAATTTTTGGCATCACGAGTTGCTCGTATACTTTGGCTCTGAATTTTGCATAAACAATAAGATCTGCCAGTGTACGGATGCCATTTCGTAAAGCTTCCTTTGCTCTATCGAATGGTACCCTTCACATATTTTTTTTGAGTTTTTCTTATGGATCTTATATATAAAGCTGATGTGTGTCTGTATGTATGTATGTCTGTACGTATGTGCGGAATAGAAATTCTTATTTCTGAACCGATTTGGACCAAACTTGGCACACATACACTTCAGGGCAGGGAGCGTGTCATAGTCTACTTTTCGTCATCGATCGATATCGATTTTATCGATTTTTATCGATTTTTTTGCTGAGTTCACCTACGGGGCTGGGAGTTTGCACAGGGGGGTAATCGAGCATGAGGATTCCGAATACAATATTAGTTTTCAGGATTATCGATTACTTTTATCGATTTTATCGATTTTTTGTAAAGTTTGAGCTACGGGGCTGGGAGTTGGCACAGGGGTAATCGAGCATGCTTATTACGAATACAATATTAGTTTTCAAAATCGTCTATTACTTTTACCGATTTTATCGATTTTTTTGCAAAGTTTGAGCTACAGGGCTGGGAGTTGGCACAGGGGGGGGGGGGGGTAAGCGGGCATGCTGATTTCGAAAACAACACAGGGAACGGGAAATGAAGTGTAGAAGTGGGCACAGGGAAAGGCTGTGCAGGGATAGGGATGGGATCTTTATTACAATGTTTTGACAGGCCCGAGCGGTGCCGGGTAAGCAAGCTAGTTTGCTATAAAAAAAACGACATTATTTTCTTGACAACCTAATAAAAATGACTAAAACGACTTCCTTGACTAAACACGCGAAAATTATCCTTGTGTTTTTGTCAAGGAAGTAATTCAACGGTATATATGAATGCCTGATGTAGAGCGTATACGCGTGAGCGAGTAAGAAACCCGTAGGATTCCATTAGACAATAATACGAATTTTTTTTTCGATTTCAGAGCATCCTAAATCTTTAGGATTTTGTTCCAAGCTTCAGATGGATCAAAACTGGACAACTATGACAACCCAGTAGTTGAAAAATATCACAGGTTTAAAATCAGCATTAAAAAGCACATTTTGCAATATTTCCAAACAGATAAACAGTTGTGCTAGTGAAGAGGAAATGAAGTCTTCAGTCAGTACTAAAAATTACAATTGCAAATCAAGACACTGATCCATTGGAGAGCTAAACTTACTGCACTCAATATTTTGAGGAGTATGTTCTTTGCAAGAAAAGCCTGAATTCTCAAAAAATTGAAACGAAAAACTTTATATTGAGGCATGCAGAACATTGACTTTTTTACTAGTACTACAGTTGCGAACTGTGATTTACTGCCGCCCGCTAACTGTGTCTTCCAATGCTGACTCCAATTTTGTCTTTTTTATCTTCCAAAAGTTTATCTATCCAAAGTCAGCTTTCACTATGATTTATTAGCATTGGACGAGTTGTCTTTAGGCAGTACAGCTTTGCTGCTTCAGCACTGTCTTGAAATGCTAGATAATGCTTCTATAGTTTTTCGGCGCATAAAATCAAGGGTATACAGCCTAAAGTACCGCCTAAATGCTCGTACTGATCGTCTTTTGGTTAGAGTCTTATGTAAATCGCGTATGAAGAGCTTGACATGGTCAGAAACATCAAAATAGCTTCATATGTTCATCAAGAATAAGCACATCATTACACGCGTTTCTTGTATGGTCGTCGTATGGTCGTTTCTTGTACGACAAAGGTGGGGGGATGGTGCATGCCGCCACCACCACCGACAGGTCCGCTGAACTGAGAGGCTCCACCAAATCCACTGCTTCCGCCTCCACCAGAGCCAAATTGAGAGGCTCCGCCAAATCCGCCGTTTCCGCCTCCACCAGAGCTGCTTATTTGAGTGGCTACACTAAATCCGCTGCCTCCACCTGCCCCAACTCCGCCAAAGCCAGAACCGGTTCTTGCGGGACATGGACAGTATGCTCCATCACCTCCCGGTGCACCATTTATTCCAGCTTGTCCCACACCTCCAGGAGCTCCTGGTGCTCCAGGTTGTCCTGCCGGTCCCGGTGCTCCTGCAGGTCCGGGTGCTCCACCGCCTGTGTGATCACCGTCCATACCTGGCATGCCGGGTGCTCCTGGTGGTCCAGGTGGACCCATAGGACCGGGCATGCTCATTGAACGAGTTCCTGAACATTTGCATCAGAACGCCTTCTTCGCGAATGCTAAAATGAGATTACCTGGCGCTCCAGGCGCTCCATCCATACCAGGGGCTCCAGGATTTCCATTTGCTCCGGGTGCGCCAGGAGCTCCAGCTGGTCCAGGGGCACCTAAGAAAGCAATGCTCAATATTGCCATCATGACGTTTTTGATATGTACCTCCTCCTCCTCCATTTCCGGCCATTCCCGGATTACCACTTGGTCCAGCTGGTCCCGGAGCACCATCTGGGCCAGGTGGACCCGGTGGGCCGGCTGGGCAGCTGATGCATCCCATGGCATGCCCCATAGCCGCTGCATGTCCACTTTGTCCTGCTCCTCCGGGCATTCCTGGCATGCCATCTTCTCCAGGGTGTCCAGGCAGTCCAGGTGGTCCTGAAAGGTGATTTAGTGCACGACATTGAGATTTCATTTCCTTTTCAACCTGGAGGTCCACGTGGGCATCCAGTAGCCTGAGCAGCACACTGACATCCATCGCCGCCGCCGCCGCCACCGCTTACTCCGCTCCATCCGCTACTGCCACCGCTGCTCCCGCCCCAAGTTCCTCCGCTGCCAGTGCTTCCTCCCCAGCTTCCTCCGCCAGCACCAACTGCACCTGCACCTTCTGAGTACGCAGCTCTTTTCTTTGATTGTGAGGCTTGTGAGGCTCGCTTCTGTCTTGGTGGTTGTGCAGCCATTATTGTCTTCCAAGCATCGTCGGCGAAGTTCTATGTGATGGGAGTAATCGTAACGTTATTTTTTAGTGTAATTATTTAACAACCTTAAACTGATCCAGATCTTTTTCGATTTCATTTTGGAAGTCGTTGATGTCATTGATGACGTTGAAGATGGCAACGTAGGTGATACAAATGACCACTGCAGTGGTGGCGAACGTACCTCCAACAGCGTATTGGAGAGTGACACCCATCTAGAACAATTTCGTCATGTTAATACTAAAGTGCTGAAATTTGAATGGAATTTAAATTTAAATTGGATTAGTTCAAAGGTGATGGCTGGGATGTGCTTTTCGCACCTTGCTTATATACTAACTTCTTTATTGTTCTATAGTATGGAACCACGAATCCGGTCTTTGTTGTGTTTGTGTCACACGATCTCAAGATAGCGTGTGAATTATGACCTCTTGCCGCTTTCGATAAAATCTTTGTTAACTATAGAAAACAGTTCTGCTAGATTCATATTCTTGTTCTTGTAAGCTCATTTGATTCAACTTTGAAACTTACAAAAATTAGGAACAATTCTCAAATAATTGCAACTAAAAGAATCATGATCTTTAAGCGTCGTTGTTGAATTTGCTTAGCACAACGATCTTGCATAAATCCTCAGGTGGCTACAATCACTTGATGTATAAAATCTCAAATGTTCATAGAAGTACTATTGATGATTAATTATCGATCGGACAGACCTGGAATAGGTAGAGACCGGGCAACCTGTACATAACACCTCGTGATTACTATTTTGGCTTCGGATGAAGGTATATATCTAACAATGTCAGCAATCCCAGTATTACTGCTGAAGACCCATAAAAGAGCAGAACGTTCTTTTTAACGGAGCATAGAACGCAACCGAATTCATTATTGCTGATGTGGTATCTGTACAGTACTGGGTGTTTCAGATGTTCTACCCATTTTTTTGGTTTGAATTCAGATTTACTGTGACTTTCAGAAATGGTCGATGCAAGCTTAATTAATTGAAATCATCAAATTCTAGCAACAATGAGAAAGATTTTTAAGAATTGCCAAGCATTTTTCTATGGGCATCCGTATTTGGAAAACCATAAGTCAACCTATGTAGTAAAATAGCACAAACTTCGCTCACTTTGTGGCCAACGGCAGACTGAGGCGTGATAGTAAGAAACGATTTCACAAAAGTCGATTGAATCTCTGCAAGAATTTTGCAGAAAACCGAAATGATTTGCTCCTTCTGAGCATCTGAGAAACTTCTTTCGTTTTCTGAACTGCTTTTCTCTTGCTGCGTAGAGCGATTGTGACATAGAAAGACTACAGCGACAGATCATGTAAAGGAATGAAATTATATTTTCGAGAGCAATAAAAAAATGAAATTATTAGGTTGCCCCAAAAGTTTTGTCCGTTTTTTCAACCTATCAGAAAAACGCGTGGAACGAAGATAGGTAAACGCTCTAAGCACTATCCGACGCATCTTTTCCTCCTCTTTCTAACTGTCATAATCTTGCGCAGAATCGAACCCATGGTTTTTACTATGTCCAAGTTTGACAATTTTTCACAATCTTCATTTTCAACTTTTGGAAGACCTTTGACAGCCCTCAGATAGAGTAAGCAAAGGGCACGATGTTAGAAAGAGGAGGAAAGGATGCGTCGGACTGTGCTTGAGGCGTTTCCCTACCTTCGTTCCACGCGTTTTTATGATAGGTTGAAAAAACGGATAAAACTTTCGGGACAACCTAGTATATTAGGTTGCAACGAAAGTTCTTGCGTAATTCAAACAAAATTCAATAACTTTTCAAAGACGAAACCTAAATTCACAATCTTGTATTCTAAAAATATTAGAAGCTTTACGCTTTATGATGGATGTTTAAGCATATGATTCCGTGAGCTGGACATCAAGAACGAAGCTCTCGAATATGGGGCTTCAAATTTTGCGATTTAAGGTTTGGTGCCAGAAAATCGCAGAGTGCCGCTAGCTAGCCGAAAAAAATCTGTAGAATTTATTACACAACAAAAGTCCATATTTTACTTTGAAAGGCTTTGATCTTGCACGGTGAACCAAAAACAAAAAATTCGTGATATATGTCATTTTGAGGGAAAGTATCCCCTCATGTCTGCAGTTTTCCGGCGAAAACACTTTTTTACAATCGAGAAAACGTCGCAAGGCTCTAAATAGGCACTATGTCTAATTTCTGGTTGCAAACTGTGTTTCTGTGGAAAAATTAGAGCGAGAAGGGAATTTGTCCTGTGAAATGAGAAATTTCACAAATTTTTTGTTTTCGCGTCATGCGAGATCAAAGCCTGCTAAAATGACGTATGGAGTTTTGCTGTGTAAGTAAATTCTACAGATTTTTGTCGGCTAGCTAGCGGCCCTCTGCGATTTTCTGCCATTAAACTCAAAATCGCAAAATTTGAAGCCCCATATTTAAGAGCTTCTTTCTCGATGGCTAGCGCATGGCATGTTGTGCTTGAGCTTCCATCATGGAGCGTGAGACTTCTAATATTTTTAGCATACAAGATTGTGAATTTGGGTTTAGTCTTTGAAAAGTTATTGAATTTTGTTTGAATTACGCAAGAACTTTCGTGCCAACCTAAAATTATTGTAAGTATGAAATTATATTTTCAAGAGCAATATTGAGCACAAACCTGCAGCAAACACTTCTCAAACAATTTTCCTCTTACTTGTGGATTTGACGACAACAGAGCAAAAGGAGGAATTCCACAAATGCTTGTTTATTTCTAGTTTAACTAAGGATCAAAAAAGCTCTATGAAAACGAGAGCATACTTGAAAAGAATTCGAGAAATGGAGCTTTTGAATGGTATAAGAAATGTTCAAATGTATTGTTATTTTTCGAAACTAGCAGTCAAAATAGAGGCAAAAAACGGACAGAAGGCTAAAATAGCTTTTTTCGGAAACGATCACCTGCAATTAGTACAAAATTGCGTTGGTGATATTCTGACATTCTCGATTCTTTAATTTCGACGAAAAACCTTGCAGTCAGTCAACCAAACGTAAAATGATGAATAGATGTAGTCTAAACACTTTAACAGGTTTATAGTCGGAATCTATGATTGTAATTCTAGCAGGTGTCATTTGTTAAATAGCGTTTACCAAAATTTATAGTCCACTCAAAGAGGTTTATTATCTACCATCAGAATTCTTCACAAGACGTTATTTCATGCGGTGAAGGATAAAAAACGATAGAACTTCCCAAAAGTGATATAGAGTCCAAGCGCATATACCAAACCGATAACAAATTCTTCGCTCAAATTACTAACTTGTACTCCGCGCAATTCGCTGATGTACTGATAGGATCAACTCTATGACTGTAGCAAAAACTGGATTCATGGAGCTATGCTCTGGCAAAAGACGAATGCGACGAAGAAAACCCGAAAGCTTATCTATTGAGCTTTGTATATAAGAAGAGATCCACCAAACTTTTTACCATCAACTTCCCCATAGGTAAGAACATCCACATCTGCGTTATACTCTCTAATCGTTTGATCTACAGAGGATGGGGGCCATCCTCCGATATGCGATTGGTGGTACCTTCATCAGTACTGCAGTAATGCTGGTTGTTATATATGTTGCCGTTATGGATATCGTCAGTGATATAAACGATTTTCGAGTTGGAATTGGAAAGGATCTCAATCAGTTCAAGGTTTGTCACGAATAAGATGTAATAATTTATCTTCAAATTTTCTTTCTCGCAGATTCATACTGACGAGGCTTGGAATACGATGATGAAATCTAAGCCGCAGAGATCGGATATGGTTTCCCACCTGCGTATCAAGAAAGGAGCAGAAATATATCTGAACGTGAGAAATCGCCGTCAGGGAGGACATGTTGGAGGAGGCGGTGGAGGTGACAGTTATTTTGTTCCTGTCGAAGAAGCTACTGGCGGGGTCAGATGTCATTGTGCAGCTCAATCCACTGGTTGCCCACCTGGACCTCCTGGTAAAATCAAAGCCAAAATCAAAACCTTCATGAAATAACTAATCGCAGGACCACCCGGACAGCCGGGATTGCCTGGAGAAGACGGTGAGCCGGGGCAATTTGGACGTGATGGCCAACATGGACAATCTCAAGGATCACAATTAAGCGGGTGCATTCCTTGTCCAGCAGGACCGCCAGGTCCACCTGGACCAGATGGAGACCCGGGACCTGTTGGGCCGAGCGGCAACCCAGGACAAGATGGACAAGGAGGCACTGGAGGTAAACAACAGCTCATGAAATTGATAAAATTCGTACTTATTGAAATTTCTCAGGTGAACCTGGTCCACCTGGGCCACCCGGCAATCGTGGAGCAGATGGAAACCCTGGAGCACCCGGAAGAGACGGTGAACCTGGCACACCAGGTATTGTCACTGTAAATAAATTAGATACGTTGTACCAGTCTTCTGGCAATCCTTGCAGGGACACGTTCATACTCACAACCAGGTCCTGTCGGACCACCCGGACCACCAGGACCACGAGGGCAACCGGGTGAAAGTGGCTTGAACTCAGGCAGTGGAGCACCCGGACCGGCTGGGACTCCAGGACCTCCTGGAAATCCTGGAAGGCCAGGACAGCCTGGAGGTGTTGGACAACGGGGGGTAGAGGGGTCACCAGGCTCGGATGCTGCCTATTGTCCTTGCCCACCAAGAACTGGTGCTGGAGGTGGATTCAACCAACCAGTTGGAGGAGGAGGAGGTGCCTTGAACGTATACACAGGACCGAAACCCGCCGGAGCAGGTGGAGGTGACCTGAACCACGCACCAGCTGGAGCAGGAGGAGGTACGCCCCTATATGTGGGACCAAAACCCGCCGGAGCAGGTGGAGGTGACCCGAACCACGCACCAGTTGGAGCAGGTGGAGGTACGCCACTATACGTGGGACCGAAACCAGCAGGAGCAGGTGGAGGTGATCCGAACCAAGCACCCGTTGGAGCAGGAGGAGGTACGCCCCTATATGTGGGACCGAAACCTGCCGGAGCAGGTGGAGGTGACCCAAACCACGCACCCGTTGGAGCAGGAGGAGGTACGCCCCTATACGTGGGACCGAAACCTGCCGGAGCAGGTGGAGGCGACCTGAATCATGCACCCGTTGGAGCAGGAGGAGGTACGCCCCTATATGTGGGACCAAAACCCGCCGGAGCAGGTGGAGGTGACCCGAACCACGCACCAGTTGGAGCAGGTGGAGGTACGCCACTATACGTGGGACCGAAACCAGCAGGAGCAGGTGGAGGTGATCCGAACCAAGCACCCGTTGGAGCAGGAGGAGGTACGCCCCTATATGTGGGACCGAAACCTGCCGGAGCAGGTGGAGGTGACCTGAATCATGCACCCGTTGGAGCAGGAGGAGGTACGCCCCTATACGTGGGACCGAAACCCGCCGGAGCAGGTGGAGGTAACCTGAACCACGCACCAGTTGGAGCAGGTGGAGGTACACCTCTTTATGTAGGACCGAAACCCGCCGGAGCAGGTGGAGGTAACCTGAACCACGCACCAGTTGGAGCAGGTGGAGGTACGCCCCTATACGTAGGACCGAAACCTGCCGGAGCAGGTGGAGGTGACCTGAATCATGCACCCGTTGGAGCAGGAGGAGGTACACCCCTATACGTGGGACCGAAACCCGCCGGAGCAGGTGGAGGTAACCTGAACCACGCACCAAATGGAGCAGGTGGAGGTACGCCCCTATACGTAGGACCGAAACCTGCCGGAGCAGGTGGAGGTGACTTGAATCACGCACCAGTTGGAGCAGGAGGAGGTACGCCCCTATATGTGGGACCGAAACCCGCAGGAGCAGGTGGGGGTGACTTGAACCACACACCCGTTGGAGCGGGTGGAGATTCTTTGAATCACACACCTATTGGAGGAGGTGGAGGTGCCTCAAACGGTGTGTACGACGGACCTAAACCAGTTGGGGCAGGTGGAGATGCCTTACATCACACACCTGTTGGAGGTGGAGGCATTTCTACCGGCAGTGATGTCGAAACAAGAAGAGCTGGTGTCGAAACACCTGGAGGAAACGAAGGCAATGAATGGTCTACCGCGCCAGTTGGTGGAGGTGGTGGTGATGGAGGACATCCTGACGATGGATGGCACACTGCACCCATTAATGGAGCTGGCGATGACATCAGAGCGCCCGGAAGAAATGCAGATCATGATTCGCGTACGACAAACGTGGATGGCGGTGGTAGGGATGACATAAAACCACCAGGAAGACGTCCCGACGGATGGACCCCACACGATGGTGGTGGAGGCGGTGAGACCAACGCACTAGAAGGAGGTGGAGGCAACGAGTGGCATAATCCTGCTGTTGGTTCTGGAGGAGGTCCACAAAGGAAACGCCGTGCGCGTGTGCACTAGTAGTAGTGTAGTGTTCATTAGTTCAATAAACGTTTTAGTGATGAATTTGTGTATCACAGATATCAAGTCGTAACTTATATGAAAGACGAATGATTTGCACAGCATTTATTTATAGAATAGTCCCTCAAGCACTTTGCTGCTGCCACTCGCTATAAAATTATGAAACTTTCAAAAAAGGCCGAATCATTCGCAAGACAATGAAATTAGTATTAAGCTACCTCAGACCACACAAGTCAATGTGAAGACGAATAGCGACAGATTAGGCAGCTGACTGACAGCTTACTTCATAAAGGGCTGCAAGCAGACGATGCATTCACGTCATCTTAATCATATCACATTCCCGTACTTGAATCCACCTCACTCGCTGATGTTGGTGAATTTTTGAAAATATGGGTTAAACAGTCGTTAGATTGCGCGAAAGTGAAAAAAATTACGACTTTGTAGTGCAAATAGTTTGTTGCTGGAATGTTAACAAGAAGATCACGGAAGTCCCATACCGAAGTCGTATATACTGTAAGGCCAAGGGGGGTATGCAGCAGTCGCGGACCCTTCAAGGGGGGGGGGAGGCACTTCCGGTTTCGTGAGCACTTTTTCTTCGAGACGTCGCGTTGCTCCCCTCAATTCCGCTGCGAAAATCTCACAGACTATCATAGTTAATGGCAAGGATTCGTGTGTATTAGAAAAAGTAAACGAGTTCTGCGCCACAAATCTGAAAAACAAAATCTCAACACGCCCCTACAACAGGATTGACAAAAAGGTATGAACGACGAGAGTACCATTTGGCCAAAAAATCAGAGATACTCATGTCAACTGCCATTGTATGCACCAGTGGCCCCTCCCCCCCGAGAATGGGTCGCGAAATTTTTGAAACTTACTTATATGGGTTAAAATGTGCAAACGACTTGTTCATTTTTGTAATTAATTAGAATAATTTTTTTTTTAAAATTCAAATTAGCCTTATAAAAAATTTTTTTTCGGGTGCTTTTTAGGGGTTGGGGACCCGCAAAAATTTTAAGAAGCACCCCAAAAAATTTTTCGGAGTGCGTGGCTAACGCCACGCACCTCCATTAGAAAAAAATTCTTGTCGCCTTCCCCCCCCGCCGGTCCGAAATCCTGGGACCGCCACCTGGTATGCACCAATGGCGTACCGAGGGGAGGGGCGGGGGGGGGGGGGGGGGCGCGCGCCCCCCCCCCGAGAATGGGTCGCGAAATTTTTGAAAGTTACTTACATGAGTTTAAAAAATGTGCAAAAGACTTATTTATACTTGTAAGTAATTTAAATAATTTTTAAAAATTTTTAAAAATTCAATTTAGCCTCATAAAAAAATTTTTTTCGGGGGGTCCTGAGCCCCCAAAAATTTCAGGAAGCATACCAAAAATTTTTTCGGAGTGCGTGGCTGACGCCACGCACCTTCATCGAAAAAAATTTTTTGTCGCGCCCCCCCCCCCCCCCGAGCCGAAATCCTGGGTACGCCACTGGTATGCACCTATACATTTAGATGCACATGTAATTAAGGTGATTGCAGTCATCTCTAATATGATGATGATATGCATTTTAGTGCAGTCTCGTAGCACGGGAACTCAATGGAGGAGGCAGATTAATGAGTTAATCTGTTGGGCTCTCACTTTATCAAAGTGTCTCGCGATATGGCTTGCGCAGGAGCACCTCTAAATTCATAGAAGAGGTGAAATCATTTTGCTTTACATGCTCTATCATAGATGTTCCTCCTGCTCTTCTTTGTCCATCCCAGGGTTATCGCTTAAAAGCAGCGTCCGGGCAGATTCTCGACCATTTTTTTGCCTTATCCAGGCTATTTCATGGCGCCTCGCGAGGGAGTGGGCGGGGTTCTTGAGGCTCCGGTGACGCCGATTTTCTACTTTGAGAAGGGGTGTTTGGAGGTCGGGTTTGCGCGGTAGTTCTAGATCGAAGCCCTGGTACTCTGTCAATAGCTAGAAATGTTCAAGCAGCACGGAGCTGCCTTTAATCTACGTCAAAAACATACTGGAAAGTAGCAATCATCAGCAGTAAGTACTTCCAATTGAGACGTCAAGGCAAATGTTTTGATTTGATGCAGCAAGGGGATGAGAAGCTTAGTCTTACTCTTGAGTTCGATTCAATTTGTGAACTTATTGGCGTATCCAAAGTACGCGAACGAACACTGTTTTGAGCCCATATGCACTAACATCCCTGCAGCGAGGAAAGCGGCGATCCCCGTTATGAAGGGGCCGCGTGCGGACGCAGCTGCGGGTTTTTCATCATTGGGGACGCTGCTCCCCTCGCCGCAGAGAGGTTGGTGCATACAGGCCTTAGGGCCGCATGCATTAACATCCCCGGCTGCGAGGGGATCGCAACTTTATAAGTTGCATATCCTGAAGCTCCAGATATCTGAATCTTACGCCTTCTATCCATCCGTAAGTACTCCCATCCTTCACTACAACATATCGAACAAGAGCAAGAAGCTGTACAAACCGCATTTTCCAGCTTTTTGTATCATCCCTTGATGATCTTCGGCAGCCGATAGTCTTTCCTTCAAAGCCATTTTTCTTTCTTCGAAGTCAACGAAAACCTTTCAAAGTTGTTTTGATTATCCAAACCAACAGTGCTAAGCATGTTGCTGATAAGAAGCAATGAAATTTTAGAATATCGAGTTTTTCGATAAATCCCAACTTTCTTCTTGTGGTTCATCGCAAATTCCATGACTCCAATACATCTCTTTGACAGCAACTGCTCAGCACTATTGAGTTAAATGACTAACTTTGGAACGCTCACAGTATTGATGGAAGAAAAATGACTTTGGAGGAGAGAATGTGGCCCACAGTCTGTGGGCCGCCAGGGATCATTAGGGGACCATACTAGAAGCTGGAAAATGCGGCTTGTACAGATTCTTGCTCTTGTTCGATATGTTTGTATTAAAGGATGGTGGGAACACTTACGGATAAGTAGACAGCGTGAGATCCAGATATCTGGAGCTTGAGTACACGAAGCTTTCTTTTAAGCTGCGATCCCCTCCCCGGTGTGGATGTGTGAATATTAATGCATGTGGCCCTCAGTGTCCCATGAGTATCATGAAAGAAAAAACCGCATCCAAGCGAAGAACTGTAGATGGAAGAACTGGGCTGCCAGGCATAGGTGGGATGGTAGACCCATTCGCACGATCGTAACGCTGTTGCACTTCCGTACAGGAACACGTCGCGCGCACACCTTGCGGCCGTTCTTACCTAAGCCAAAAAAACGAGGAGATTTGCCGCGTGCCCACATGTTTAAACAAGTCACGCAGGTGGCTAGCGGACACATTCGTGCGAAGCGGCCATCGGCTGCATAGGTATTCCTACCAATAAATTCCAGGAAAAAGGATGCGGAGTCTCTAATACCCTTTGAAGGCATTCCGGACAGATTCTAATTTATAATCGACAAGGCTTCTGAATGTGTGCAGGCTTTCTACAGTGACTTGCGGGGTGCGAGCCGATTACCTCAGTGCTTGTCAATTTGCCGTCGGAGGATAGAAGGTTGGTTCGCCAGTGAAGGGATCGAACTTCGGTCCAACTTGGTCATAGCTTATACTCCACACCACTCGTTCCCATATTACAACTTTTTGAGCAAATTTCCCACTGAAGCCTCTACCCTACATCCGCATTTGAGCGATGGCGTGGCTAGAGCGCCTACTGGTATAGCATAGAAACTCTGAACACCTGAACATCAGGACACTGCGTTTATGCTGCGATGAGGAAAGAAAATTGCTTACATGAAAGTAATCTTCCGTGAACTATCAAAATCTTTATTGAGCTACGGCAAATCACACACGAGCGCGCTTCTTAAGCAAAGCACTGCTGCTTTGTTTCTCAAACGGCTCGTTGACACCTCCAACACCACCACCACCTTGGAGTGTAGTAGTAACCGCAAATCCATTATTGCCTCCTCCAGAGCCGGTGAAACCACTGCCACCACCTGCTCCAACAGCACCGCCGAATCCGGTTCTTGGAGGGCAAGGACAATATGCTCCATCACGTCCAGGTGATCCATTGGATCCAGCCTGTCCTGCACCTCCAGCTGCTCCCGGTGCTCCAGGATGTCCGGCTGATCCTGGTGCTCCTGCAGGTCCGGGTGCTCCAGCGCCTCCATGTCCTCCGTCTTGCCCGGGCTGTCCTGGTGCTCCTGGTGGTCCAGGTGGGCCCATAGGACCGGGCATGCTACGTGAACGCGTTCCTTGAAATGGCATATTGTGCGACTGAAAGTGCTCATCTAGAACTGAAATTACCTGGCGCGCCGGGTGCTCCATCCATTCCCGGTGCTCCAGGATTTCCATTTGCTCCAGGAGCGCCAGGGGCTCCGGCTGGTCCAGGGGCGCCTGCAAATTGTTTTATTTTTAGAAAGGATTCCAACTTCCTGCGAAAGCTTCATTATACCTCCTCCTCCTCCATTTCCGGGCATTCCTGGATTGCCACTTGGTCCAGCTGGTCCTGGTGCTCCACTGGGTCCGGGTGGACCGGGTGGGCCAGCTGGGCAGCTAATGCATCCCATGGCGTGTCCCATAGCTGCAGCATGCCCACTTTGTCCTGCTCCTCCGGGCATTCCTGGCATGCCGTCTTCTCCGGGGTGTCCAGGCAGTCCAGGTGGTCCTGTAAGTCAGCATAATTTACAGCGGTATTTACGCTTCTCTTTCTAACCTGGAGGACCACGAGGGCATCCACTGGCCTGAGCAGCACACTGGCAGCCACCGCCGCCTCCGCCGCCACCGCTAACGCCGTTCCAACCACCGCTGCCACCGTTGCTTCCGCTCCATCCTCCTCCCCCTCCACTGCTTCCTCCCCAAGTACCTCCGCCTGCACCGACTGTCCCTTCTGTGTATGCTGCTTTCTTGATACGTAGAAAAGCAATGACATTTTCCCTTTGCGGTTTAGTATTCATCATCGTTTTCCACGCATCGTCGGCATAGTTCTATAAGATAAACTAGTTGTAAAACAAAAGATATCTTAAGAAGTCATTTACCCTGAATTGGCTGAGATCTTTTTCGATCTCATCTTGAAAGCTATTAATGTCGCTAATTACATTGTAGACAATCATGCAAGCGACGCCCATGATCAAAGCCGTGGTAACGAATGTACCACCAATAGCATACTGGAGAAGAGCACCCATCTGCAAATGCGATTTTGTCAATTAAAGGTTTTTGAAAAGTACTAGCTAAAGTAATGCAATGTGAAACTGTGGTACTGAAGTATATAGCGTTGTACTTATATACTCTACTAGAAACCGATATGACTGTAACGCTTTTGCTACCCCTGGAACCGTACATCCGGTTTGCAATGAATCGCGGTCGAACTGTAGCCGTGTGATCCGTGATGATAAGAATAATTAATACCATACGGTTGTAAGAATTTCACTTATACGTAATTCACATCTTTTACACAAACTGACTAAATGACCTTGAAAAATCTTTGATCTTGGAAATTTCGTATGAAGTCGGCTTTGACTCTAAACCAGGGTCAAGCGCGTTGATGCGATCCGGGACCCCCCTTCCCCCCCCCCCCCCACACCCTCCCCCATTTATCCCCCTTACCTCCCCTGCCCACATTCCTCGCGGTAAAGTGCATAAACGAATGTCAACCTCAAAAAACACCTGCGTGGGAACTTCAGTGAGGTTTCGGAAGCAGAATTTCTAGGCCAGTGGGTGCGTCCAGCATCTGTAGCACACATACACACCTTCAATAATGTTTGAGAATCTGCAAGTTTTTTTTTGAATTTTCAGGCATTCTTCAGACCAGCAAGTTCGATTCCCGTAGGCGACACAAATTTTTGCACGGACAAAAAAATGACATTCTTGAACTACAAAAGATGTTTTCGACTAAGAAACTTAATTCCTACCTCTTTCACAGTATTTTCCGCGAAAAAAAAAACCGCTTGAGCGCCGTCCAGAACGACGTCAAAAACGTGCATGAGCACGGTAGTTTGAAAATTCGTAACTAAGGCCAGGAAAAGACTGAGAGGTTGCAAAGCATAGATTCTGTAGTACAGTGCCCAGACTATCCACAGAAAAAGTTTCAGCTTTTAAGGAGCAGTAAGCAAATTCATGATATGGTCACAGCTGGTAAAGATATTCGCTTTTGTCGAGTGTGTGAGACTTCAGGAGGGCTTCAGAAGCAAGATTTCCAAGGCATTTGGTACATTTGGCATTTTTATCGAATCATATATCCTTCAAAAGTGTTTTGAGCTCTTGTAAATGTTTTTTTTTAAGAATTTCTCAGATTTTTTATTTTTTTTTTATTCTGATTTCCACTTTTTTATAGATTTATTGTGAAGAACATAACTAATTATCTGCTTTTTGATTCCCTTTTAGGCTTAGGATATTTTAGCCGAACTATCTTCTTTTACGACCCCCCCCCCCCCCCACCTTAGGTACCCTCTTTACGACCCCCCGTTGCGACAGTCGCATCACAAGCTTGACTCTGCTCTAAACCCTAAACGTAAAAACCCTAAAAAAATATGAAATGATTGAAAAGCCGCAATTTTTGTGTATTTTTGGCTAAAAACGATATCCCCTTTGCTTTTTGTCCCAAAAACGATATCCAGCTTGACCCAATGTCACATGTGCAGTGCCCTGCTCCCAATAGTTTGATGTTGAAACAGTGCCATTTTAATAGTTTCGAAAAGAAACTTTTTTGAAAATGAATGATAGTTCTTGTTTGTTCACTGAATACTGTCTCCATTTCTTGTTTTTTCTACCATTTATCTCTACTAAGGCTTACATGACTACTCAATGAGAACGTTCCTCGCATTTTTCTAACAAGGGAGGGTTGCAAAGTCGAAGTGACCGATCACCACAAATCGCATACCATTAGTGAGAACTTGCAGTGCTGTTTCCAAATCTGCCTTCCGTATCTGCAGAGTGCCTTCATGAAAGAAGTTATGAGCTTTTTGAAAAATTAACTAATCCCGGGATAAAACGAACATCTGAACATCTTTCTAGAAGTCAGATGGAGGAATAGGAAGTATCGATATACTACGCAGAAGAAGTTTACTGCATGAAGTATCAGAGGCCACAGCGAATAATTCCCCGCCATTAGTTCATTCAACTCAAAAACGCTCATAATTTTTCCAGAGGCGCTCTGCAGATAGGACGAATGGATTTAAACCCAGCGCTCCAGGCTCTCACCAATGGTGCAGATTGTGACAAACAGCCACTTCGACTTCGTGACCCCCCCCCCCCTCCCCTTGTAAGACCCTTTAATCATTGGTTTCTTACTTCCCGGCTCCAGGTGATAATGAGCGAAGTTACAACATAAATGAGTACACATCATAAAAGTTGATATACAAGACATTATGATTTTTATTTCTAGATTATTTAGGCCTTCCTAAACATACGCCGTTTTTTGATATGTCCATTTTTTAGCGGTTTTACCATCTTCCGACCGAGTTCCAGCATTTACGAAATCGACGAAGACATTGTAGGTGCACCAGATTAGAGAATAGCTGAGATTTCTACCATTATCGATACAAATTTAAGAGCACTCTACAGCACTCTCTTTGGCAGGTATACTGCGAAGCGCTCTGACTACTTCAGCTCCAATATTTGTCTTTTAGATTTTTGACATGGTTCTAACATTACTTCCCTACAGAGTCCAACCTTATGTGCGGTAGAGCAGTCCTGTCTAATTAGGTTCCAAAATCTTGGCAGACAATGACGTCCACATGTTCGGTAGCATTAACGTACAAAACCATGATCTTCATCATTATATCGTAGAAAGCTGAACACGTAGCGACACGACTGCGACATCTATAAACATAAACCGGGTTTGCTGTTCCACGGCTAATAGATGCGAAAAGCCAGAGGCTTATATGGTATATAGGGATAGTACTAATGTACCTTTCAACAACACGTCTTCTCATACCTGCCCACTCAGATCTTTCGCCGTTTTCTTCTTTGCACTAACTTTTTTGCAGAACTAAGCTTTGCAGATGGGTGCCCTTCTCCAATATGTCATTGGTGGGACGTTCATTGCCACTGCTTTGATCATAGGCGTCGCTTGCATGATTGTCTTCAACGTTATTAGCGACATAAACAGCTTCCGTGATGAAATCAAAAAAGATCTTGATCAATTTAGGGTACGCGCTTGTGATAACGATAACTTTTCCTTTGAGATGAGATCCTTTTACAGAATTATGCCGACGATGCTTGGAAGACCATGATTGATAGTAAACCACGAAGGCCGAACGCATTCATATATCTACGCGCTAAGAGGGCAGGACTTTACACAGAAGGAGCAGTCGGTGCGGGCGGAGGTACCTGGGGAGGAAGCAGTGGGGGAGGAGGAGGATGGAGCGGAAGCAGCGGTAGCAGCGATGGTTGGAGCGGTGTCAGCGGTGGCGGCGGAGGCGGCGGTAGCTGTCAGTGTGCTGCTCAGGCCAGTGGATGCCCTCGTGGTCCTCCAGGTTAGAAGGAGAAGCGTAAATACCGCTGTAAATTATGCTGACTTACAGGACCACCTGGACTGCCTGGACACCCCGGAGAAGACGGCATGCCAGGAATGCCTGGAGGAGCAGGACAAAGTGGACATGCTGCGGCTATGGGGCACGCCATGGGATGCATTAGCTGCCCAGCTGGCCCACCCGGTCCACCCGGACCCAGTGGAGCACCAGGACCAGCTGGACCACCTGGAAACCCAGGAATGCCCGGACAAGGAGGAGGAGGAGGTAAATGAAAATTCCGACGCAAGTTGAAATCCTTTCTTAAAAAAACATTTTGCAGGTGCACCTGGACCAGCCGGAGCCCCTGGCGCCCCTGGTGCAAATGGAAACCCTGGAGCACCCGGAATGGATGGAGCACCTGGCGCGCCAGGTAACTTTTCTTCTAGATAAGCACTTTGAGTCGCATATAATATCGTTTCAAGGGACACGTTCACGTAGCATGCCCGGTCCTATGGGACCACCTGGACCACCAGGAGCACCAGGACAGCCCGGGCAAGACGGAGGACATGGAGGCGCTGGAGCACCCGGACCTGCAGGAGCACCGGGACCAGCAGGACAACCTGGAGCACCAGGAGCAGCTGGAGGTGCAGGACAGGCTGGATCTAATGGATCACCAGGACGTGATGGAGCATATTGTCCTTGCCCTCCAAGAACCGCATTCGGCGGCGCTGTTGGAGCAGGTGGTGGCAGTGGTTTCACCGGCTCTGGAGGAGGCAATAATGGATTCGCGGTTACTACTACACTCCAAGGTGGTGGCGGTGCTGGAGGTGGCAACGAGCCGTTTGAAAAAGAAAGCAGCAGTGCCTTGCTCAAGAAGCGGGCTCGTGTGTGATTTTTGCCGTAGCTCAATAAAGATTTTGATAGTTCACGGAAGATTACTTATGCAAGCAATTTCACGTACCTTTCCTCACCGGACACTGCGTTGCTGCGTAGGGTAGAGGTTCCAGTGAGAGATTTGCTCAAAAATTTGTAATACAAGAACGAGTGGTGCGGTGGTACGAGTTATGACCAAGTTGGGCCGAAGTTCGATCCCCTCCCTGGCGAACCACCCCTCCACCGTCCAGGGACGGTAAATCGATGCCATAGTAATGTGGAGGATAAAAGCACTAATTTGGTAATCGGCTCGCACCCCGCAGTCACTATAGAAAGCCTGCACACATTCAGAAACCTTGTCGATTATGAAGTAGAATGTGTCCGGAATGCCTTTGAAGGGTATTAGAGACGTCGCATCTTTTTTCCTTGAATTTAGTGGTAGGAGTACCTATGCAGGCAGTGGCCCCTTCGCACGAATGTGTTCGTTAGCCACCCTGCGTGACTTGTTTAAACATGTGGCCACGTGGCAAATTTCCCTTTTTTGGCTTAGGAAATAACGGCCGCAAGGTACGCGCGCGACGCGATCCTGTACGGAAGTGCAACAGCATTACGGTCGTGCGAATGGACCTACATCCCACCTATGTCCTACTGTCCTTGTTCTCCATGAAGCAACAGCGCCATTTTGCTCAAAAAAAAACGCGCCCGTATGTGGGGACTGCTATAGCTCGATAAAAATCTTAGTAAGCACTATCAACTAGCTCCAAAATACCATGCATAAACGAAGAATTTACGTAAACGAATGAACGAGCTAATCTCACTACAATAGTCTATCAAGCAGCGAAGAGTTTAATCCAGTCGCGTCTGCCAATCATCATCGCATATAAATATGGAGTGCCTGTAAATCACCCAGGACCATCACAGCTAAACTGCTGCCTCTGACGCGTTGGTACAGCATCACCAAGCTTTGGATTTAGAAAAAGACGAAAAAATTTGAAAAGAAAACATGGTTCATGACACATTTTGTACTGTAGTTTCTTCCACTTACGCAGGGGGTCACAATCCAAAACTCCACTAGATTTACACTACTCATATAAATGACATCTCATCCTGGAAATGGAAAATACTACAACTTTGGTTGGGAAAATTAGTGTTGTGCTCATCGTTTCGCACATTCCGAATCTCGGTGAATACCGCAGATAGGAGGAACGACTTTTAGGAGTTTTGGCATTGTGATATCGTTGCTTGGAAAAATCCACCCTTCACCAAATTTGTTATAACTCTTTTTTAGCTTATGTTTCAATCACCTCGCATTCATCACAGCCGTAATTGAGGAATAAATGAGATTTTTCCCCAAATTCTCCTCAAAACAAGGAACAGCAGATATGCAGGACAGAAAATAGTGCCTAAAAATTGATAGCACATTTCAACATTGCCGAGTGCGAATTACGGACCACCACTGACGAATGTATGACTAATTTCTGAGCTAACTCCTGGGGTTGTTGAGATTGTAAGTCAAACCCGCATAATAAATGACTTTCGTTCACATAAATCTCTATAGAATTCTTAGCCATAATATGGCGTTCCCATGACTATTTGCATACCGAGTTGGCACCTTATCAATGGATGTTTGTAATAATGAAGATTGCTTACCTGACCACGGAAGAAGCCCAAGTCTCAGTGGCCATCTTAAAATGCACATCATTAGATGCGTCTTGATGAGCTGTTTCCAAATCTACCTTCCAAATCTACTGAGTGAATCTCCAGGAGGTTTTGAACGTTCGGATGCGCTAAATCATTGGGCTCCTACGGCACAATGTGCCTAGAAGCTCAGTCGGAAAGCGTCGGCTTAGTGTCGAATTAAAAAGAAACCTTTATCAAAAACATGAATAAATTTTTACAAACAGCTCCCTGAAAGTACGGCACTGAAAGTTTGCCAAATCTAGATTATCAAGCGCTCCTAACTTCTTTTGAGAAATCGTTTAGCAGATAGGATGATAGATTTGGAAAAACATCTCATTGAAACATTTCAAAAATATTTCATTCCAGATCGCCACTGCGACTTGGAATTCCCTAGTGTAAATGCCCGGAGACTTTCTTCATAAACTAACACATGCAATTTGCAGCATATAGCCCAGTTTTCAATTTACATCTTGACTTATGACGCCCTGACACTGTAGGCGTTAGTTTTGCTTGGAAAGCCTCGAAAGGGACCCCCTCAGACAAAACTTTTGAACAAAAGAAGTACCCATTTGCATTTCGCGCAAATGTCACCTAATCTATCGTGACCACGCAGGAAATTTCAGATCGTTTATGTGAAAGAACGCTCCTGGTAATGGATTAATCCTTCCTTTGGCTCTAAATAGACGAAAACTGATTTTGTTATCCATCACGTTTAGATGCAAATCTTGTAATGATTTATAAGAAAAGTTGCAAGAGGATTGCTGCAGTCCGAATTAGCTTTGTGTTTGCTAAGGTCACATCTCTCATAAAGATTGTAGTTAATCAGTAAGAGAGTTATAGCTATCAATCATTCGAATTAGCCGATAACAGCTAGATCATGCAATCTCCATTACATCGGGTTTGCGGTTTCACAGCCAAAAGCTACTAGCAACAACCACAACCGGATTAGTGAACCAACGCGTAAAGGTATAATCAACGGAGTATAAAAGAATAGCAACAACCTTCCCCTACACTACTGCCTTTTGCCCACGTCTGCCTTGTCAAAAAAAATTTGTGCTGAAAAAACTCTTCTTGCAGATGGGTGCTACTCTCCACTATGCCATCGGCGGAACATTCGTCACCACTGCTCTAATTATGGGGATGGCTTGTGTCATTGTCTTCAGCGTAGTCAGTGACATCAACGATTTTCAAACAGAAATCGAAGAGGATCTCGACCAATTCAGAGTTCGTTACTGATGCGCAGGTCCCATTTTCTAATGAACATACTTTTGCAGAATTTTGCTGACGACGCTTGGAAGATAATGATGGAAAGACAACACACAATTGATTCCATTCTGAGACTCAAACGAGCTTCTTACTCGGAAGGAACAGCTGGGTATGGAGGTGGCAGTGGAAACTGGGCAGGAAGTGGTGGTAGCAGTGGCGGATGTCAATGTGCTGCTCAAGCTAGCGGCTGCCCTCACGGTCCTCCAGGTAACTAAGATAGTTGACAAACTAAGAGCAGTGAACTTCACGTTTCATTCAGGCCCACCTGGATTGCCTGGACACCCTGGAGAAGATGGCGCACCAGGAAGACCCGGCGGAGCAGGACAAAGTGGACATGCTGCGCAAATGGGACATTTATCGGGATGTATCAGATGCCCAGCCGGACCACCAGGGCCACCTGGACCAAGTGGTGCACCAGGAGCAGCAGGCCCAAGCGGAAACCCAGGACGAGATGGACACGGCGGAGCAGGAGGTACACCTTCGTTGCAACATATGATGCAGAATGATTTTACCTGTCTAATTTGAAGGTGCCCCCGGACCTGCTGGAGCTCCTGGAGCACCCGGAGCTAATGGAAACCCGGGAAGACCTGGACAAGATGGAGCTCCCGGATCACCAGGTGAGATTGATCTAGCAGAGTCCACTATAATGAAAAGCCTTCGGTGATTTAGGAACCCGCTCACACTCAGCACCTGGCCCAGCTGGACCACCAGGACCACCAGGAGCACCAGGACAGCCCGGTCAAGACGGAGGACACGGAGGCGCTGGAGCACCCGGACCTGCAGGGGCACCAGGACCAGCCGGACATCCTGGAGCACCGGGAGCAGCTGGAGGTGCAGGACAGGCTGGATCCAATGGATCACCAGGACGTGATGGAGCATATTGTCCCTGCCCTCCAAGGACTGGTTCATTCGGCGGTGCCGTTGGAGCTGGCGGTAGTGGAGCCGGTTTTGGTGGAAGCAATAACGGATTCCAGGTCACCACCGTACTCCAAGGAAATGCCAATGCCAATGGGCCGTTCAAGAACCGCGTTCTTTAGTGATCTCATAAGCTCAATAAACATAGTACTAGTAAACAGTGATGGGACCTGAAAGAAAAGATGTTACTTGAGGTGAAAACTCGCTCGCAGTTTCTGATCATACCCAAACAATCATGACGAGCCGCCAACCACCTACAGCCTACGCAGTGCCCATGTCGAAGGTGCGCCTGAGATACGCGATAAGAGCCCTATAATATCCGCGGATATTACGGCGAGCACTTGACAAACGCGCGATATCCACCCGCAAGTGGCCGACCCAATGAACAACGGTTTTCATCATTCTCAGTCTCGCATAAAGGCCACAAGCTATACAAAAATTCCTTCCTAATTCTCATCGTATCTCTACCCCACCTCTGAAGATTCTCGACCACCCATTCGCTTCTAAGATCATATAACCACCAACAGTAATACTCATTTGAGAAATTGTCTAAAGTGGGAAAAGTTAGAGACAATTCTATTGTTCAGTCTAAAGAAGCGATAGCGACTGCCATAAACGCTACCGTAACGTATGCATGCCTACAAAATACGCGCAATTTTTCAATTCAAAATTTCGAAAACAGTCTAATATTTGCTAGAAGGAACATCGAGAATTTTCCACATTTTTCCTGACTTCAACTCGCACATAGAATACAATTTTAGCATACAGGTAGCGGCGGGTCTCACTCTGCTATTGCGAGACATTCCCCGCTGTTGCTTGCGGCTGCGGACAGATGAAAACATTATCCCCACTGTTGTTGAATGTGACTGTTGTTGCTGGGAAATGACCGAAAATTTTACAGACTGCAATTAGCAGCGCAATTGGAATTCTTGAAACACATTCATATTTCAAAACCGCTCAAAAGTACAGAATTGTCTATATACTGTCTATGCGAGGTTCATTGTTTCCTTCTAGAACTTTGAAACTTCTAAAGCCTAGAATAGGCCTATTATAGTAGCGCTTAACCGCCGTCGCATGGATTAAGTGGATTCGCAGGCAACGCCGCGCTACCATGACGTTAAATCAGAATTTTCTCCAAATACACTTGCGGAGGGATACTCTATATGACAATTTTCTAAGTAGTGTAAAGGATGATGAGACGTTGCAAAGTAGCGCACCGAAGTTGACTGAATGGTGTACATACCACATGGTGACACATGGAATGAATTACGAGGTTTATGCAAGCGAATTCAGATCCTAATTAAGGGCAACCATGCCACCACCTAAGAGGAATACGCATTCTCTTCAGGACTATCAATTTTTCATGAATTAGGTTATCGTGGATATGTCAAAGCAATCCTTCCGCTTTTTTAATGCTTGGGTCCTGGATCAGTTCAATCAGACTACTGGTACATTACACCCAACAAGACAGTAAAAAAATGCGACTTCAGGCTTTCATGGCAATTGCTTTATTTGCACAGATATTGGCAGATGGCTGGTGAAACGGCAGCTGTACAGCATATCTGATTCCTTTTGCATTGTTTTTCCTGTTCATGTCTTGAATAAGACATGGGAGAAGTGTTTTTGAGTAGAATTTGTATGTATTCTTTTTTATAAAGATGTTACAGCAAAAAATTTCACAGGTTTCATACCTTTCGTAATCAACCAGTCCAACTAATGGAGAGTCTTAGTTGTACATAGAGTCGTACTGCCTGCTATTTTTAAGGACGCTAGTACAGGAGAGATTTGGTCTACGCACTAACAATAAGATACATTTTATGTATACGCAACTGACCAATACTGGTCGCGAAATGACGGGAGAGATTTGATGGCTAAAGTGAACTAGTTTCCTCTGAGTGTTCTCTGCTTTGGTTTGTACACTCCTTACCAAGCTTTAAAAATTAGAAGATGCCGGTAAAAAAATGCATTTGCAGGTAAAAATGAAACAATAGAAACAAAATGTGAGCAAAACCATTGAATTGCAATATGTGAATCATAATAAAAATTTGCTAATTTTTTTGTCAATCTAGCGTAGTTCCAAATCCTCAAACCTATAATAACCTATAATTGTGTGTGAATCCAAATGCTAGGATCAAGATGTGTTGAAGCAAAGTTTTGATCTAGTACAACTATAACGCTTGTTGAACTAACATCACGAACTTATAAGTGGAACTACCAAAACACTCTTACAAGCCTTTCCTCGACAATATGACTCAACGAATCACATCACATTAGAGAAGTTCTGACAGTTTTGACCTCGCTGTTCTCAACGATGACAAGATTCGTGGAACCATGCCGGACGACAACAGCAACAGTGGCAAAACAACAACATCCAAGTGCCAAACATGGGCAACTGTGCGTTAAAAGTATTTAAGGACATCACCAGGAAGCTTTTCACCACCAGCACTTTCACACTTCTTTCGTGGTAAGTTCCTCAAGCTCAGATCAAATTCATTTTCTGATTTGACTTTTAAATTCAACTTACAGATGGGTCAACTTCTTCACTACGCCATAACCGGGACATTCATCGGTACCGCACTGATGATTATTGCCACTTATGTGGTAATCTTCGATGTCATGAACGAAATCAGCGAGTTCCAGGAAGAAATTGAAAAGGATCTCGATCAATTCAAGGCAAGTCGAGAAACTGATTGTTTTGCGGCATTTAACCCAATTTCTTACCAAAAGACAATGCATTTTTGTATACTCAACGTCATTTTCCAGGAGCTCGCCAATGATGCATGGAAAACGATGATGTCCGCGCACCCAGTTCGAGGCGACTCAGACCGCAATGAATCCAACGGACGTGTGCGAAGAGGTTCGTACTCTACGGGACCTCGAGGCTATGGAGGACAAGCAGGTGGATCATACGGTGGTGGACGCACTGGTGGAGCATCATATGGAGGTGGACGCATGGGAGGTGGAGCAGCATACGGAGGTGGACGTGCGGGAGGAGGTGGCGGTTGTCAGTGTGCTGCTCAAGCAGCCAAATGCCCTCGTGGACCACCGGGTACGCCTCAATGCATGTAGAGAGATCAATAATGAGATATTGAACCTACTTCAGGACCACCAGGTCTACCTGGACTCAAGGGAGAAGATGGAATGCCTGGACAGCCAGGAAAACCAGGAGGTATGGGGCAAATGGCAGACAGTGGTTCGGGTGGAGGATGCATCTCCTGCCCTGCTGGACCTCCAGGACCTCCCGGCCCTGATGGACCACCAGGTCCACCTGGACCAAGCGGAAATCCAGGAATGGATGGACAAGGCGGAGGCGGAGGTTGAAATGAATTTGAGGATGTGATGAAAGTTTATCCGAATTGCGTATGTTTCCAGGAATGCCTGGACCAATGGGACCGATGGGACCACCTGGATCAAACGGAAACCCAGGAGCGCCCGGTCCAGATGGACAACCAGGAAATCCAGGTATTTCAAATCTCCTTCTCATCACACAAAAATTTACTTAAAATCTTAGGAACACGATCCAAAGGAATCCCCGGACCAGCTGGACCAGCAGGACCACCCGGTCCACCAGGTATGCCAGGACAAGATGGGGGTCAAAGTGGTGGAATGGGAGCGCCTGGACCAGCAGGACCACCAGGACCGCCTGGAAATCCTGGAGCTCCTGGAGCTCCCGGATCACAAGGACAACCAGGAGCTGCCGGTGGACCAGGAAGTGATGGCGCATATTGCCCTTGTCCAGCAAGAGGAGCAGGCGGAGGTGGAAGGCCACTTGGTGGTGGTGGAGGACAGAGCGGAAGCGGAGGCATGTCATTTGGAGGATCTCAAGGAGGCGGTGGAGGCAGCGGAGGCAGCTCGTTTGGAGGATCTCAAGGAGGCGGTGGTGGAAGCTATTCAGCTGGACGTAGCGCTACTAGAAAATCTAAATCTAGATCTCACAAGAAACAACGCCGTCTTCACGCTGGTCGTGTTGCACATTTTGCTTAAATGATTCACTATGCTAATGAAATAAAGTTCAATAAAGACTTGCTTGTCATCAATGTTGTAGCAAACATTGCTATAAGAATGCAATGAAAGTGAAAGCTATATTCGAGAGCGAAAGCATGCACATATGCTCATGCTGCTTACTTTACCTCATAACGGAAGCAATATCACTCTACAATCGCTAAAAATTTATCTTTACCTTGCTAGTTTTTAGCAAGAAGGCAGGGAAGAGGCTTGAACAATCATAAATGCCCAAAATAGCATACCTTACGGCCGCAACAGGAAAATCTTGCGATCAGTAGACCTCATGTCCTTGCTGCAGTCGATGCTTCTTCAAAATTGCCAGTTCTACAAATGAAATAGGTCTGAACACTTTTGACTTGTTCCATCAATCTTAGAATGTTTTCACATACTTTCGTTATACAGGGTGACTCGATTGATGGCGTCCAGCTGGTCCAAACTGGTTCGGCGCTTGCTGGCGGCCCTGAATTACTCTTATAAGGAGAGACAAACTATAAGAATGCACCATCACTCATTCTCCAATACCAAACTCCTGGGTGACATTGGGTCCTCCCGACAGATAACCCTTCCATATCGTGTCTATCGTTCAGAGAAACATGTCCAGGTGCAGCTTCGCACAGCGCTTAGGCAATCAGTCTTTAAGATTTGTTTTCTAATGCATTTACTACTGAGTCTTAACCCAATTTTTTCCATCTAGAGTGACAAAAACCGCTCTCAATATCAATCGTTCCTTTGGCTCAACATCTGAAGTGCAAAAAGGGGTGTGTGTCAGGAGGCGCTTTTTTTTGCCAGATGGACACCAATTAGCGCATTTTTAGTTTTCACTGACGTTCTGAAAAGACCTTAACATTTCTAAATGGATATGATAGATCGTTGCCAGGGCTGCGATCTCAGAACTCACAATTAGATGCTCACGAGGAAGACATCCAAGTCGCACTGGCCTCTCCTAATAAGAAAGATATATCGACTGAATTCTGGAACGCTAAACGGCCCTTCATACAGAAAGGCGGTCCCAGTGAGGAAGTCATAGCTCTAGCGACTCTAACCTCAACGGCGGCATCATTCGGTCTTTGCCACGGTTTCGCGCACGTACCTTCTGCTGTGCAATGCCTCAGCAGCGAGAGGGCTGTTGATGCCTGGCTAACACAATACGTCCGCGAACGCGGCGCAGGTGCGAGCGCTAACGCGGCGCAGGTGCGAGCGATATACTTTGGACCGAATCGAATGATTATTCAATTATTTGAATAGATTATTTGAACGCGAATGAATCGAAAATTCGAGTATTCGAAAATCTGACAATGAGATGTTGAGTGATACTCGATATTCGAATATTCGAAAATCTCAACTTCCAAATATTCGAATATTTGATGGACATTGAATGAACACACTGAACATTCAAAAATTCGATAAGAACTGACTATTCGGATATTTGATAAGTATCGATTGTTCGAAAATTCGATATCCACAACATAAACGAGAAGTCCCAAGTGTTGATCACTATTACCTCTTACGCAGTCTTTTGCCAACCTTTGGGTAACATCCTATAGGGATGGCGTCTGTTTACACATACAGCAGAAAGCGAATCACACATGTCCTTCTTATTGTGTTATCACGGTAGGAAGTTCCAGCAAATAAAACAACTGCGAAATGAGACATCCAAAAAAAAACTCAAAAGAGATCTAAATTCTGCGTAGCAGAGAAAGAGTTCTTACTTATGCAAATTCTACTACAGATGAGTTATCAAAGTAAGCTAAGTTGAGGTCAGCCCAAACATCTACATACTGCTGGGACCCCTGTATATCAATCCACAACTCTCAGTGAGAGTATACAGCGTGTCCCAAAAGTAAGTACACACTTTTCAATCGTCAATATCTCCCTTCTCAATGGGTCTTTTTTTGCCAGTCAAGTACCACTTTGCAGAGGAGGCTTCAACTTAGATTCAAAGTACTGGATGAATCACCGATCTCTCTCTCTTACTGTAGGATTACGGTAGGAACTTCCAGCATGTGGAACCAGTGAAATATGCCATCTGACAAAATTTTTTTCAAAAAATCTGAAAAATCGTGTACTAGGGTTATTAAGCACGCTGATCTATACAAATTTACGAGTGTTTTCAGCTTTTTTAAAGGTGTAATCACATTTCTGACAAATATCGGGAATTCGGTTATTACGGTTTATCTGGGATAACCTTGGAAAGATGCATCACAGTAAAGTGGAAATTTCATATTCGAAATTAGCGGCTTCCATTACCATAGTGAAAAACTTTTTGGCTTGTTTGGTTTTGTTCCGAGGCAGAGTATGGCTTCTAATGGCTTAAAATTTTCTACAGTAATCGTACAATAGTAAAGGCGATCGGTGATACGCTCGATACTGTGAGTCTAAGTTGAAGCCTCCTCTACGGAACGGTACTTGAATGGCGGAAAAAGACGCAATGGGAAGAGAGGTAGTAACGATTGAAAAGTGTGTACTTACTTTTGGGACACCATGAACAAGCTTCTTCGAAGTTCAAAAAATTTCTTCATAACCGTCACAGGAGTATGTTTTTAGGTTTTAAGCCTCTTCACGTCACCTAAACCGCTTTTTCAACGTAAATTGTAACATAATGAAAGTGTCTATTTTTGATACTTACATGAAACTATTTATTCTTACAAGAAAAGCTCGTTGTGTCAGATGACGATTCAGAAGGTGATTTATATACCATTGGATAAAACGATGTTCTCAAATATACTGCCATTATCTGCGACGCGTTTTTCTAGATGGAGTTATGGGCTTTCTTGTGTATATAATAGAAGTATGATCTAGAAAGGAAATGATGACATGTGGATAGAAAACATGGTCGGAGAACACTCGAAAAGGTTTGGATGACTTCATATTAGACCTACTTATTAGGTGGTTTGTAAGCTTGCACATTGTGTAGAAATCATTACGATTTTGCGAACCAAAACGCACGAAAGAATGGCATTAGAGAAGCTCGTAACTTTTTTAGAACATTGGATGGCAGATGTAAAAGGTAGATAGATCTGAGATCAGCGTTAAACTCTATCCTTTGGTATACACCATCTTCAAATCGCCACTTCGAGAACCGAATAATATTTGAAATTCGAATAACGAATGATATTCGGTATTCGAATATTATTCGATTCGAAGTCTTCCATTTTCGATTAATGTTCGATAGTCCAATATTCGAGAATTTCGACTTTCGAATATTATTTGATAGTCGAATATTCGAGAATTTCGATATTCGAGTATTCGAGAAAATTTCGAATTTCCCTAAGTATACGAGCGAGGAGGCCGCGAGTTGGCCGAGCCACTACGGCTGCTCAGACAGCCGATGGGATACCTCAGGAAGGCAAAGTGGGGGATGGCCGGGGTCTCCTCGGCGGGGGTTCGCCACTCGTTCTCTGAGGCTTTCCTATTTTGTGCTCCGGATGTCCTTCGCGGCATATTGTAACTAGCTCAACTAAGCTCCAAACCCCAATTATGCCCCAACCCCACCCAAACTAGCTCTAGATGTAGAGGGCATGGCATGCAGTACGATATAGAAACTCGAATGACCATTTACCTTTGATTCAAGGGGACTGGCGGCTGAGAGGCGACCGCTCGCACCCGCGATGCAGTCTGCGTCTTTATCGCGAGCGTTCTCTCTAATCATTCTCTAGCCGCAATTAGGTCTCGAAGCCCCGCCCACCAGCCGCTAAACCCGTTGAATCAAAGGGTACTCCACAACCAGAGTCGAGCAAACGGTGTGGCATAAGACCACCGGATACGACCCCCTCCTACGCGTTGGAATTCAGCACGACCCTCCACCCCGTTCTCTATCCTCTCCCTCTTACCGCCAGCGTTTCTAGATAGCAATTAGAAGAAGAAAACAAGACGAGACATTTATTTTGAACTAGCATATAGGCTGTACCAACCAGCATCGGTCATGCGACGTCGCGCCTGCGGCGACTTGCGACGATGCGATCTGGCGCGCGCGAACTCTGCCACGCGTTATGGCACGCCGCATGCGACGCTGCGTCGTCGCAAGGCCTGCTGGCGCGGGACCGATGCCGGCTGATACAGCCTATATACATCTTATATATAAAGCTGAATGTCTGTTTGCATGTCTGTCTGTCTGTATGTATGCATGTATGTATGTGTGACGTATGTTCCGAATAGAAAATTCCATTTCTGAACCGATCCGGACCAAACTTGGCACACATACACTTCGGGCCCCGGCGGGTGTCATAGGCTACTTTTAGTCATCGATCGATATCGATGTTATCGATTTTTATCGATTTTTTTGCAGAGTTCACCTACGGGACTGGGAGTTGGCACAGGGGGGTAAATGAGCATGGGGATTTCGAATACAATATTAGTTTTCAGAATTATTAATTACTTTTATCGATTTTGTCGATTTTTTGTAGAGTTTGACCTGCGGGGCTGGGATTTGGCACAGGGGGGTAATCAAGCATGCTGATTACGAATACAATATTAGTTTTTGAAATTGCCCATTACTTTTACCAATTTTATCGATTTTTTTGCAAAGTTTTAGCTACGCGGCTGGGAGTTTGCACAGTGGGGTAACTGAGCATGCTGATTACGAATATAGTAGCTGTTTGTGAGAATATCCAATACTTTGTTTTTTTAGAGCCTTGGATTAGAAAGATGTAAGGACACTTGGTTATGCTTATTCAAACGAGCAATTCTTTATTTATCATCCTCAATCCTGAATCAAAATATTTCTCCTGTCATCTGGGACTAGATTAAGGGATAAGCGAGTGCGCTAATTACAAAACAGCCTCCCTAAAATAATTCGAGTGCTAATGCCATGATCAAGCGTATTGAAAGAGTACACTGATCATTTAGAATCACAACAATTTTGATTTTTTGGCGAAGTCTGGATTTGAAGATTTTCTGGCGTATTCTGAAAAATGTTTTATTTATGAAACACTCTTTTGGATCTCAGGTTCTAATAGACCTAGACAAAATGTTGAATTTTTGCATGCACACATTGTATATGTGGGTGGGTAAACATACACAAATATTTTAAGAACGAACCGTTCCTCGAGGGGTTTTTTAAATTTATTGGGAGGAAATCATGATGGCGTCTTCGAATGAGAAGGAGAAAAAAATAGGAGTAGCACCGCTGGATTGGCCATCAAAAGTTAGTATATACGTGTTTTTGACGCAAGGTCCTAGGATGTCTCTGAGACGAGATACAAGCATTTTTGATTTTTCTGTAAAATTTCCGGTTTCGCCGTGTTGATATATCCGTACGCTTTCAGCGAGTGAACCGCGGGTTCCGCCTCGACTGAGGTTACCAAATGGCTCACCTCGACGGAGGTGTTGAGCCACTGGTTCAATTTTTGCTCGGTTGTATACTTTGGACCGAATCGAATAAATATTCGAGTATTCGAATAAAGTATGCGAATGAATTTTATTCGAAATTCGATTATTCGAAAATTTCAAAATCTCGAATATATTCGATATTCGCTTATTCGAAATTTGTCAATTTCGAATTTATTCGATTATTCGGTTACTCGAAAATTTTGATTTTCGAAAATATTCGAACATTCGAATATTTATTTTCAGAAGTTATTCAATTATTCGGCAATTTCGTGTAATCGAATAACTGCATGACAGCGTCACAATTTTGACTGCTATATCAGCAAACATCGTTTGTTGTCCAAGTTGCCCACTGCATGAAGTCCTCTACTGTGCTAATTCGTTTGAAGTTTGCTTAAATATTCGACATAATCGATGCAAAATATTCGTTTATTCGGATTTTTTTCTCAAATGTATTCGACTATTCGGTTTTTTTCATTTCGAATACATTCGATATTAGATTATTCGACAATTTTCTTACTTCGAAAAAATTCGATATTCGATTATTCGACATTTTTGTTCTTCGAAAATATTCGATACTCGAATATTCGACATTTTTTGTTTTTGAAAATATTCGAAGTTCGATTATTCGATATTTTTGATTTTAGAATATATTCGGTTATTCGATTATTCGAAAAAATTCTCGAATATTCCAAAGTATACTCGGTTGTCCGATAGAGGCAGCCGATGGTTGTTCTCACAACCGATGGTTGTCCTCCGAGTGGAGGCGACCGAGTGATTGTTCCTCCGAGTGGAGACAACCGAATGGTTGTTCCTCCGAGTGGAGGCAACCGAATGGTTGTTCCTCCGAGTGGAGACAACTGCATGGTTGTTCACAACCGATGGTTGTCCTCCGAGTGGAGACAACCGAATGGTTGTTCCTCCGAGTGGAGGCAACCGAATGGTTGTTCCTCCGAGTGGAGACAACTGCATGGTTGTTCACAACCGATGGTTGTCCTCCGAGTGGAGGCGACCGAATGGTTGTTCCTCCGAGTGGAGACAACCGAATGGTTGTTACTCGGAGTGGAGACAACCGAATGGTTGTTACTCCGAGTAGAGACAGCCGAATGGTTGTTACTCCGAGTGGAGACAACCGAATGGTTGTTACTCCGAGTGAGGACAACCGAATGGTTGTTACTCCGAGTGGAGACAGCCGAATGGTTGTTACTCCTTGTTACTCTGAGTGGAGACAACCGAATGGTTGTTACTCCGAGTGGAGACAACCGAATGGTTGTTACTCCGAGTGGAGTCTCCCTCCGAGTGTGGCATCTGATGGTTGTCCTCCGAGTGAGGCATCCGATGGTTGTCCTCCAAGTGAGGCATCTGGTAGATGTCCTCCGAGTGAGGCATCCGATGGTTCTCCTCCGAGTGAGGCAACCGTCCGGCACGAGGCAACCACCGGAAATGACCGTGCAGCGACGCCTCGCCTTATATACCCCTCCAAGGGGGCGGGGCAAGGGCGGTCCAAAGTGGGCGGTCCAATTGGTGTGGCTAAGCATAGGCTTTCCATACAAAAACTATCCGCCCCTTCCGAGTTGGTGTGTGGTGGTTGTAGGCTTTATTGTAGCCTTAGGCGGATGAGTGGCGCCTGTTGTGGAGTATGGTAGCTCCTGGTGTGTTAATAGAACACTAAGCTATTAGAGCTTTATTGAACAGACGACATGCACCCATTTGTGCAGTGGTAGAAAGCTGAGGATAACAGGCGGAGCAAAGCAATTGGCATGCATAACTTTTTTTCCTTTACATTTTGCTGGGCAATAAACACACTCATATCACAGCAGGTCATGCTTATGGCATGACCTTTACGGTGCTCAGGCAGGAGTAATGATATGATTGTAAGGAAGGTGCCGACAAGTCGGCACATGGTGTGACTAATCACAGCCGGCCCGCCCCTTTTCGAGGGGTATATAAGGCGGTCGATCTCGCCATTGTCGGTCACTCACCTCTGCTAGGCGGCGGCCACTGAACCACCGAGAGCTCTGAGTACCAAGCGAGGACCGAAGATCTAAGGACCTGAGGTCTGATAAAGAACCTAGGATCTGAGGACCAAGCGATAAAGCCAATAGGCTTCACCTCGAGTACCGAAAAGCCAACAGGCTATACCTCGAGTAGAAAAGCCCGAAGGCTCTACTTCGAGTACCGGGAAGCCAAGAGGCTTTACTTCGAGTACCGAGAAGCCAACAGGCTCTACCTCGAGTAGAAAAGCCCGAAGGCTCTACTTCGAGTACCTGGAAGCCAAGAGGCTTTACTTCGAGTACCGAGAAGCCAACAGGCTCTACCTCGAATACCGAGAGACCTAAAGGCTCCATCTCGAGTACCGAAAAGCCAACAGGCTCTACCTCGAGTAGAAAAGCCCGAAGGCTCTACTTCGAGCACCGAAAAGCCAAAAAGCTTTACTTCGAGTACCGAGAAGCCTGAAGGCTCTACATATCTCGGGCACCGAGCAGCTTATAGCCAAAAGGGCTTTTTTATAAACAGGATGCCGCCGAAGAAGCGTGCATCCATCGGAAGAGTTGATCCCAAGGCCAAGAATGCTAGGGATCAACGAGAGGCTGAGACCTCGGAGCAGCGCCAGGAACGGCTAGAAGGCAATCGTGCAAGAATAGCCGAGGCGAGAGCAACGCAAACGCCTGAACAGCGTGAAGCAAGTCTCTCGCAAACTCGCCTGCGGCTTGCTGCTCTGAGAGCCTCAGAATCACAAGAAAGCCGTGATTCTCGACTCGCGGATAAACGGTTGAGACGCTGAAGCCAGAACCCAGAAGACGGCTGAAAAGCGCGAATCTCGACTCGAAGGAATGCGGTCGAGAAACCCCGAAGCCAGATCCCAAGAGACGGCTGAAGAGCGCGAATCTCGACTAGAAGGCATGCGGTCGAGAAACGCCGAAGCCAGATCTCAGGAGACGGCTGAAGAGCGCCATTCTCGACTCGATGACGACCGAGCGAGACACGCCAAAGCCAGGTCTCAGGAGACGGCTGAAGAGCGCCATTCTCGACTCGATGACGACCGAGCGAGACGCCGAAGCCAGGTCTCATGAAGAGCGCATATCTCGACTCGGTGACGATCAAGCGAGACACGCCGAAGCCAGATCTGAGGAGACGGCTGAACAGCGCGAGTCTCGACTCGACAGCAGTCGAATGAGGACTGAAGCCTCACGAAGAGCGGAAACTGGTGTAGCACATCCAGTACGGCTCGAACGTAATCGTGCTTGGCATGTCCACACTCGACAGACATCCAGGCGAGTAGATCTTCACCTCGCGGCACTCAACTACGATGCCCAGGTAGACTACTTGACCCATCCGAAGGTACTAATCGGAAGGATGGATGTCGTATGTGGCAAGTGTTAAGCCAAGAAGTTCAGACCAAACCTCCTGGCATGTGCTGCTCCAGCGGCAAGGTCGATCTTCCGCCTCTACGTGAGCCGCCTGAGCCGCTTCGTTCATACATGTCCGGCACCAGTGCTGTGTCCAGGCATTTCTTGCAGAACATCGAGAAGTACACTGCGTGCTTCCAGATGACGTCGTTTGGCACTGCAGTTGCCACGCCAGACGTTGAGGAACAGGGCTTCATGCCAACGTTTAAGGTGGAGGGACAGGTCTATCATAGAGTTGGATCCCTGCTTCCTAATGGCAATGATAGCCCCAAGTTCTTGCAGCTGTACTTCGTCTGCGACGAGCAGCTGCAAGCGGATCAACGTTGCGGCATCATCGGTGGCACAAGGCCGGAGTCGTGCTAGAGCTGCAAAGAATGCTGCATCAGCACAACGAGCTGGTGAAGGACTTCAAGACCAACCTGGACAGAATGCCTACAGACGAGTATAAGGCCGTTATCCGTGCTGACAGGAGGCCTGCTGGTCAGCATGAACGACGCTTCAACGCTCCGTCTGTAAGCGAGATGGCGGTGGTCTTGGGTGGCGAAGACGACAGCGACGGGCGTGAATTTATTATCGAAAAACGTTCCGAAACGTGGCAGCGCATCTCTGAAACCCATAGGTCGTACGATGCCCTGCAATACCCACTCATGTTCTGGGATGGGGTAGACGGGTATCACTTCGAACTATGGCAAAGGAATCCTAGCACTGGTGCCCCTACCAATAAAAGGGTATCGGCTATGGATTCCTATGCGCATCGCATGATGATAAGGTCCACGTCCTTCAACCACGTCGGGAAATGTCGCCAACTATTTCACCAGTTCATCGTGGACATGTACGCCAAGATTGAGAGTGAACGGCTCCTCTTCAATCGACGCAATCAGTGAAAGCTGCGTGCAGACGACTACATCCACCTGCGGGATGCCGTGGCCGGAGATGGAAATGTCACTGACCTCGGGCAAATGGTCATACTACCATCCTCCTAAACGGGCGGCCCACGCCATATGCACGAGTACACTCAGGATGCAATGGCCTACGTTAGAGCGTACGGGCGTCCTGATCTGTTCATCACATTTACGTGCAACCTGACGTGGACCGAAATTACGGAAGAGCTCTTCCCTAGTGAAGCGCCTTCTGACCGCCACAACATCACGGCGAGAGTCTTCAAACAAAAGCTCACGAAGCTTATAGACGTGCTAACGAAGAGCCACGTCTACGGAGACATTCGCAGCTGGATGTACACCATGGATTGGCAGAAACGCGGTCTTCCGCATGCCCACATCTTAATATGGCTGAAGGAGAAAATACGCCCAAATCAGATCGACAGCATCATCTCGGCGGAGCTTCCCAGTCGAGAAGAGAACCCTCTTCTATTTGATGTTGTCCTCAAAAACATGATCCATGGGCCATGCGGACCACTAAATCCGAGGTCGCCTTGCATGAAGGACCGCAAATGCACCAAAAGGTACCCTCGGCAGCTGATCCGCGAAACCCAACGGGAACTGATGGCTATCCTCTATACAGGAGGCGAAAGCCTGATGATGGAGGAACACAGCCGTCATTCAAATGAAGGTGGACCATCAGACCGTAGACGTCGTGGTGGACAGCTGGGTTGTGCCATACACTCCCTCGCTCTCGAAAATGTTTCGAGCACATATTAATGTGGAGTACTGTAATTCGGTGAAGTCGACTAAGTACATCTGCAAATATGTGAACAAGGGAAGTGACATGGCAACGTTCGGCCTCGAGCATGCCACTGCACCGTTTGATGAGATCGAACGTCATCAAACGGGCAGGTACATAAGCAGCAACGAGGCAGGGCGTATCCTACACGAACATTACCCACCTGTCACCCATCTACATGTCTACCTAGAGAATGGACAACGCGTCTACTTCACGGCTGATAATGCGCGGGAAAGAGCTGCGCAACCACCTCAAACAACTTTGACGGCATTCTTCCTTCTGTGCCAACATGATCCGTTCGCACGGACTTTGTTGTACTCAGAAGTTCCAAGATATTATACTTGAAACTGTCAACAAAGAAGTGGGCCAGAAGGAAGCAAGGAGCCGAAGTTCTCGGATATGACGTTAGAGCAGCGTAGGTGTTAGCGCGTGTATATACTGTACACCCTAACCAAGCCGAATGCGTCTACCTCAGATTGTTGCTTCACACAATCCGATGACCGACGTCATTCGCAGCATTGAGGACCATCGATGGAGAGGAATGTGAGACCTACAGAGAAGCATGCCAAAGATTTGGCTTGCCTGAAGATGATCAGCCATGGGACAGAACTCTCGCAGAAGCAGCTACGACAAGTTTCGCTGCTCAACTGCGAAGTCTCTTCGACATCGACAGTCTGTCAACCGTCAAATCCTCGAGCACTCTGGGAGAAGTACAAAGAGGCTCTGAGTGAAAACGTATTCAGAGAATGTCGCAGAGAGGCACCCTCTGCAGACGTCGGTTACTCTCCCCAGATATTCAACCAAGCGTTGATACTGCTTGAGGATACGTGCGTGTCGATGACCGGTCAAACTTTCAGAGACCTCGGTTTGCCGTCGCCAATACGCGGAGATGAGCAGGCACTCGAGAGCGATGTTCTCCGAGAGAGGTCTTATGATGCCGATCAGCTGACCACATTTGTAGAGTCTAACAGACCTCTTCTTACGGAGGATCAAGAGTTGGTTTACCGTGCTGTTCTGGACACGATTTCCAGTGGCAAAGGTGGGCTACTCTTTCTCGACGCTCCGGGTGGAACAGGGAAAACGTTTCTTATCAATCTCCTATTTGCCGAGATTCGCAGACAAGAAGGATTCGCATTAGCAGTGCCATCCTCGGGGATTGCCTCAACACTGCTAGAAGGAGGCCGAACCGCTCATTCAGCCTTCAAGCTTCCTCTGGATATTGCTCATGTAGAGCACCCAGTGTGTGGGATAAGCAAAGGCACAGGGAAAGCCAAGGTGCTACAAGAAACCAAACTCATAGTTTGGGACGAATGCACCATGACGCATAAGAAGTGCCTAGAAGCCCTTGAAAACACACTAGGGGACATACGAGAAAGCAACAGGCTAATGGGTGGGGCCGTCGTGCTACTGGCAGGCGACTTTCGTCAAACTCTGCCAGTGATTCCGCGATCGACTCCAGCAGATGAGATGGACGCTTGCCTCAAAGCTTCTCCTTTCTGGAGACATGTTCGATCGCTGAATCTCACGATGAATATGCGAGTCCACCTCCTTGGCGATGAGACTGCCCGAAGCTTTGCGCAACAGCTGTTGCTTCTTGGCGAAGGCAGAATTCCGGTTGAACCAAGTTCTGGCTGGATTACCTTTCCTCCAGACTTCTGCAATATGGTTCAATCGGTGGGAGAACTGATCGAAAAGGTCTTCCCAAACATTGCCACCAACTTCAGCAATGGGGACTGGATTTGCGAGCGAGCAATTCTGGCACCCAATGAGCAAGTGAATTCTATCAATGCTCAGATTCTAAACAGCCTATCTGGACCAGTAACAATGTACAGATCCTTTGATACAATGGTCCAGAGTGAACAGGCTGTTTACTTCCCCACTGAGTTCTTGAATTCACTCGAGCCCAATGGGATACCACCTCACAGACTTGATCTGAAGGTTGGTTCGCCAATCATGCTCCTTCGTAACATCAACCCACCGAAAATGCGCAATGGTACAAGGATTTGCATCAGGGATCTCACGCCAAACGTCATAGTAGCGACCATATTGGCGGGGAAGTTCAAAGGTGAAGTGGTTCATATTCCACGAATCCCTTTGGTCTCTTCCGATATGCCCTTTGACTTCAGGCGAGTGCAATTTCCGGTCAGGCTTGCACTCGCTATGACGATCAACAAAGTGCAAGGACAGTCTCTGCGAACAGTAGGAGTAGACCTGGAAACTCCCTGTTTTTCACATGGTCAGCTGTACGTGGTTTGTTCGAGAGTCGGGAGTTCGGCGAACCTGTACATATATGCGCCCGAAGGAAGCACAGCTAACGTAGTGTATCCCAGGGCGCTAACATAATTGCATGCTGTAGTATAGTACAGTATTTATTTGTTACATGCCATTATATTGGAATCCAAAAAAATTGGAAAATACAAAATCCAAAAAAAAATGGCAAAACGAAAACCCAAAAAAAACGGAGGCCAGCGGCGGTCAGAGCAGGTGAGTGGGACAAACGAGAAGCTGAACAGATCCAATCGAGCTTCCTTCCTTACTGATGAGTTCCGGGGAAAGCCTAGGACCTGTTTAGCCAAAAGGCCTAAGGGTAGGAACGAAACGGTACACCCTCTTCTTGAGGAACGAAACGGAAGGACGACTATCGGCATCGGCTGCCTCTGTTGAGGAGAAGCATCGGTCGCCTCTGTTGAGGAGAACCATCGGTCGCCTCTGTTGAGGACAACCATCGGTCGTCTCTATGAGGACAGCCATCGGTTGCCTCTGTTTGAGAACAGCCATCGGTTGCCTCTGTTGAGAACAGCCATTGGTACCTCTGTTGAAAACAGCCATCGGTTGTCTCCATCAACGACAACCATCGGTTGCCTCACTTAAAGGACAACCATCGGTTGCCTCTGTTGAGAACAGCCATCGGTTGTTCTATCAACGACAACCATCGGTTGCCTCACTTAAAGGACAACCATCGGTTGCCTCTGTTGAAAACAGCCATCGGTTGTCTCTATCGAGGACAACCATCACTGTCTCTATCGAGAACAACCATCGGTCGCCTCTGTTGAGAACAGCCATCGGTTGTCTCTATCGAGGACAGCCATCGGTTGCCTCTGTTGAAAGCAGCCATCGGTTGTCTCTAACGAGGACAACTATCGGTTGCCTCACTTGGAGGACAACCATCGGTTGCCTCTGTTGAAAACAGCCATCGGTTGTCTCTATCGAGGACAACCATCACTGTCTCTATCGAGAACAACCATCGGTCGCCTCTGTTGAGAACAGCCATCGGTTGTCTCTATCGAGGACAGCCATCGGTTGCCTCTGTTGAAAGCAGCCATCGGTTGCCTCTGTTGAGAACAGCCATGGTTGTCTCTATCGAGGGCAGCCATCGGTTGTCTCTATCGAGGACAACCATCGGTCGTCTCTGTTGAGGACAACCATCGGTTGTTAAAAATTGAACCACTGGCTCAACGCCTCAGTCGAGGTACGATCCGGTCCCTCAGTCGAGGTTGAACCAACGGTTCAATCGACGAAACCGTACGGATATATCAACACTCGGTGAAACCGGAATTTTTAAAGATAAATCTTCGGAAAAAACTTTTTATTTGCTTCTTTTATACAGCCAAGAAACAAAAAACACAAAAACAAACAAAAAACTAGAAAACTTTTACAAAAAACTTCAAGTGATTCAGTCTACACCAAATATTTCATGGAGATCATCTTTTTCTTTCGCCTCCGGTTTCCGCTTTATTACTCCGTTTTTGAAGAATTCTTTCATTACTTTCATGAACTGCTCCAATGATTGTTCGCCGTCGCCGCTGCTAGGGCCAGCAGCTGACTCTGACTGGCTGGCCGGCTGGACTTTAGGTGTGGTCGGTGGTGGTGGGGGCGGCGCGTATCTATAGCAATGAAAGTAAAAGGCAATTAGCTGATATTAACAAGGGAATGGTCAGAAGTCGAAGTGGCCAAACCAAACAAGCTGTATACCATTCGATGCAGTATAAAACGTTGACTTCGAATCTGTCTTTCTTATCTGCTTCCCGCTTCTGTGGACGAAGCTACAAGCCATTAAAGACCATTATTTTGCTAAGAAATTACGCGTGAAATTGAAAATTTAGCCGTGCAGAGCCACGTTCGCCTCACCGCTGGGCCAAAGCATGCAGCTAGCCTACTTCAAATTTTTAAAGAAAGAAGCTGAGCTAAAAATGCAACGGTGTGCTCAAATTCGCTGTTTTTATGTGTGATTTTTTCACAATAAAACCGCTTGTAGTTTCGTCCACAGAAGCGGGAAGCAGATAAGAAAGGCAGATTCGAAGTCAGCGTTTTATACTGCATCGAATGGTATACAGCTTATTTGGTTTGGCCACTTCGACTTCTGATCATTCCCTTGTAAGAAACAACCATACAAAATTCAAAACTTACTTTCTTTTAGGTGCGAACGTTTCATCATTGGATAAGATAGGCTTGAATGGCGGCCTTCCGTAAATGATATTTTTATTTGAGAGAAAAAGTTTGACTAACTCTCTTCCTTCGGTTGGCGGGCTGTTGTGGAAGTTGTGGTTGTTGTGGGGGCTGCGGGAAGTGGCTGACTGGGTTTGCTCGATTGTATAAGATTTAGTAAACGCTGCTCCTCCACTATGAAGAAGTCGCCTCGAGGAACAAGTAAAGGAATGAGAACCGCCATTTTAAGTCGAATTTTGTTCGTCTCAGACTTCTGAAAAGACTGCCTTGATGGTTGCATTTAGCCGAGGACGCCACCAATTTTTGCCGGCTGGGGCACGTGCTCCAGACGCTGCCGTCAGGAAGAGCAGCCACGCGGCCACTATTCCGCAGCCAACAAAGGCTGTGGGGTAGTGGCCGCTCCACCGGTCTGGAAGAGCAACAGTGGCCGGACCGTCAGTGCCTGCTCTTCCTGACGGCAGCGTCTGGAGCACGTGCCCCAGCTGGCGAAAATTGGTGGCGTCCTCGACCCTCCGAGGCCATCCCGAGCCTCCTCCGTCGAGTGCACCGGTACGAAATGCACCGAAACCGAGTGCATCCCATCGGAGGTCTTTAAAGCGCGCGGCATATACTTCATAGGCGTTAGGCTTGAGCTCTATCTCTGTTTGTCTGACCACACAAACAGAGATAGAGCTCAAGTTTTGCAGAATTCACCTACGGGGCTGGGAGTTAGCACAGGGGGGTAAATGAGCATGCTGATTACGATTACAATATTAGTTCTTAGAATTATCAATTACTTATATCGAATTTTACTGGTTTTCTACAAAGTTTGAGCTATGGGGCTCGGATTTGGCATGGAGGCTAGGGTAGACATGCCGATTAGGAAAACAAAAAGGGGCAAAACCTTACATTTTTTGGTCAGAATCGCCCCTCACTGAACGACAAGTCGAGTCAAGAGATTGAGAAGATGATGCCAGCGTCTCGCACTGGGCATAAGACTCCAGTGCATTCATGACAAGCTGCAAAATATCATCTGCTTATCCACAACTATTTACATTCAAAAAAAAATTAGCTGGTGGCATCGCTACGGCTTCATTTTACGCAAATTCGTCCACTATTCCTCCATCTAGAATATAGGAAGTCGAACCTCTGAAATACAGTTTGGGTCATCTACGTACTCCTTTCCGCGGGGATACGCACGCAAAATGCGAGGGTAAGTGAACATGCTCATTAGGCACGCACCATACTTGATCCGCTTAATCCACTTGATCCGCTTGATCCGCTTCATCATTGGTTAATTCAGTGAACTGACCAATAGTGAGCGAAGTGGATGAAGCGGATCAAGTGGACAACCGCTTTGCTATTGATCAGTTCACTGAACAGACCAATGACGAAGCGGATCAAGCGGATCAAGTGGATTAAGCGGATCAAGTATGGCGGTGCCTTACCAACACAACGGGGATAGGAAACTGACAAGTAGAAGTGGGCACAGGTAGGGATGGAACCTTTACCGTTTTGTTTTGACAGCGCCGGGCGGAGCCTGGTAAGTCAGCTACAAACTGCTAGGATGCTGTTGTTCACTTCAGATACTATGAATCTACCAGAAAGGATCACAACACATTTACATACAGTCGTCATTTCATATGATAATGTCTGCAGCCGCACACATCGTCCTCTTTGGCGTCCACATCCTGGATTTGCAATCGGAAAAAGCAAGAGCCTGACCGATTGCTTTCGCTTACATCACTTTGAGGTGGATAGTACCTGAAAAGGAAAGAAAAATTGAAAACACATTGAAATTGCCTAGCTGAAGGGTTGCCTCGACTAAGAATCCAAGATGGAAACGCCAAAGTGGACGTGAAAATTTTATTTCCTGTCCGATTCGGACCAAACCTGGCACACATACACTTCGGGGCCGGCGGGTGTCATAGGCTACTTTTCGTCATCGATCTATATCGTATCGATTTTTATCGATTTTTTTGCAGAGTTCACCTACGGGGCTGGGATTTGGCACAGGGGGTTAGTCGAGCATGGGGATTCCGAATACGATATTAGTTTCAGAATTAACCATTACTTTTATCGATTTTATCGATTTTTTGTGAAGTTTGACCTGCGGGGCTGGGAGTTTGCACAGGGGGGTAATCGAGCATGCTGATTACGAATACAATATTAGTTTTAGGAATTATCGGTTACTTTTATCGACTTTATCGGTTTTTTTTGCAAAGTTTGAGTTACGGGGTTGGGGGGTTGGTGAGGAAGGTGGGTAAGCATACTGATTACTAACACAGCGAGAACAGAGAATTGCATGTAGAAGTGGGCACAGGGAAAGGTTGTACAGGGAAGAGAATGGAACTTTATCAACGTTTTTTGACAGGGCCGGGCGGAGCCGGGTAAGCCAGCCAGTACTTAATATATTGTATAGAGAAAATGAGTTTTTACTGATGAAATTTTATTGGGTGAAATATGCATACCCAAAAATTCTCTCATTATCGCTTTGTTCGGTCTCGCATCCAGCTCGTCCGTGGTTTCCTCATTCTTCTCTTCCTCACTTCCCTCAACATCAACTTCATCTCGAAGCGTATCTGCCCGCGAGAGATACACGGATGCTTCTGCTCGATCACCTCTTTGTATGAGAAATTGACCCTTGGCTCGATTTGAAGCCGCCTTAATGATGAAATTGATTCTGCAGATCTGAAGGATCTAAAAATGAACAAGAATCCTACTTTGAGCGAAAGACACCCTTCCGATATCTAAGAGTTCCGTTGGCCGAATTTTTTCAAAAGATTTAGCTTGGAGGAAAATTCTTGGCGACATTTGACCTCAAACAGCAGCACTTTTGTTTGGCATAGCTAAATCCATACATGCAGTCAATTTATTCTCGCAAAAACTTAAGCAAACCTTTGCATCAGATTTTTCAGTCTTTGTCTCAAATTCAAAAACTTTTTCAAACCGATCCCGCTCTTCATCAAATGCTTCAAGGTCCATAAATGTTTCGCTATGGAAATTGCAGCAATGCGCTTCTCTCTATCGGTGACGCTGTCTATAAAGAGGTTTCGTACAGAGACAGGTATAAACCAAGAGGTAAAAAAACACCGCTCTGTGTCACGCAAAAATGACTTAAATTATGTCAACGTGTGCATGGATGCGGAAAGATGGAGGTTAAAATTAGCGTAGGTTTCCTTTAGCCTTCATCAAACAGACAACTTTTACATTCGTTTTCTCATGTCGACTATTTTTTATTTATTTATGACTATGACGAACATCTTGAACGTAAATGAAGTTGTATACTTACTGGAACATCAGCTTGTAGTATTTCACTGCTGCTCCAACATTTCTTTCCTGTCACCGCTGAATTTGGAGTTAAAAATGAAGGGAAACTTCCATTGATACTTGTATTTACCCATAAGAGCAAAGCGAGTCAGCGATCGCTCGCACATCTTCCGTTTCAGCCCTTGAACGGCTAAGATCTTTTGATCGGTTCAGTCTGCTAAAGTACTTGCACACTAAAAAAACGAATATAAGAGAGAAGAAACGAAAACAGTACTCGGCACTTACAAAAAATTAGCCTAGTTTCAAGAAGCTCTGCATCATCAGGCATCAGTGAGGGTTAGTGATGTAGCAGACACTCAAGAAGAGCATTCCACGTAGCAAAAAATCACCGGCAAGTGCCAAAACCTAAAATGGCTGCTTATTACGCGCAGACAAATTAGCAGTGCTGTATACCTACGCCAATTCCATGATTGCTTGACCTTTCTTCTTCAAAGGAGCAAAGTTGACTAATCTTTGTGCATTCTCAATGATAACTCCCTCAAGAAGTATATGCGGGCCAGTAGAAGCTGATATTCGAGCTCGGCATCTTGGTTCCTTCTAGATTCGAAAGTCATGAGTTCTCAAAAATAACAAAAGGTAAAAATAGTGATAAGAAATAGAATTTTAGCAAGAATGTATAGTGACGCAAACAGAGCTACAAATCTGCTTTGCATAGGCATATCCGTATTCCAATACTTTTCGTATTCATATCGACGTTGGAGGTTTGCGCATATACAGGAGCACAACCTTTCCTTTATAACCCATTTATTTTATGCTCGCAAAAGTAATCAGAACCAACCAGTCCGACCTTTCTTCTTGCAGTCTCCAGCAACCCTCACTGCATTTTTATCGCAATCAATCCTACGGCCAACTTTCTTGATATAGTCATACTTTCAGACACCAAGATAAAGCCTAGAAGAATAAAAGGAGGTAATTTGATGTCCAAAAACACAACTCACTTCTTCAAGATCAGCCGTGTTTTGTGATTGCTGCATGGCCAGTTTGGCAGGCACCAGACTATGCGACTGTTCTGTTCAGCTGCAGAAGCGCGCGGAATTAACGTTTTCTGCGCTCGATTGCCTGCTTCAGCTGCAGGTCCCGCGCAGAATTGATATCAATTCTGCGCGCCTTCTGCAGTTGAAAAAACAGTCGCTTAGTCTGGCACCTACATTCTCGTAGGTTCAGCCAGATACATGAAAAGATAGCTGAATTTGAGAGCATCTTCCACCCATTTGGGCAATTTACAAATAGGCCAGTATACTCCAACGCTTGCTGACGCTCCCCTACAAACATCTTAAGTAATTTTTCCCAAGTAAATCGTAAAATCCTTAACCAACCTTCTTCGGCGCTGATCTCTGTCAAAGCTCGGTACATAAAGGATAGATCTATATGGTTGCTAGGACCAGTGGCAAGTTGAGCAGCTGAATACGGAGATGAATTGACTCCATAAAGAAAACTAGAACGTGGCTTGCCCTTCTTGTATGACTCCATAGCCGATTCGAAATCCCCGTTGCATCGTTGAAGGTCAATTAGGTTCGTGAGCGATCTCGCTGTTTCGCTACATCAGTAGTTTTCGAGTTTTTTGATGCGCAGCCAAAACTTCGTTTTCCAAACAGAAAAGCGTACCCCTGTTAGCCTCAGGAGCAGACAACCAAGTGACTCCAAAAAAGCTTGCAAGCAATCGCATTCCAAGAAGCGCCGGAAAAAATCGTTAAAATTAAGATGTTCGGAAATCACTGACAACAGAAACTGGAATTTTCTAAATGAACTTAGACAAAAAATTCTCACATATAAGAAATCGATAGTATCAAATTACTCAACATAAAATTGCTCTAAGGCAAGAAAGCCTGCCTAATCTATTACATTTATGGCTATAGCTTCAAACAAAATCACTTTGGTACCTCAGGCCGTATCAGACTTATCCGATTTTTATCCGGTTCACCCCTTCCACTATTGGTCTCGCTGGTGAAGTAGTGGATGGGGTGAGCCGGATTAGCCAGTTGAACTCAGAGATGTACAAACAAAGGGGCACATACCTTGATATGGTCCAAAGGACGGTGCTTGTCAAAAGGCTGAAGAGTGCAACTGCACATAATAAAAGTGCTAAAAAACGTGTTGATGTTAATGTTTGCAAAGAGCGACGCTAATGGAAGACGTGTAAGACACTGGAAAGCTACTGTGTGAGAGCTGAGCAACAAAGACGTAATGGAATACAAAGGATGAGGATGATGAAGGAATGACCAACGAGAAGCAATGCTGTAGGAAGGAACCATAGACAAAACCAATCAACATCAGCAAGGAGACGCTACCGCTAACTAGCGTGTGAGCGAGTGGTCCTGGGCAGATTGGCTGCGTGCCAGTTCTCCGGGGTCTTCCAAATTTAGGGCACCTCCGGAGCACAGATTTCCAAGTTCTTCGGTGAACTCGTTTTTGTTTCTCCTATGTGATCATCACGAGTGGAGTGCCCTTCGCCCCACCCCTTCAATGGTTAAGGGCGCCTTCCGGAGGTGTCCCATATTTGGACGGCTCCCCGAAGGTATCGCATCGACTCTCTGAGCGTGCACTTACATTGCCCTCATGTGCTAAACAGTGGTAAAGTAAGAAGGGAAATGGGTTATGAGATCCTTGTAAATAGCCTGCATAGCTTATAGGACTGTGGGAGCGACCTGTTCCTAGTCGTAAACTATGAAATATCAAACGTTTTGGAAAATTCAATTAGCTTCGTGAAAGAATATCTGGGGCCGTGGACCCGCAAAACAGTTGAAAAGTATCCCAAAACTTTTAAACTGCAGGGATTCTATAATGCCACGTCCCTTCATTCGAAATAATTTTTGTCGCCTCCCGTCTCGAATTAACTTCTCGGACCACCACTGATGCTAAACGGTTCACTGAACGAAATAACGACATTGTGCATAGGTGACAATAAGTTTACCGTAAAATAAAGTAGCAGTCCAAGCTCTCCCCTTTGGTTTCTTCTCGGGATTATCTTCAGCGAAACTTTGGCATTCAAATGAAACGGATCATGCAGTCTGAATGCAGAACCATGTGTTCGTTCACTAAATCATCAGCAGTTGAGGGAGGCCGTTCAGGGATCGGCACAGATCGTCTGGGAGCAGGCTGGACTTCGTTTTTGAAGCAAAAAGCAAAGGGACTATCGTTTTTGCGAAGTCGGGGCCGACTACTAAGGATAAGCGCCATTTAGGCGAACACAAGCTTTTTGAACAGGTTGTCACACAATTGACATGCTCCATAGTGTATGGCGAAAAGTGCGCGCGATTCAAAAGCAAGGCTAAAATAAACAAATTGATTGTTTACAGCGCATACAGAATCATATGCCACCAAAGTTGAACCGTAATAGAAAGTTACTTGCGGAAAAATTATGTGGAAAGACTTGAAAACTTATGTAAAGAAACACCTTTTCCAAATTAGTCCGTCTTCAGACGGCGACCAGACGATCTGAGATCGTCAGAAGCATCTATTTCTGTCACTTCACATAAGTTTCGGATTTCCTTAGCATGGACAGATTCTCCGGTCAAAAATCCGTCCCTGAGCATGGAGACATTTTCATATCATTGCCTTCCCTTTGTTTATTATTGCCTTAATTTCTTCATGGATGGCTTCGCTAGATATCGCGCTCCAATGCCAAACTCCTGTGCATGCGTAGTTCAGCTCCATTTTGGATCTTCACTCTTATCTCACGTTTCTTCTTTCAGACTAATAACTTTTTATTGTTTTCATCTTCCCCTAAGACGGTAGTTCAAAGAAGAATTCGTTAAACTTCCGAAAGTCAGGCGGGACTTCGTTTTAACACGTTTCGGACCGCGAAATCGCGCGCGGCGAAAAAGAGGGTACTTTCAGTCGTTAGCCAACGAAAGGACCTTATTTTGTAGACTGTGTGGTACATCTGTAATCAGCATACCAGATAAGATTCATACCCAAAGTTTTGTGTGAATTTGAAGTGTTTGATTATTGTCGCTTGAGAAGGACTTCCTCAGATAATTGCCGTGGGCAGGCGGCCATGCGATTTATGGGCGGGCGGGCACCGGAAAAATAGTTCCCTTATTTCTTGCGGTCCGCTTGCGGAAATTTGGAAGAATGTTGACCAATTTTCAGACAAATGCTCGTAGAACTATCGCGGTTTTCCTATAGATTAACTGCGGCGCATTGGCCGCATTCTCGGGCTTTCCGCGAGAATATGCAGAATTTTCGGGGGCCGCACGGTCCTTTGTGGAAGACCGCGCAGCCCCCAGGTACTTTCCACTGAGAGAAAGTAACCTGTAACCTCAAACTTGAGTAATTAAACCAGCGGTGACACCTCTGCCACCCAGAGTCTTACCTGTGCTCGACGTATGCCCGAAACTGCGTAAAAAGAGTCCGAGCGCCTGCTGAAAGTTCGGCCAGCGTTTGCTGGAAGAGATTATTTGACGAGCGCCTGCAGAAAATTCTGTGTTGCTGCCCGCTGGCAGAACATTAGACAGTAAAGGAAGTACCGCTCGCTGGAATTTCGCCCATGCCCCAAAATCTTGCTGACCGCTTGCAGAAAAGCGCGAGTTTGCGGACCGCCTGCCCCCGGCGATTATCTGAGTCTGTGCTTTCTTGAAAGATAGAAACAAGAACTCAGTTTTTAATTGTATTTAAAAGCCTATGTTGTACATGTTACACATCATTATTGAAACTAGAATTTTTCTCTTTGAATTCGAAGCAAAGAAAAGTTGCGACGTCGCACGCGTCGTTCGCGTTGCCGCACTTCGTTGCAACTCTTGTTCGATTTGTCCTCATATCTCCTCAACGAATATCGGCGGCACAGCTCTACAGAATCATTTGAAAAGAAGGAGCTTAGGCCTTTGATTTGATGACCTTGGACAAAAAGAAAACCTCCTGTAAACGTTGAGAAGATCCTTCAGAGCCGCGTGCTGCACCATGTGCAGCACCGGTCCGAAACGTGTTAAAAAAGCCTAGAAACGGACTTATGCCGGGCCCCAAATTTCTGCTGAGGCCGATTCGAGTTAAGCTTACCTTAGATGCCCTGTCTTCACGTCGTGTGCACACCATGGCAGAGAAATTGCTATTAGTCTAAGTCCTTCGCTTGTGTCTCACGATCTTCATGATTGACGATGGCTGCCTCCTGGTAGCCAAATGCAAAGTCGTGTGCAGTTCATTTTCAGTTGATCCAATCCACTGGATCCATAAAAGGTCTCGTTGATAATTTTCCTTGAGGGCGTTTGTTTCGGTATCCACTCTAATTCAGTGTCTACCTGTCGTCTGCTCTTCTCATGATGTGACCGACGCAAAAGGGTCGCATCACCAACGTATTCGCTGAGTCCTAAATTGACGTTCTTTTTGAAAGCGCAATGCGAAGTATGACAAAATGTTACATGCCTCGAGTGAAATTCAGATATCTTTGCTCACGCGATGAGGGAGAACGGTTGAGTCGAACGAGTGAACATGAAACCCGTAGTCGTCAGCTGCTCCGTGGCTTCCTCAGAAACCCCAAAATTTCGCGGGCTGTTATTCTTCCCTTGTCAAGTCCTTCCCTCAAATCGTTCTCCATCCTCATCGAACCTTTCACATACATCAAAGAAGACGTCTCCGCGATAGGAGTTCCCTCTAATTCCATTTTCGTATCTGGGCGTACTCTATGCAGTCAGCCTTCTTCAATTTATTCGCAGTTCGCTTTGTTTCCCTCTTCGTCAGTTCTTTTACCATTATCTCTGCTTCTTGTGACTGCTTGAGAGAACGATCTCATCCGCAAAAAGAAGGTTCGAGACAAACACTCCAACAACTTGTATGCATCTCTTGTTCCAATCCAGTGACAACTTTTAACTACAGGTTCAACCCAAAGCAGATTTTCAAGAGGCGGATTAACCGGCTGGCACCTAAATACCAATTAAAGGAAAGCATGAAGGTTGGTCCCCTTTCCCTCTAAGTTCTTTGCAAGTCTCCTTGTGTTCTGTGTGCTTATTATCAAATCAATGTATAAAACAGCAGCTACTGAAAAACAAATGCAAGTGTGTTCAAAAAAGAAACTTCATTAGAATTATTATCGAAGAAAAATCTGACGTACAACAAATATTACTCTGCGGTTACATTAATATACAAAAGCTATTCTTGGGTAGTAAGTGAATGATGACCACTTTCGATGGCTCCTAAGCGCAAACTGTTTTTTACAAACTTGATGATTAAAGAATTTTTTTCCAAAGAAATAGACCTAAAAAATCGATGGCTCACCCGCGCTGAAAAGCCAATCAACAGTGACCATCTAACGAACTTCTCAGTGGGCGTATAAACAAACAAAAGAGGTGAAAACATTTCGAAGAGGTTGCAAACAACAACAACAAAAACAAGTCAAAGTGAGATACATATTGTTATAAAGATCTTCGTAAGAGCACAGCACCAGTATATAACAAAAACATTAGATACATGAGCTAAACAAAAAGACTTGCATTTATTGCACAGGGCAACTCAAGCCCAATAGTGCGTGTTCAGCTTGCTGCCGAGTTCTGCACTGAGATCTCTGAAATACGTCGGTGTGCCATCGTGGACAAGCCTTCCGCGTTCACCACTCGCGCCAGATCCTGTCGATTCGCTACCAATGTCACGGAAACTGCAACATAATTCAAATAATGTAGAAAATCTCAAGTAGGAGAACTCTAACAATTGAGTGGATAGGTATAATTTGGCAAAGCCAAATGACAAGATTTGAACATACTTCTCAGTTTTCCAGTTGTTTCTTCCACGCTTTGATAGATTGGTGGCGGAGTAGCAAACTGACGGAACGCCAGTTGATCCACATACCACCTAAAGTTAACGTATTATGCCAAGTCACTAGCCAGCTTCAGTGCATACGCGCCCTTGCTACTCCAAACATAGTGCAAATTATTGAAATGCCCACCTAGCAGCCACCATATGAATGAAAAAAATGGGCTGCCAAATTTGCGCGACCCACACTACCGCCATCGTCACAATTTTATCACTGACCTATACCTGCTTAACTGCGAATCACAAGAAAAGTTGTTGATGGTACAATTAGGAAAAAGAAACACATCTAGACTTTAGCCTATCCCAGGTCCGAACCGCAAAATGTAAATAATTCGACAAAGTACAACTATACATGAGGCAAAAAGTTGGTAAGGCACGATTGCATTTCTGTTGCTAATACTGCGCATAACTATGCGTTTTAAACAACGGCTGACTTTACCTGATGCCCATAGCAGAGAATGTTGGTAATTTGCTCCAGTTCATCGAGCGAGAGCAGCTGCCCCGATGTTCCTTTACTGTGCATAACTAAAGTGCACCGAAGTGCGCGGGCAGTTCCCTGTAATGCAATAATAGGCCTAAGGCACAACAGATAAAAATGCAGAAGCTTGACCTGTAGCGCCTTTTGTGGCACGATCAAGAATTCGTTATATGCAGGGTGGGTAGCATCTTCGATGACTGTCCCACACGGAACATTCTGGTCCATAGGACGAGCTTGCGAGTCGATTCTGTAGAAAAAGCGATACTAATAAAAAAATGGGAAACAGAAGTAATGGACCTCCGTTGGTAACGAATACTGTACATTCACAATCCATAATGAATTAGTCTAAGATCACTATGAAATTCAGGCTTACCTTGTTGGTACAATGCGGTAATTCGAATTCGTTTGCACGACCAAGCATGTGAGAGATGGAGAGTACATTCCGTGGGAGTACAAATGATTCACTTCCGCAAAGGCTTTCTGCAGCTCAATCATCTCTTTGTGCGCCTAGGAAAAGTAAATTTTGCAGGAATCGTTGTGGGAATACTCCAAGCTATTGAAGCTGCACGGCTGTCGAAAAGCTCACCTTTTTGAACTCGCCCTCCGAACATCCACAGCGGAATACGATGATGTCAGAAGGTAATTTGTTCGTTTCTTTATGGAAAGACAATAATGCACCGGCAAAATTTCTGCAATGAGGGCAATCAAGCATCTGAATCAATCGATTTGAATTGCTGGACAAGACCAAGACATAAAAGCAGCTTACTTTCCTGTGAAAGTTATCGAAGATTCACAATTCAATGCGCAGAAAACCTAATCTATATATTAATAAATTCAAATTTGTCAGTTTGGAGGCTATGTGCGTTATAGAAACGCGCGCCGCTCAACCGAATCAGCTGAGACTTTGCACACATATGCTTTCGACGTCTGCGCAGATGACATGCTACTTTTTGCGGCGATTTGTTGGGTTCTATTTATTTATTAATTTGTTTACGTTTTTCTAAAAAGAAGAAGGCTTATCATGTTTAACCAAGCATTCTCTCATAGGGTTGTTTCATACTGCCGCACTGACTGCAGCAGACCGCAGCTGACTGCACTGACTGCAGCTGACCGCACTGACCGCAACGGCCGCACAATCGCTACATCCTTTCATAGAAGAGAAAATAGTTGCGAATACATCAAAGCACCTTAATTTACGTCTAGGAAGTTGATAGGTTCTAACCTACTCTTCTAATCAAATTTTGGCGATTGTTCTTCTTTAATATTCTTATATTTGTTCAAATTCTTTGAATATACCTATTTTACTCCCGCTTGTGTTGTCTATCGGGGCATATATTGTTAAGAGACTGTTTGAGCTACAACTACTCATCTTCTCCACCTTCACAAAAGGATGTAGCGATCTGTTCGGCCCCGCGGTCAATGCGGTTGCAGTCTGCTGCAATCTGCTGCGTCTGCTGCGGTCAGTGCGGCAGTCTGAAACAACCCATAGTCATGTAAAGGCGGGCGGTGAAGCTCATTTCCACCCCAGGCTCACGAGAATGCGGGAATCGAAGTGGATACCACAAGATAAGTCATCCATAACATGGAAAGGGGGGGGGGGGAGAAGGTTCCGCAATGCGGTAATTTTGCTGGCAACCGTGGCATCTACTTCCTTTCTATGAACAATCTCGAGATGGAACGGGGAAGCCAAGTAGTGCTTACTAAAAATCAAAACGGTTCCTGTTTAGACCTGCGTATTATAAGATTAATGGGAACTCTAGAATCAAAGGAAAGAGGTTTGTACTGGCGATCTACTAAAATTTGATCACTATCGGAGAGAAAGATCGTTCATGAAAAGTGCGCGATTGTTACTGAAACGATTATCCAGTTTCTATTCAATGAAAGTTATTAAGAAAGTCTAGAATTTGACTCGCTTCAGTACAACAAAGATCATCGCAACACAATCAACGTAACAACTATAATTGCACATGTTCAGATTGGATCCAGAATCTCATGAATTTAATCAGCTCTCAGTGAATCTTTAAACGCTAGAACTCCGAGAATATAGTTTGCGGACTTCTCAAAAGTGGTCTACATGCGACATAATATGCTACCTGCTTTCAAGATAAAACAACTACACTGAACAAAATGTATAAGCTCGTTCAAAATTCAGGAAGGAGATCCCGAGAATTTTTCGGAGGGTGAAATGCTAGCGCGTCTATTGTAAGGTTCTTTCCCCCCTCCCCTCTTCGGAAATGAACCAAAAAGCGTTCCTGGTCTCTCCAGATTGACTATGATTTCGCTATCACACAGAAGATTTTGTCATTAATAACGCTGCCACTATCTGGCACCACTAATGTGCACAGCACTGCATTACTTCATATCTCAAGATATTCCAGTGCCGACAAGTACTATATTGGTTTGTATGTAAATTCCCAGATCCAAAATGTTTATGACAATGAGTCAAAACCCTACTCTGCGATGTCCGAGATTGAAGCCTCGCGCGGTTCTTGCATCCAGTAACTTCCACGAATTTTTGTTGGTTCTCCAACAGTGAATGCCATCTGAATACTTCTATTTGGAACAAAACTTAATCTCTATAAAGTCTACATCTCACCCCAACTACAGTTGGTTCGCTTTGTGGCTTCTTCATCTGACGATCAGCAAAAGACTGTGGACCAGCATGGCTGATATCAAATCCAACAAACATGCGAGTCTTTGGAAAAAGCGTGGCATCCCTGAGAAAGTATAGGGTATTCAAAGAATACGTACACATTGATTACAAAACCTACATGTTGCGCAATTTGGAATTGGCATTGAGAAAACTTTCAGAAACCCGCAAGTTATGATTAACTCCTCCAAGTTTCAGATTCAACTTCAAGCACAAGTTTCCAAGAACCATGAAAGCTCCCTGTAATATGAATTTAAGTGATGAAAGCTCAGCACTAGAAAGTAATTTCACTCGAAGGTACCTTATGCCCAATCGCCTTCATCAGTGTCTGTTGGCTGACGTGTTGAGTGATGACTCCGTACTGGGCTTCCAGGCGCTTCATTAGGTCTGCAACATTTGTCTGACATGAGTGATAAGTCTTTGTTTCGTTATCTCCTAGTCTCCTAGGACGAAATAGTGTAGCTTGCTTACCCGGCTTCGCTCGGCCCTGTCAAAACACTGTAATAAAGGTCACATCCCTATCACTGTACAGCCTTTCCCTGTGCCCACTTCTACACTTCATTTCCCGTTCACTGTGTTGTTTTCGAAAACAGCATGCCCACTTACCTCTGTGCCTACTCCCAGCCCTGCAGCTCAAACTTTGCAAAAAATCGATAAAATCGATAAAAGTAATAGATAATTCTGAAAACTAATACTGTATTCGGAATCGTCATCCCCACTTACCCCCTGTGCCAACTCCCAGCCCCGTAGGTGAACTCTGCAAAAAATCGATAAAATCGATATCAATCGATGACGAAAAGTATCCTATGACAGCTCCCTGCCCCGAAGTGTATGTGTTTGGTCCAAATCGGTTCAGATATAAATTTCTATTCCGCAAATACGTACAGACAGAACAGAAAGACACACATCCAGCTTTATACAGGGTCCGTAAAGTATGTATAGATTTCCATTATACACTGTTTAATCGTTAATATCTCTTTTCCCATAAAGTCTTTTGCCTTGCTTTAGGTACCATTTTGTAGAGCTGGCTTCAACTTAGATTTCCATTATAGAACGAATCATCCATCTCTTTTCATTACTATAGGGTTACGGTAGAAACTTCAAAGAGGGTTTTGAACCATGAAAGGCCATATTTTGCCTCACAAAGAAAACAAAACAGCCTGAAAACTTTTACACCGGGCTAATTAGAATTGCTGATTATAACTGTAAAGTTTCCAACTTATTGTGATGCTTCATTGAAGAGTTATGCTAGGTAAGAGGTAGCGGCCTTTTTTTTCAATGTTCCTAAAAAAGTGCACCGTTTAGAAAGCTTCGCAATCTTGCGAATAGTTGAGTATTGAGCTCAGCGTCCATAAAAATCCTATTACACAGGTTTTCACATTTTTTTTAAATTTTGAAATGGCAGCTTTTTCCACATTGACACCATATGTTTCAAGTACCGTAATCCTACAGTAATGAAGAGAGATGGGTGATTCGTTCTATACTGTAAATCTAAGTTGAAGCCAACTCTACAAAATGGTACCTGAAGCAAGGCAAAAGACTTCTTCAGAAAAGAGATATTAACGATCAAACAATGTATACATAGTTTACGGACACATAAGACAGCTGTCTCCTATATTTAGCATACACTGGAATGAGAACGACCAACTAAAAATATGTTTTCTTAAACATGATTTGAAGATAAAAACTAATAAATAAGAAGATGAGAATCACAGTACGCAGGATGGAAGTTCATCAAGCTATCTACAGAACGACAAAGCATGGCAATAATGATCATTTATCTCTTTTTTATCAAAAACTAGCTTGCTTACCCGGCTCCGCTCGGCCCTGTCAAAACAGTGTGATAAAGGTTCCATCCCTATCCCTGTACAGCCTTTCCCTGTGCCCACTTCTACACTTCATTTCCCGTTCCTTGTGTAGTTTTCGAAATCAGCATGCCCACTTACCCCCTTGTGCCAACTCCCAGCCCTTCAGCTCAAATTTTGAAAAAATCGATCAAATCGATAAAAGTAATATAATACCAAGAACTAATATTTTTTCGTAATCAGGACGCTCGATTACCCCCCTGTGCCACCTCCCAGCCCTGTAGCTCAAACTTTGCAAAAAAACCGATAAAATCGACAAAAGTAATCGATAATTCTGAAAACTAAGATTGTATTCGGAATCGCCATGCTCACTTACCCCCCCCCTCCGCTGTGCCAACTCCCAGCCCTGTAGCTCAAACTCTGCAAAAAATCGATAAAATCGACAAAAGTAATCGATAATTCTGAAAACTAAAATTGTATTCGGAATCGTCATCCCCACTTACCCACTGTGCCAACTCCCAGCCCCGTAGGTGAGCATTGCAAAAAAATCTATAAAACCGATATAGATCGATGACGAAAAGTAGCCTATGACGTGCTTCCTGCCCCGAAGTGTATGTGTGCCAAGTTTGGTCCAAATCGGTAGAAATAAAAATTTCTATTCCGTACATACGTACAGGCAGACATACACACATTCAACTTTATATATAAGGTTTTTCTTGTTGTCAACCACAAACCTGTTTATCAGTATCAAAACAGAATCAGAAAGTAGGAGTGGTTGGCACTCCATGTTATCGATTTTCCTGGGTTTGGAAGAAGCCCACGAAAAATTTAGAACCCCAAATTTTCGGGAGCGTAAACTTACTGTGAACAGGATCTAATTTGATCTTTGTTGTAAACATTACAAATGCGGAATGCTTGCTCAGTTTCTTCATCATAGCATCAACATCACTTTCGACCTCGCTTGAAGCTTCGAAAATGTCAACCTAAGTGGCAAGATTTAGCACGGACCAATGATGATGATCACAGTTAAAAGTCTCACATATCTCTGCGAGATCTGAACACCATGCTGCGAAGAATACTTTGACAATGCGTCGATGAAATTCCTAAAACTCGAAGATAATTATTTTTTTTTTTGAAACAGCAACCAAATCGGGAATTAGTGAGGAAACTGACTGAGCATCATTGACTTGTACACAGCGATCAAAAATTATGAACGTCCATTTTGAATCCAACTTTGCTGGTTCGGCGAATTGCTCTCTTGCACCGAGTCTCCATTGCAGATCTCCGTGGCTATTTGGCTGGACATTCATTGAGCCACCGTAGGCTATCGCAGGAGGGAAGAATCGTTTTGCTACTGCCCGCATCGGTCGGGAGGAGATTTTAATCTGCTCGTGTTACTACTATATATAAGAGAAACTCATACATGGAATGAATCACTTACTCCCCACTCTTTGATGTATGGATTATCATTGTTCAAAGAGGCTCCCTCTATCTGCTCTTCAACATGCTTTTTGATTGCGGCTGGTGGAAGTTGGCATTCCCTGATCATTGTTTCAGACTGTAATAGAGCGGGTAAGTCTACTTGAATTAACATTGCTTCACCTTTTTTTATTTCCTTAATAAGATAAAATTCTGATCATAGCACGCCTCATACCACCAAGCCGCTTGCCCTTATTCTCTTGCGCTCTATAGAGGCTGGAACTATAACAAGCATGATAGACTATCTCATACCAGTTGCGAAGTTTGCTTCTCCGTCGTGACGCGTTGTCCTCGCTCAATCTCCAACACCTCCATGGGATGGTAGGTTGCACCTCTCGGTCTTCTTTCAATACATAATGGGAGTTCGGGGTGCCTTCAAATTACAAAAAATTGATGATATGAATGTCTGACTGACAGCTGATGCACCTTAGCTGTCGTTTGTAGCGTTTCATGAAGTAGTCGTTCACATTAATCTCTTGACCTTCGTGTTCAAATGTTGCCCTAAAACTTAATTTCAGATGCGGACCATAAAGTATGAACAAGCGTTGTGACTCACGTAAAAGCATTCTCTTTCGCTAGCCCATGAATAAAAACAACACGGTTTGTATCAAGGTGCGTCGTGCGAACAGCGATGTCTGCAAGTGTTCTGTTTTAGTTTTATGAAAGTGACGCTCATACTCAAGAGAGTCTAACATACCTCTTAACTGCTTAACCACATCAGAAGCCGAACGGCGGTTTTTCAAAGCTTCTTCTAGAGACAATCCTCGACGATTCTCCAAGCCAAGAAACTTTTCGCAAAAGCTTACTACAGACATCTGTCCAAAGAATGGAGACTTCTTGGCTGCAAAAGCAAAATTAGAATTTGCAGTATAGAACAGCACCACCCTCTGCTTTTACTAGTGGACACCCAGCCTAGGCAGGGATATTCAGCCTCCCCGTCGACATACGCTGATAGAACGCACAACTCCGTCCTACTTCTACACATGTGTCTGTCCCTTTCCCACTTATACATGCCAATTTCCTGCCCTCACCATGTTTTCGTGATCAGCATGCTCACATACCCCTCCCTTTGAGTCAAATGCCAGGTATCTAGCGCGAAGTTTGCCAAAAAAACCGATAAAATCGATAAATGCAGTAATTTTACAAACAGTTGTCATATCCGTAATCAGCGTTCTCATTCACCTCCTATACCAACTCCCAGCGCCCAGCTTAAAGGCTGCAGAAAACAGATTACGGCAATCATTGATTCCAAATATGAACATTGCATTCGTAATCAGCATACTCATTTACACCCTCACTTCAATCCCAGTCCCCTAGGTGAAAGTCAAATATTAGTAGGTCGATATACATCGATAACGAGAAGTAGCTTACGACGTCGCCCGCCTAAAGGTTCTTGTGTGCAAAGCTTGGTCCCGATGAGCTCAAGTATACAAGGTGTCCCAAAAGTAAGTACACACTTTTCAATCGCCAATATCTCTTTTCCCAATGGGTCTTTTTTGCCAGTCAGGTACCATTCTGTAGAGGAGGCTTCAGCTTAGACTTACGGTATCGATCGAATCACCGATCCTCTTCGTTACTGTAGGATTACGGTAAGAACTTCCAGCAGTGGAACCACTGTGAAATATTCACCTGACAAAACTTTTTCAAAAAATCTAAAAAATCGTGTACTAGGTTCTCGCGCGCTCTGATTCCACTACACAACTTCTTACGAGTGTTTTCACCTTTTTTGACGGTGTAATAACATTTCTGACAAATACTGGGAATTGGCTTATTAGGGTTTACCAGGAATAACTAAGGAAAGAAGCATCACAGTGAAGTGAAAATTTCATATTTGAAATTAGCGGCTTCCATTATCATAATATAAGAGTTTTGGCTTGTTTGGTCTTCCTCCGAGGCAGAACATGGGTTCCGATGGCCTGAAATCCTTGTCGAAGTTCCTACAGTAATCCTACAGTAATGAAGAGCGATCGGTCATTCGCTCTCTAAGTTGAAGCCTTCTCTACAGAATGGTACTGAAACGGCGGAAAAAGACACAATGGGAAGAGAGATATTAACGATTGAAAAGTGTGTACTTACTTTTGGGACACCCTGCATAGAAACGGCACACACATTGAGTATAGAGACTTGATCATAATTGAATAAGAAAGCTTGGCGACTTGTCATGTTACAGACAGGAGCAAACTCTATCGAAACTACGTAATACCGAGTCAAAAAACCTAAAGTAAAGAAAATAATTTTAAGGCAGGGATTTGCCAGACTGTGCAATCGGTTAAAGGCAGTGTCCGGGCAAAAGGTCGATTCTCAGGTGATTTCAGCGACTTTGTCAGCGTATGAGCTAACTCCAAAAGCTCCACTTTAACGGTTCGCCAGAAATGCATTTGAAACAAGAATGTGTCTCATACAGAGTGGCCTTCGACTTTGGCGAGGGTGCCAAAGCCCCCTTTCTCGCTTGTTCTAGTTGAAGACCACTCTAAATGAGACAAATCCGCACACGTGTTGACAACATTTTTAGCAAGTCCTCACAAAAATCATCTTTTTGGCAGAAAAGGTTAGGAAAGTGCTTATTCTCAATACGGCTGCAATGTGATAGCAAATTACTCATTCTATCCATTCTGTTAACAATCTTAGTTGTGAATTTAGCATCCGACCTTGAAGGCAGCGTCTAGGCACCTATCCTCAGCACAGCTTGCGGAAGATTTGCATTTTTTGCAGGGTTTGCGCGAGGACCCAGCACGAGGGCGGCAGTCCACACGCAATAACATGAACCCTTTCAATTCGTCTGACAAATACGGTATCTGGTCTGTTTTGGAGACGAATATCTCAGTCGCTAATGCACCATCTGCACTGCAGTTTGCGCAAGTCAGGATGGGTTCACACTGATCCGTAAGTTCCGAAACAATTCTAGCACAGCGCACAGTTCGGATCAGCATGAACCTAGACTTAGACCACCAAAATCAAAATCCACTTGCAATCCCCACGTGTCCAGAGGCCATATCCATCAACGAACCCTGAGTTTAAACTAACCCTGGAGGGTAGTTTAACCCTGGAAAGCGATTAACCCGTATTCACGAAGCACAGGGTAGGCTTAACCCGGAGATAATCTACCCTTGAGGGTAAACCCTACCCCGAAAAGCCATTAACCCGTATTCATCAACGAACTCTGAGGGTTAAGCTAACCCTGGAGGGTAAAACTTATCTCCCAGAGCGACTAACCCGTATTCATGAACGTGATTCATCAGGGTTAATTTAATCCTAGCTTAGAGCAAGGTTTCTAACTCTATCCTAACACTTCGTGCAAACATAAAGTGATCTCTCGATGCACTACTTACCCTAACGATATTACTTAACAACAAACGTATATTTCTAGTTGATATTATTTCAAGTTTGTTAAGTTCTCTTTTGTCTCGTTTAATCATATCATAAAAACTAGGGTGAAATTTTCTAATAGTTTATTGTTTGAATCAAAGCATTTTGGTTGAGTTAACAGTATGGTCGTGTAAAAAATTGTCAATATAAGTGGACTCAAATTCGATTGAGGTAGCCCCAGCCGAGCTTTATTGAAGTTCCTCATATCAAAGCCCTCAGTTGGACATGTACTTTACTTGAAACTAAATCTTTTACTGTAACATTCAGCTGAATGTAAAACGGTCAATAACATCAAATAAAAACACGAATAGAAGCCATAGGAAGTTTGACTTTATAGTAACTATAAATATGCGTTTTTTTTGTCAAAACACATCGCTAAGCCTGAGTAGTGCATCGAGAGATCATTTGATGTTCGTAGGAATAAGAGCGAAAAATCTTGCTCTACGTTAGGGTTAAATTTACCCTGACTGGCCACGTTCGTGAATACGAGTTCAACGAACCCCGAGGGTAGATTCTACCCTCGAGGCTCGTTGATCGATACGGATTGATCGCGTTCCGTGGTGAACCCTACCCTATGCTCAAGGTTTCCTTGATGACTACGGTCGCTGAACCCTAAGGGTTAGATTTACCCTCCAGGGTTAGTTTAACCCTCAGGGTTCGTTGATGAATACAGTCACAGATTTGCCTGGACATTGCCTTCAATGTATATTGTAATTTTAGAAGAAAGTTGTGCTTTTTCTATATCGCTCGAAAAGATTAACAGGGTTACGTCTGTGCCGAAAAAAATGCCCGTGTTGAAAAGAGGAAACTACCTTCTTTCATCATCATGTATGAAACTCAAGACTACCTCCAATCTGAAGCATAGCGACAGTACCTCCAATCTGAAGCATAGCGACAGCTTCGCCGGCCGACTCGATGGCACGACAATTTTTTTCGAAGCCACATTTAACAACTTTTCCTTGAGGCAGAGGTGTGTCGTGATGCGAAGAACGCTCATAAGCCTTGTTGTCAAAAATGATGTGATCTTCGCTGCAAGGAAATGAGATTTTACAACGTAAAGAACAGTACTCCTGCAATGGAATAAGACGAACTTCTTGATAATTCCGGCGGAAGTTATCAATTCCAGAAGCCGCTGGGTTTCGCGAATCTTTTCAACCTCACCGTCCAAAGTAAGATCGAGGATGGGGTTGAGAGCATGTGTGAACCTTATCTCTACTTCAACCTAAACAGTATCTATAATCGAAACCACAATTCTCGTAAAAACAAGAAACCTTGAGGCACGCTTGGCCAAGGTAACCCTTCGTGTTCTTTGACGTGATCTCATCCTGAAAAAATATTAATAACAGCAGGCCACAGTTCATTTTTGATTTCACTGAATATCGTTTCTTACACTAGTCATAAAAAGGCTTACATCGCATGGATTGATACAAAAAATGACTTGCTCATACTTGCATATAATTAAAATAATTTTGGAAAATTCAACTTAGCCTTCCCTTTTCTCTGAATTCTGTATGGGCCCGCAAAAATTTTAGGGCGTGGTCCACGTCACGCATTTCATCAAAAAGCGGTATACGCCACTGCTATGTACCGTTTACTGACACCCAGACATAAAGGTTCTACTATTGCCAGCTATCTTTATATTTGGGTGTACGTCAAGAGGCGCGATTTTTATTGCCAGATGGACATCAATTGGGCATTTTCAGTATTTTATGATGTTCTGAAAGCAGATCAAATATCTGACAAAATACCTGTGATCGCCGCATGGGTTACTCGATCTTATTATTCTGAAGTAGATTCAAAACAAAGTGTTAAGGGGTCAAACGCGGAAATGCAGATCATGGCGTATTCGTGAGTATTACAATCAAGGTTTCACTAAAAACAATCAAAGTTAGCAAGCAGTAGCTTTAGACAGCTTATAAGCTAGAGCGCTTTGTCTGTATTCTGAAAGACTCTAAGAGATCTAAATTTGGCTGTTAAATTGGTGACCTTTGGAGAAACGCGCCTCTTGTCCGTCTCACGTTATATGACGTATATTTCCATATACTCCATCCGTATCTACGAGACTGTTTTTCTGAAAGCCTGTGAAGACACAAGAAGAATGGAAACGCTAGCTGGGCAAATGGTTCGATCCTGAGACCCTTCATGAACGATTAGTTACAGTGCTATTACCACCATGGCTGAATTATTTTTTGAATATTTTAAGAAAAGATCGCTGATATTAGTAATTTACATCTCATCTCAAACAACCACCCACGACTACTAAAAGTACTTTCCAAAATTTTTTATTAAGGGAAGCAGTGAACGACTGTCAGTGTTTTTGCAATTCAAATGACCAGCTCCACCTATTCTACGTAAATGGCTGCACCTATGCTGTCCCCAGCTACCCATGGGTATCTCTTCGATACTGCAGCGAGGCTTTGCAACACTTTTAAGCAAATTTTCACCGAGCTTGCGAAACTTACTTGTCAATCTAAACTGGTTATACTGCAGAAAAGCAAAAATGATAAGCAAGGTTTACAATCGAAAGATCGGAGATTTTACGCACTATATCTTATGCTATGTAATGTGCACTGTTACTGAGCCTATGGTTGACGTCTCGTTTCTACAATGCTTGGACATTCGGAAATCAAGTGTAATTGCATCCCAGCAAACACCCAAGATCGCGCGCTTTTTATTAGGCTGGAAACTAAGTTTTGCAACTGGTTTCATAACTTCACTCTCTTTGGATATGGCGCACTCAAACTTTGGCATTCTGTAGAAGGCAATGTGAGCTACAAGCGAGCACAAAGTGTCTGAACTTTGAACACGAAATAGAAAAGTTTCAGGCGTTTTTCAAAAACTAATGAAATTTGAGAATTTTTGGGGTTTCAAGCTAAAATGAAGCCTTTGGCAGCCTAGACCATGCGCAGTAATCCGGATTCGTCTATAAAATATTGCTGGAGGTTGACTTCTTTGGCCTAGTAAGAAAGAAACAAAATTTAGGGGCATGTCGAGATTTGGCGTCCTCATAAAGTCGAACGAGTCGATGTACGCAAGAGCTGCTGGGGACGACCGTCAATGACTAAAGAGTCCGAAGCTCAAATTCCGCCGAGACTTTACATAGTAAGGTTATTTAACCTGCCAAACGCGAATATCACATCCATTTGCTGATTTAACGCCTTTTTCCTTGTTTACGGTGGGACCCCATATCGTAACCTACAGTAATCCTACAAAAAAGCCCTTATCACGCAATTTCACTATCGTTTTCGTGATCAGCATGTCGGATAACACCCCTATGTCAAGTTTCAGCCAAATCCGTCAAACTTTGAATTTCTCCTCTTCATACCATGCACCCACCGTAACCCTCACTGCGACGTCAGAATTTGGTAGGACGGCAGCTGCGCTTGTAGCTTACTTAATAACCAACGCAGTGGCAAAATTTGTGTGCGCCATGTTGAGTGAGAGGAAAGTTATGAGACCAGTTGCAAAACTTAGTTTCCAACCTAATAGTATCGACTCCAATGCAATGGCCCACACCATACTTATAGAATTTCATCCGCTTTGTAACCAATGAAATCAGTAATTTCGAGCTGCTCTCAACGCAGATAAAGTGGATAATTGTGACGTGGACCATGGTATTTGTAACGCGACTGGAAGCAGGAAAAGATTATGTCACATTCATCAGCAAAACTCATGTTTCTCAGTGTTGCCAGTAAGGCGTAATATTCTCAAAATCAACTCACATAAGGTAGTTCAATCGTGATAACGGAGTTGTCATCACCACGCCCATCATAGAGTTGGTGCTTCACGTAAAGACTATTTCCACAATCATAAACGTATGAATACTTGGACAGCTTTGAGAAGATATCTGCACGTTTCTTCACAGCGCTGTTGAATAGCGACATGCAAACCCGACGCCGGAGTTGCACTGCATAACTGAAAGAGGTGCAAACAATATTAAATTTCTAAGCTCTCTCTGCAGAAGACTAACAATGACTTTTATGAGCTGGTAAGGGCATTAGTGATCCCTCTATGTGACACGATCGTAAGGGGGAAGAGATCGCAGCTTAAAAGAAAGTTTCATATGCTAAAGCTCCGAACTTGGGATTTCACGCTGTTTACCCATCCGTAAGTATTCCCATGGGTATTCCTACCATCCTTCACTATGAACATATTGGGAGCGAGAAGTGGTATAAGTTGCATTCCAGCGTTTTGTATCATCTCCTAATGATCCCTAGCGGCAAATCGTCTTTTCCTCAAAGTCAGTGTTCCTTCTTCAAAGGCAGCATCCAGACAGATCTGGACTTATGGGGTATTTACATGGAAAGTACTTTTGGGCCCCAACTAAGGCACTGCCCAAGCGGCAGCGCAGATAGTGCTCCAACTCCTGAGATATTCCCCTCAAAATTGGACCCTGCGGTCTTATTTGCATGGATTCATGGCAGTTTCGCGCCAGGATCCGGCCTTAGCGTTAGCCTGTTGTATCAGATAATCAATACAACTTTGGAATTTTCGTTGACCTCGAAGAAAGAAAATTGATCTTGATGAAAAGACGGCAGGCTGCCAGCAGCAGTTAATATGTTTCCAGTGAAGGATAGTCGAAACACTTACAAATGGGTAGACAACGTGAAATCCAGAAGTTCGGAGCTTTAGGATGTGAAGCTTTCTTTCAAGAAGCGATCCCCTCCCCGGCGCGGATGTTAATGCATGCGGTCCTTAGATTGATAGCGCAACATTTCTAGAACATGAGACAAAGATTGAAGCAGTGCTAACGAAGACCGGAAGACTGCAGTAATCGCCCACACTAAGATTGAAATCTCTGCACCCGAAAGTAATCAAGAAAGACACCTTAGGCGCCTACAAGTTTAGCACAGGTTGAATATGTGCAATTCCGCGCGCTCTACTCACCATCTTGTTCATGTGACAGTGTAAAAAATGCAAAGAAACAATATAAAAGACCAACTCTTGTTTTTGCCCTCTAGTGAGATCGCGCGTCTTTGTATCCGTGATCTTCGTAAGAGCCACGCGATAGTGGTAGATTTCTTTGGGAAGGTTCTTGATATTCATCACAAAACCATTTAGTTCGACTTCGAACTCGGCCGCTGGCTTTGAGGCTGGCAACGAGGACGTTGCAATTTTCGCTGAAATTGGTGTTAAAGCTGGGTAAACAAAAATCACTTCCAATATTGGATTACGAGGCAGTTCGAAATCCTCCTTTGCATCGTCGACGAACATTCCTTCCTCGTCACCAGAAGACATTGTACACAGAAAATGTCAAACACTCTATAATCTATACTTCGCCTTATCACATGTAAGAAGATATATCGCCTATTCTTCGGCAAAGTTCTCATAGGGAACGACCATAGGTTGTCGATTGTTGTCGGTGTTGTCGGGGTTGCCGAGGTTCCGGTCGTTAGGACCTCATGATAGCCTCCACGTTTCGCGCGCTCTCTAAACTGTCTCTGACCCCGACAACACCGACAACAACCGACAACAACCGACAACAACCGACAACAACCGACAACACCGACAACAACCGACAACACCGACAATAACCGACAGTAACCGACAACAACCGGTAATAGCCGACAACAGTTGCCGGCAACCTATGGCCGTTCCCATAGGTACAGGGCGGGGGGCACGCGGAAGGCGACAGTCGGCGAAAAATGGAGGCTGTGTGTCATCCGTCTCAATGACTTTCACGGATTTCTACTTGTGGCATTGAGTAATGTATCTGCCCCCACCCCCCACCCCCGTAGTCCCCCGGGGTGTCACTTTGACACCGGAGAGTTTTTGATAGGCACAACTGGGGATTGTCGCCTTCCGCACCACACCCGTACAGGGCTCCTAAATTGCAGTCGTTTGCACCAGCGGTCGTGCGACCGCGTCGCGTCCGGACATCAATGGCGCCGGCTCGATCGATGTCGCAGGCGCCGGCAAAATGCCCGGGCGCGACGCGATCGCGCGACCGCTGGTGCAGACGACTCTGCAATTTAGGAGTCCTGTACTTTCGGGTTGGGCCAGACTGCGCGGCATACGCGGCGTACGCGTGCGCCGCGCACGCTCCTATAACGAAATATACCGAGCATACGCTGTGTACGTCATGTACGCCCGTACGCCGCGCACTCTGGCTCAACCCTTCGCTCGCAGGCTCGACTCGTTTACTTTTGCTCCTATCAACATAGTTCTCTTGGAAATCGACTGAAGTAAACATGTTAAGAGGAGCAAATACGCCGAGGTGAGCTTGTGCGAGGTTGTACATAATGACGACGACGGAGCACGAAACGAACTAAGAAACACCGTTCAAACAACTGGTTGTATGTGTATGCAGCGGTGAAGAATAGCCAAGACAAAATTTGACAAGGACGCTCCCCCCTTCGTTTTGAACTCTGTTCCCGAGTAGGGCCATGCCTCGCGTTTGCGTAAAATTGCTATCGTTGGGACTTGACAAATGCTAATCCATCGCGCACAGATCTCAATGCACAGGCGCAAAGCTGAAAGTTGACCATTGACAAAGGCGGTCGCTTTATCGTCCGAAGCGGCTGCGAACGGCGTGTTTGAGCATCTTCTGCAGTCGGTTTCATCCCGGATTAGGCGAGACAATCTACGTGGAGCAGCGCATGCGCATCGCTGGAGGCTTCGCGAGCGCCTAGCGCTGGCATTTTGCCAAGCAAAGACTAAGGGCATCGAAGAGACGCAGACATGGATTCTCAGCACGATAGGATACACTGTAGCTGCGAGACGGTGCGAGCTGTTGCGAAACGGACTCCCGCCAATCCAATTTCCGCCTAAGCGGGCCGAAACTTACTGTATATTTGAAGCTCGCGCACGCCGCGTCATGGTCGACCGCCTTCTTCTCGGAATAGCTTAATATGCGCTGATGCAAGCGTGTCGAATCCTGCTTTCTGAGGGTGCGCTTACGAGGAATGACGAGCCATTGTAGCAATGCTGAATCGCGCTGCGACCAAAATCCCGCGAGGTATAACCGGTGCCTAAAACTGGGAGGGTAGAAGAATAGGCGGAAAGGGGAGGCCCCCGCGGATACTTATAACAAACCAGCATTAACATATTACAGGCCCGTACGGATGGAGGACTATATGTCGCCGAAAGGGAAGGACGCGGGCCAGGGCCCGTTGGTTTGGAGAATTTTTGAAAACGAAGTCCTCCATAATTTTGCAAATTTTAACGAAGTGCCCACCGATGTAAATAGTAAGAAAACAATAAAATTTGCAACAACAATAACAGCAACAGCAAAGAAACATTGTCGTCAGTTCAAAGGACGCCTTGGCAGGCATGTGATTGGAGCGCCATATCTATCAATGCGTATGTTTATACTATTTTTGTTTCCGAAAAAAGAAGAGAGGTAATGTTTTAACACGTTGACGACAGCGCGCATTTTTAGCTGTCTGCGTTTTGGGACAATGTCTTCATTTCCAAGTTGAGAGTTTCTAGCCAAAATCAAGCAGGCCGTCATCTACAGTATCCCTACAGTGCTTTTGAGAAGCAGCCAAGAAACGCGGAAGTAATTTATAGAAATAGAGCATAATAGAACCTCTGAAACAAGGGTCATTGCATGACCCACCATGTGGGTCACGTTGTCGTCAATGTGTTAATCTGCTCTCTTCTGTATATGATAGATTTTTGAGCTTTTTGATCGTCCAAGTCAAAAAGGTCCAAAACTTATGTGAATTTTACGATATTTATGCTCCGAACCAACCCAGTTGGCTTGGTGGTGTAAAAACCAACTAAGCTGGAAACGGGTATTCGAACGCATAAGTTCCCTGAAACTTTTTACATAATGTAGTTTGGGGTAATATTGCATGCACACTGTCCAAATTCGGTGTCATGTGATTGCTTCTGCGCTGTAAACAAGCCATTTGTTATGGAGCATCATTTTGAATTTGGCGCGCTTGGTGAGAAAGAACACGTTAGAGCATGTCACTCATTTACCAATTCGATATTCAGCATATCTGGGGCCACTTACAGGGCTTTACAACCTGAGTGTCACAGCCGCTCCGTTCGGCCGCCACGCTTAGGTCCGCGCAGCGTTCGTGGCACATCGTCCGGGCATTTTGCCAGGTCTCAATCGATGCCGCCGACGCATGCACCAGACGGCGCATCGACTGAAGCTTGGCAAAATGCCCAGATGATGCGTCGCAAACGCGGCGCGCGGCCTAGGCGAGGCGGCCGCGTTGGAGGAGCCGCGCAAGCGGAGGCTGTGACTCTTATTTTGAAAAGCCCTGTATATGTCTGTTTAGCAAGTTTTACGATACTCCCTCTGCTTGACCCAAAGACGAAGTTCAGCTTGACCCACCGGGTTACGGTCACGGCGCAAGCGCGGGGTGTTTGGGGACGGATTTCTTAGCCTTGAATGAACCTTCGCGCTGCCGCTTCGGCAATGCCTCAGTTAGGACCCCCTCAACAATTTCTAGGCGAAAATTCATGAGCCCAGATTTGCTTGGACACTGCCTTCAAAGCTGGTATGTTAGCTAGATGAGCGAAATTGTAAGGATTCAATCTAACTCTTGTTGGAATGCTAATTTGCTGTAGTGAATGAATCATTGCTTTGGCAATGATCCGTTCACTACAGCACAGTATGATAGCTCCAAAATCAAGGAAAGATAGATAAGACCTTTATAACTAAGTCTTTCATCCAACATAAAAATAGCCTACAAAGGAGTCTCATCTCGCAACAATACCGTTCATACAGCATAGTAGGATAGCTTTGGACCGAGAAAGTACGATCAGCAATGAAGGACCTCGAATTGATGGTTTTCGCAGTTTCCGCCCTTTCTAAGGCTCCCGCCAGAGTGCCGAAGTTATGCCAGCGCTACGCCAGCATTTCGATCGATACACGTGTATTTCGTTGGGGACGTCAGCTAGCCACGTGTATCGATCGAAATGCTGGCGTAGCGCTGGCATAACTTCGGCACTCTGGCGGGAGCCTAAGATGGATTCCGGAACCAGCTCATCGAATCCTAGGTAAGCGACAAATTTCTAGGTCGAGGATTCGCCGAGATACTGCCTTGAAGGCAGTGGCTATTGAAAGTTGCGAGTGCGAGTTTTCCATCCCCGACCTTGGAAATTGCTAGCGGGCAAGAGATTCCCGATAAAACAGCGACTGGCTGGAGGAGACTGTAGGGGTGGGGGGGGGGGGGGCGCTCGTTACGTGTGTGTGGCAATTGAAAATCGTCGCAATCCGCCATTACAGTAACCGCGAGCGGGGAGAAGTAGTGCAGGAAACTTATCATATTTACACACCTAGATTATCAATGCTTCTTCTATATTGTTAGTCTTTTATCTTGTGTGTCTTTTGTCCTCTATAGAGCTAATTTTACAAGTTTTGTCGCAAAACTTCAAATAAGGATCAGAACTAATACGGGAATAGTCTGGAAATCACAACAAAGAATGGGAGACTGTTTGCTGCGATGGTGGCCGAGTACTTCGTGATTACTGGCAACCTGTCGCGCGCGACATTTCTTAATTGGGATTAATTCTCCATTCTCCATTATCCACAATTAATTCTCCACGTAAAGATACGCAAGCCCTGTAAGGGAAGACTCAGTCCACCCAATTTGGCGGCAAGTGGTTGGTTGGCTCAAGCAGCTACTTGCGCTTCAATAGGCGGGAATCGCTCGTCCAGCCCCTTCAGCAATTTTCAAGGCAGGAAAACGCCAAAAAAGCATTTTTTGACAACTTCGAGATCCTAAGGCCTAAGGCATACCTCGCGCGATTCGGCATAACAGCGACTCTTTGTAATTCGTCGTTAATGCGCTTCCTTTAGTCAGGACTTGACCCATTTGCAACAACTTACACAAGCTACCCGCCTATGCGTTCAAGAAGCGCGCACGATAAATCTGGCGAATCGCCAAGTCGCTTGAAAGCGGCGATTTGGCCGAATCGCGTCAGGTATGCTTTAGGCCTAAAGCAAAGTACCGGACTCACGCATCCAGAAAGCCAAACAGGTATGGATAACTCGCAGTCGCAATTTTCCCGAGCCACTGTCTTCAACAGGGGAAAAAGCGTCTCTGAAAATAGCCAAAGACCAGCCGACGGGTCCAAAGCTCCAAACTCACCTGTTCGACTCATGTTATATCGGCGCTCTTTTACGCTGCCGAGACATGGGCCGATACTGTAGCCAAGTCGAAGGCCTAAGGCACCCGCCATACTTACCCCTCTTGATCCACTTGATCCGCTTAATCCGCTTGATCCGCTTGCTCCGCTTCTTGCAGGACGCGTGTAAAACGCGTGCACACAGCAGTTTGTCATTTGGCGTCACGTACACTGTAT